GTAAGGACATCTCCTCCTCTTCATAACTTTTAGCATTAGATTGCTCCATTTGCGATTTGTATTTGTTTTCGGTATCTTGTTAATTTGAAACTTGGATGCCAAAAAATCCTTTGTGGATGATCTCTTCACCTCACATCTGGAGAGTGGGGGAGATGTTATAGATATTTGCATTTTGGTCCTGGGCTCTTCATCTCACCTTTTGCATATCTTGTGAATTCTCTTATACACTGAAACCTTGATATTCAGTTTAACCCTTTCATGTAGAGTACATGTTTTTCCAAGTGAAAATGTCAAAATGCTTTATGGTGGAAACGCAGCTCGTGGTCCATTAACATGTAAACAAACAGATATTCTCAATGATGCTTCAATTTGCTTACATAAAGCTGCAAGCTTGAATGTGAATTCTCTGTAGATTTATATTGGGAAACCTCTATCCCTCAATATGGTCTTTTCGTTCCATATGCATATTGGAATGAGATAATTTGTGGAATTAATGGTTGAGTTGATAAATCCTCTTTAAGTTACTATCAAATACAAAATGATGTCACCTTTATTTTCTAGTACTTTATATGTTTCAAATTATCCCCATTCTTTAGTACCTAAACTCAGAACTTGACAATCTTGTAGGTACTGTGAGTGCTTTACAGCTGGAATTTATTGTGAAGGTTGTAACTGCTCGAATTGTCACAATAATGTGGACAATGAAGCTGCTAGGCAGGACGCACGTGGAGCAATTTTAGAGCGTAATCCAAATGCCTTCCAACCAAAGATTGCTAGCAGCCCACAAGAATCTCGTGATGGTAGGGTATGTAATCTGACTCATTTGTAGCTTCATCTGTGCCCTTGGATTGACTTTTACGAAGTTCTTATGATGGTGAGAAAACAAGGAGGTGCAAGCATAGTACACGCTTAATGTTTAGTCTAGTTATTGATGTTTGTCATTATAACATTAATTCAGCTCAGTGTGCATTAATAGTTTCTTATAACAAATTCAGGAAGATGCTGGGGAAATTCAAGCAGCTGGAAGGCACAACAAAGGATGCCACTGTAAGAAATCAGGCTGCCTCAAGAAGTATTGTGAGTGCTTCCAAGCCAATATTCTATGCTCCGAAAATTGTAAATGCATGGACTGCAAGAACTTTGAAGGAAGCGAAGAGAGAAGAGCTCTCTATCATGAAGGCCACAATACTGTGGCCTACATGCAACAGGCCAATGCAGCCATTAGTGGGGCCATTGGAACCTCTGGTTACGGGACCCCTCTTGTGTCCAGAAAAAGAAAAGGCTACGAACTTTATTTTACCACTGGAAATCAATCCACTCATCCGATTGCACAATCTCAACAGGTACAATTTTTCTTCAAGTACTTGAATACATCTTTGTTAAGTTTTGGGTAGTTGTGTGTTTGGCGTTGAATATTTTGATAAGTTGTTCTTGTCAGGCTTCAAAAAGTCCAGTATTGCAATTATTAATACTTGCTTGACCTTAGCTCATGAAAGCTAAGATCATTGTTCACATTTTTTTTAGCTCAGGCTAAGCTAATGATCATTATTCTACAAAAATGCTTGTGGAATATGGCAATCCCTTCCAGATTAAATTCAGATTCAGTTCATTATTCTTGCTTCCATTTTCATTCCATCTATTTCTTAAGCTAACAGGCTTCGTGTTAACCTTATTTTTTAATTGAATTTTATCAGGAAAATCATCTAAGACCTCCTATGACCTCTTCTTCTCAGTTGTCTGTTCCTATCTTTCACGCTGCTAATGCAGCAGTATCAAGACCTTCAAAAACAACTACATACAGGTGTGTTACTTTTCTCAACATTGTTAATTGAAAAGTTTGCTTTATTTTCTTTCAAAATATACTAATCATCATGTTTTGTGACTGAAGATCTCCATTGGCGGACATCATCCAACCAAAAAACGTAAAGGATCTGTGCTCACGTTTGGTTGTAGTTGCAGGAGCAGCTGCAAAGGCACTTGCAGGTTTTGGTTATATACACAAGTCAATTAGATTCCTTTATTCTCTTGGCAATGCATGTGCATCTCATTTCACTTTTGAGTTTTTAGAGCTCTTTTTTATTCTTTGTTTAAAATATTTTGAGGACACTGCTAGAACCCTACTGTCCTAATGGGCTCTCCCAAGATGACAAATTTTTAGGTAATCAGTTGACTGAAAGGCTATTATTCCAAGGCATGGAACTCTGTTGTTTTTGGAAAGACAATTCTATTCAGTTTGGTTTTGGAAAACTTGCTTTCCAACTAAAACTGCCTTATCATAGTTTTAAAAGTAAATGAACAAGAGGCTGTTTCTAAAGGGCCCAAGAAAAAGGAGCTCATGGTTATTGACCAAAATCGAGTATATGTTTTTCTCTTGTATTTTCATTGTGCCATTTTCACCCGGGCTTCTGTTTATTTCAGACTAATCAATAGATTTGTGAATTTTTGATTTCCTTGGGGAGGAAAACTTCCTGCCTCTCTTTCTCCCACCTTTTAGTTGCTACAGTGAATGCTAGATATTCTACATATGGTCTTTAAAATATGTGATTCGGTTTTGAATTTGCTAATTTAATCTGTCCAGGAAATAGGGAAAGAGAGACAATTGATAAGACTAATGCCACTTCATCCACTCAAGAGGGGAATAAACATAAAATGGAACATGATAAGCAGCATGATGACCATATAGGAGTGAATCAAGCAGATAGAAATGCTAGTAGATTTTCTGGATCGAATGGAGGTGATGTGCAAGATAGTAGGCCAATGTCACCTGGAACTCTTGCCCTGATGTGTGATGAACAAGATAAGATGTTTATGGAAGCTGGATTGCCAAATGGTGCTGGAACCGATAATCCAAGTATGCCTCAGAAGTCAACTCAGGATATAGGTTTCACAGAGGTTTACGTGGAACAGGAAAGGCTTGTTCTGACAGGGTTCAGAGATTGCCTTAACCATCTTATTACGCGGGGGAGCATAAAAGGTGAGCTTCTCCAAGTTACAATTCTAAACTTATGATTGTCGAAAAACAAATACCCATGTGCTTTGTGAATATTTTTGAGAACTTAATACTATGAGAACACCCTACAAGGAAGAGATCAGTTTGGCTTCGCTCCTATATTTTTCTACCGGTTCAGAGCGTTGTGGAAACTTGGCCGATCATGTCTTCTTTTACTGTAACTAGCAGACTTTCTAGAATGAATGTGCATTTTTAGTCATGGATATAGATGGTTTTCGGGGTGTTGAATTCCCCACATCAACATCTTGTTTTAGTCTTTGGAAGATTTCTTTGCAGCTAAGTCCCGAAATTTGCAATTCGAAATGTTATAGTGGCCCAATACCAAACTTATTGACAGGAATCTTGTTGTCTTTATTAAAGCTTTAGGACAGGGTTAAAAAGGAAACCTGGGGACTGTAAAAAGTTCTATTTTGTGACTGTTGATTGACTTTGTTCTTCCTTCATGCATCCAGCAAGCCTAACAAGAGTGAGTCGTTTGTCTTTGACTTTGCAGAAACAATGTGTTCTCCCAAGGCAAAAGGGAGAGGGTAAGCCAGAAAGCATCCGTACAGGTTGGAACAGCAAAACCTACCACTGAACCCAGGTACCAGAAAGAGGCCTACAGCAACGGTATTGTGAAATCTCCTCTTTCATCAGCAAACGGTAAAATTCTTCAGCCGGTAACAACAGTCACTTCTGGTGACAATGATCTCACTCTAAAGGTTGGATTGCCCATTGAGAAATAATACTGAGCACTCAAACCAATACCGGTTGTAACTTAGGGTAGAAGTAGCTCCAAACTCAAATGGTACCACCGTGCCTCTTTCGAGACACTTTAGCATGATTTCCTGCCATATCATTTGATCTTAGGTCTTGCAGTTAGTAAAAACGAACTTTCGTAAACTAATGAGGGCTAGACCCTTTTTCTCTTGGCATAAATTAATTCTCGAAAGAGCTTCTTTCAGTTTTGTTATGCATTTCCGCTGTTGTATGATAAAGTGCTTTTTTTGGGTTTCCCATCTCAATACATAAGTGTTCAAATCTCACAATAATTGTTGATATTAACCGTTGGATCTCTTTTAATGACTAGGGTTGGAATCCTGGTAATCTGGTAGAAGAGCTAGAAAAAGCCAATCCCATGAAAGCACTGTTCCCAGATGCCATTCCATGCCACAGTACGATTACCGTATTGGTGGAGCTTCCTTGCATCTTCCTTAAACTGGATTTTCGTTCTAATTGTTTTGTTTGTTTGAATGTTGCTTCCTACCACTTTCATTTTTTTGTTTGATTTTTCGTTCAAACAGAATTTGGCTCCATTAGGGTTCTTCACCATAAGGAGACGAGCACATGAACCCAATTCACTCAATCGAATACCAAAAATTTCTGTTTGGTTGCTGGGAAATTTGAGAAAATGATGTAAATGCCAAAATAGTTTCCAAATTACTAATTCTTAAAGAACTTAGTCGCTCAAGTAATTCAGAGCATGTACTCTTGTCATCATGTTTTTGATACTTCACTCTTCCAATATCGGTCGGCCATATCTAACAAAACCATTGGAGGACTATTCTTGTATGCCTTATCTTATGAGGAGAGATTACGAAGTGTCTTGGTTGTATATAATTATATGTTTTATCTTTATTATTGTATTATACATATATACATCAATGATAAGATAAATTTTCTTTGTGGCTAAATATTTTTTTTGGTCTTGAAAGTATATAAAACTCTCACATGTTTACGCTTTGTTTTCTCTAAAAAATAGATTAGCTGATGATTTCGTCACGATAGTTCACCCATCGAGGACCTAGAAGACTCTTGCCAAAAGTAAAAGACCACAACTATGATAGGCAAACGTAAAAACTGACTGGTTTCAAATGACTTTGAAAATTAAAAATTAAACAGATCACAGATCACAAACAACAATAATAACATTTTTAAACAATAAAATTTAATCCGCAAGAAAAGAAAACCAATCAAAATATTTTCCCACAAAATTTTCTCAGCTGCCAACCAGAGCGATAAAGAATTTGATCGCACCCCAAAAAGGTTTTCATAATTTGTATTTATTATTATTCAGTAATAAATAATATTCGTTTCTGGAGGAAAAGGCAGCAGCGTGATGAGGACCCATTTACTCATCACTGCTCATCAACAAGCTCCCCACTCACCAAAGACCACGCTCGCACACGTGTCCCCTCCTCCGTCCCACACATGTCTCACCGTACCACCCTCCCCGCCAAAACTTTCTTATAATTACCGGCCCAAGTCACAGGCCAGAAGCAGCAGATCAAGACTCAGCGACTGTGACGTGAGCGAAATGGAGGAAGCTCGGAAGCTTCGCTCGGAGTTCCTCAAAGTTCTGCGGAGCAGACGATCGGGCGAAGGTGAGTGAATTGGCGGACATTTTCTTTCCTTAATTTTGTGTTTGGCTGGTGAGAAAATTTGAGGGAATCAGTAGAAAATTTTGGTAATGTGAGACGTTTTGGATTCCTTTCAGTTCCAATGTTGGTCGAGCCGGCCAAACCGGTGGCGAATCCGTTGTTTCAGGAGGCTAATCCACCAAGCTTCAGTGAGGTTCGAATCTGGTTCCCATTTGGAAATGCTTTGTACCAGTTTGGTACTGCTTAAATTTTTTTAAGGGCCTCAAAATTGTGTTTGGTAACAGAGCCAAAGACTGCTTATTTCCTAAGCCACGGTCAGAAATAGCTGAAAAGTGGAAGCAGCTATTTGCTGCTTTCAAAAAGCGGTTTTTGCAATTCACCGGGAAGCAGCTAAATCTACCAAATTCTGCAGCCATCGATTAAAAATATAAGACAAAAACACACACAGAGTCAGGAAGTAAATAATTAGGATGCTGTAAAGCATAAGACAACAAATCATCTGGAAGCCTCCATCTCCAGCCACATCAAAACTCCTGTGTTATTCGATTCCTTTCCTTTGCTTCGATCGCAGGAGAGAAGGATTCGAGAGTCTAACCCTTTTCGAATCCCCACCTACCCTCTTCACCTATCTCCTCTCTCGCACCATCAACTCCCCATCCCCACCCCACGATGCAACCATACCCAGAACCCAATTTTGTTAGTTGGGAATATTGGGCTTGACAGGTTTTGCCCAAAATCCAATATTAATCTTCTGGGAAGTTTTCTATCTGGGTATTGGAAGGGCTAGCTTTTTGGGAGGTGCAGGTGGGATGATGTCGATATCATCGAGGAAGACGCTATTTTTTCTGGGCAAATGAAGACGGAGAAAATGGATATTGATGATAAAAAGCCCGAAGAAAACGAGGGGGGAGGAGAATGAGAGTTCGAGAAAGAAAGTCCTTTTACAGAAAAAGTTTACCCAACTACTAGCTGCTTTATTTTATAGCTGTTTATTCTCATCGCACATAGTACCAAACTAACCTCACTTGCGCTCATAAGAGCTTTTACTAGAAGCACGTCGAAATTTACAATAAAAGCACCTAGAAATCACTTGGATTGATTCTTGAAAGGCAGGTCGAAATTTACCATCCTCAACTGCATTTAGATCCTCTGATTCAGCTGTTCTTCTGTTCAAACCTTCCTTCATACTCATGGCCGTCTACCGTTGTCATATTTGTTCATCCAAACACAAACAATATCGTAATGCAGTTAGTAGCACGGCCGGAATCAGCCACCGAATGACCCCGCTCATGGTAACCGAGGCCCGTGACTGGTTCGACCAGTTTCTGAAGCAGTAAGGCCGTGGTTGCAATCGTGCCGTTCGTCGTTTCTTACTAATCTACTTACCCAGTGTTCATCTGTTACTCAGATCCAATCGGTTTTGGGCTTAAGCAATATACTCTCTGATAATATATCGTCAAGGCTGAAATAATTCATCGTCGTTTCGGAAAAATCTTTTGGTAGTACGGACTATTATTACAACAGCATTCTTAAACGACTAGTTTTCGGTTTCGTCGATCACAAATTCACAATCAAATCATGATGTATAAAAACCTCCAAGCTAACATGTGCCGAGGTTGTACATTATGTGCAACTTCGTGCATAAAATTAGGCAATACAATCACATACAAGCTGCTCCTAAAATTGAAGGACAAAAAACTACAGCGCACCCAGCGTCGTCAGCCTTTCTTCGGCATGGCGGCTAGCCTGGTGTACATTCTGGCCATGGAATTGTACCCTCGGAAGTCGCCAGAACGCAGAAGATTGCCTGCCACACAAGCAACACCAGTTAACTAAAACAGAAGATAAGAGAATGAAACAGACAGCAATTTGTGCATTAACTCAAACCTAGCACCAATTATAACGCAGAATTGGGGAAGCCACGAGAATTTCATATCCTAAAATACAAATGCATCAATAAGGGAGGACGGGGCCTGCGCCCAAGTTCTTTAAAATTCTCTCCTTTCTTCCTAACAAAAGCGGATACGGAAAATCAATAAGGGAAAACCTACTGTCTTTGGGCGGCGCCTGCGCCCAAGTTCTTTAAAATTCTCTCCTTTCTTCCTAACAAAAGCGGATATGGAAAATCGGATTAACTTTCATAAGTAAACTACGGTGCACTAGTCTCAGACAACTATCATTTACGTCCTTTGACCCCTAGTTTCAGAATCCTAGTTCATCCATGTGAACAGAGCTCAGGTTTCCGGTCGTTGGCTTGAGAATAGATAACGATGGCTCACAAAGCACGGGGGATGGAAAAACAAAAATTGAGCTCCTGCGTCTTAGAAATCCAATGCTCGTATACATAATATGCGAGTCCACGTACCTGAATCACAGTTCAGTGGGCTATCAGGTTCTGGATGTGCCATTAAAGCGATTATAGCCCTACAAACAGATTGGAGTGTCCAAGCAGGGCTCCATGCATTCTTCAAAATATCAAGGCAAATCTCTCCTGTCTGCACTAGAAAACAACTTTAGGAAAATGAAACAATACTTGATATGTTTACAACAGTGCATTAAACATTTAGTGTCCAATCTATTTTTCATCTGGTGATCTCGTCATTTGTCAGAGGGTAATGCCGGTACAGTGTACCAAACATTTGACCAAATGAAATCTCAGTAAGCTTTGACACGCTATTCATTTTCAAGAAAAGACGCTACAAACGAGGTTTGAAAACACTTCTACATTTCTGCCTAGGAAAAAAAAAGTATAAAAGAGCTTCAGGTAGTCTTAGCTCAATAAAACGATAGTTGAAGAAACTTTTGACTCCTAATCATTGGTGTTGAACAACATATCCATATATTCCATCACTCTTCCATCCATGGACAGAATCACTAAGCTCCCACCTACTTACTTTACTAATTTCACAACTCAGCCAGATTCCTCAGATTTCCAAACAGATTAGATGTTGTCATACAAAGATTTCGTACCTTGAAATGCACATTTGGATGGAATATTTTTGTTAAGAACCTGACTTGTGGAGGTTGCAAAGGATACTGCTCAGGAACCGCAAAAGCAAGCTGGAATATACCGCCCTCAAATGGGGTCTCTGATGGACCCTAAAGGCAAAATAAATGGACAAATAAGGTCAAACAATACACCCCAAGAAGTTTTCTTTGTAATGACGGAGCTTACCTTGATGAGAGCAGTCCATTTAAATATGTTTGTGTCATCACAAACTAATTGAATATCTGGATCAGCAACTTTCTCACGCTGCACCTCTTTGTATTCCTTGAAAAGCCTTGCCCTTGATGCCTGCAAAAACTTACTTGTTCAAAACGGTTTCACCGCATGGTTTAAAAAGCTATGCATTACACCAATCCAAGACCAGAAGCAGAGAAGACGCTGTATAACAGCAACACCCGGCTAGCCACTAAAGTTCACCATTCGCACTAGCTTCACTGCCATCTAAGATACATGATTGTATTTCACGATTTTATATACCAGTCATTCATGTCCATAATTCCGCTCCATAAGGCCTCACCGTCTACTTCCTCTCCACAAAGCAAACACTGCTTTTTCCTCGAACCCACATTCACTCTCCCTCCATCTCTCACCCTTCTACCACATTTTTCCGGCAATCCTCCCTCTAACCGAATCCACTTTCAGCCATAAAACTTTCACCCACTTGGAGCACATTTCGAGCTAACAATTAGTTTGACTAACAACCCTCATATCCCTATATGCTCTTAAGCTAAACAGCATTCGGATGAACACCCGATCGAAAATAAACCCGAAAAACCAGTCCAATGAATTCTAACTATAACCCGACCGGCCAAAACAAGAAGCTGGGCTAACCTGCATGTTGATTGTTGCCTGGGAACTCAAATCGCAGCGCTTCACCACAAAGCCCCACTACCTGAACACAATCACAACATTCTCACAAAATTAACAAAAAATAATATAAATAAATAAATAAAAATTGGAAATTTGAGTTGATTGGAAGTTTTGATTTCGCCACACGCATCCAAAACCAAAACCTCTGGAAAAACCGAATCGATACAATTCGATTGAAAAGGGGCAGCATATGCAATTTAATGTAACTCAGGGGGTTATAACGTAAATTTTTATTTTTGCAGGAAATATTTGAACAACGGATTGAAATCCCAGAAGCTTACCTTGCAGAGAGAGAGACTTGCTTTCCTCGGGAGAGACGAAGATCGACGATCGATTTCTTTACGGTCGGGTTAGGAATGGGATTTGATATACGGTGCGAAAAGGGACATGGAATAGGGAAACACCGACGAATCAGCACCCGCCACGTTTCCGATTATATTTTGTCACCAAACAATAGTTTCCTTTCTTTTTTGGTCAGACACATGAGATATTGACCGAAAAAAAACATAGGGCATTTGACCAAAAATATGGTTGACAACGTATCATAATGTAAATAGAGGGATATTAGGTCTCGGAAAATGAGCCCTGTAATACAAGTTTCAGAAGAAAAATTGGTAAAATACACTAATATTTACATTCACAACTTAATCATCTACTTTGCAAACGTGGTTACGAGCGTTCATATCTACCCTTGAGGTTGTCAAGCACTTGACACTACCGACTCAAATAGAAGGTGTATAAAATTTTACAATTGTGGTTAATAAAAAAAACCTAAACCAACAAATATGGAATTGCACCAGGAAAAGCTCACAGTACTATTTACTTTAACAAAAAATCACATTTTTATATTAAAAAGTTAAACCTAATACTATTCACTTCACCTTTATTTTGTCCTTATCGTTAAAATTAAAAATTTCAAAAATTTTTCATTAATTTTCCTTAATTATATACGATTTACTCTGGAGTCCTTTTACAAAGTCAAAGGAGGCAAGATGCGGTTTTTATTGTGTCACATCTAAAGTCCGACAGGTGATAAGTTCAATTGGCACCGGATCGGATGATTTACTACGAGGAACATTAGGCTTTGAATTAGTCTAGTCGTTGACTGTTGAAACTAGATACAGATTCAGCCACCCACCAAATAAGACGAAAACGTAAATCAAGAAAATACACAAAAAGAAAAATTAGGGTTTGGAGAGTAAAACTGAAAAAAAAAACAAAAAAAATGCAGATCTCATATAAAATTCAATCTCTAAATCACATGGAGGTCTCCCATTTTTATCGGGGTTTTTTTCTACAAAGAATGTACACGTTCCCAATCACAAACCCAGATTATGGAGTCAAATGCCCAACAAACAAAAAAATTATATATATATATATATATATCGAGAAAAAAGACCAAAAATGAAAAAGAACGCGAAAAGAAACCAAAAATAAAATTAAGTTGTTGGCCAAAATAAAGGAGGAAAAAGGGTGAAACCGGTAATGACTTCAGACGCTACCAGCTGCACCAGGCGTCGTTTTTGTTGGCTTCAGTTTTGCAAAGTCAACGAGGTCTCCGAATAGCTTATCCTCTGGCCTGGATGGCTTGCTTGGTGGAACATAAGATGGAGCGGAAACCTGGTAGGGGTTTTTCATACCATTACCATCTCTAACGGAAAGACCGTACATTTGCTGCTGAAGGGCATACTGCTGTTGTTGCTGTTGCTGAAGGGCGTATGCGTGCTGCTGTTGCTGAAGGGCGTAGGCTTGCTGTTGTTGATATTGCTGTTGCTGTTGCTGAAGGGCGTATGCTTGATGCTGTTGATCGTAGCCGTAGGGGACTAGTTGATTACCACCATACACTTGTTGAGGATACATAGATGTCATCTGGCCTGCTTGAATAGCTTGTGGAGTCATACCCGTGTATGGCCCTTGGACCGGTGAAGAGGGCAAACCCAAATGATTGCTAGGACCAACCTGGTTATTGATTGCTGACAAATGGGTAGTTGTAATTGGCTGGATATACATACCTACAACCTGGTCGCTTTGAGATCCCTGGGGATGGAAACCACCTGGTGAATTGACCACCACCTTGGTACTAACTTGCAGTGGGGGTGGAGAGAATTGAGAACCTGCTACTGGGCTGCCATCATCTATTGACTGAGCTTCCCAGGGAGGTGGTGGCAATGATCCACTGGTTGGTGAACCTGTCCAATCATGTGAAATGTGAGAGGTTACCTTATTCTAAAAAGTGTAAACCGAATAACATTCTTCATGGCTAATACAACCACCAATAGCAAGCACATCACTTGCACTAGCCGGGAATATAGGATTATACTTTGCTTCATCTTCCTATATACAAAAGAATGTAAATGAAACCAAACAGTATGGAGACTGAAACACCAAAAAAGTATTGAAAAGCACACCATAACCCGGTGAAGCCGGCTGCTGCTGCAGTGGTTGTGACTGCACCATCTGACCATTCCAGGCAGGAGCAGCACCTTGTCCGAATGGAGACTGCTCATACTGAGGGACCCCCATAATTGGGGCATTTCCATTCGGGAGAAATCCTGCTTGTGGAGATTGAAAATTCTGCTGCTGTGGGAATTGCGAGGGTGAAGGATTGGGTTGGCTGGCTGCATTAATAGGATGGGTATTCACAGGGTTTGGGACATTCTCAGTGCCAAACATGTCGATAAGAGCAAGGGCATTCTGCTGATTAACAGGAGTAGTTGGCTGTTGTCCCACAGGAACAAGAGCCAGTGAAGCATCTGCCTTTGGGGAGACAAAGTCATCACCACTAAGAAGATCCATCCTGGGATCGGCCTTGCAGTAGAAGTTGAACCATTAGTAGTTGGAGGGGCAGTAAGCAATAACTGATTAAGTGGATTAGCACCGGAACCGGAACCGGAACTTGAGGCGGATCTGCAAAAAAATTCTGGCATTACTATTTTCAATGGATAACAAGCACCAATGGATTAGTCACCATATATTGCAGTGACTGTGCGTGCATTAAAATCCTAATTACCTCCCATCAGGCTGTTTGCTGTCATTTCCAGTGTCAACTAGAGGACCACCAACATTTACAAGTGCTCCGTTAGCTGCAGGCTTGGGTTTATCTGGCTGAACTGGATTTCCAGAAGCAATGGCTTCATGTTTGGCTAGAAGACGTTGCAAGTCATCATTCAGCGCCAGCCCTTGACACAGAAGTGATTCATCCCTAACAAATAATAAGTAAAGAAATGGGCAAAAATCGCCATGGCAGTTACACATAAAGAACATAAAGCATAAAGAATCCTTGACACAGAAGTGATTCATCCCTAACAAAAACCTTTACTAAGTAAAGAAATGGGAAAAATTGCAGTGGCAGTTACACATAAAGAACAGAAAACATATCAATATAACCTATAATTATCATTCAAGCAAATCTAACATGGATGATATTAAAGAACCCGGATAAACATCTAGATCATATTTAAACTTCACTTTAAAAGAAAATTTCCATCATAAACATCTACATCATGCCTATACCATATAAACATACACACACACATTTCATTAAAAAAAAATGAAAACAAAACCAACTCCCATTTAAGGTCCTTAAATAGGCTTGTTCCTTTGTTCGTTTAGTTTGTTACAGAGCAAGCATCTAATGCACAGACATAATTTCAAGTTTTTTTATTTTTTATTTTTATTTTTTTGGAAACTAATTTCAAGTTTTTTATTGGCTTGAATGATTATATCACAATATAACATACCAGACAGTTTTGGAAGTCACAATACCGTATATTTCCTACAAATAAAAAAATAAGGATTTGGAATTCTGTAGCATATTAGTTCAAAGGAACCTATATCATGCCATAAAATACAAGTCACTTTTTGTTTAACAATCTTCCTCACCTTCTTAAAACTTCTATAATTACTTAACTTCTTGTTTTCTTATTTAATCAATATGATCAATAATACACAAATATACACCATGCAACAAAAAGAGCCAACACAAAATAGGCAACTGCCTTTTTTTGTGGAAAAAAGAAAAGAAAAGAAAGGTAGTTGGGAATATAGTTGTGGCCTTACGCAGTCGAGTTAACAAGGTGTACCACTCTCTGCTTATATGTACGGCACTGGTCAACCAAATCAACAATCACCTCCTGTCTAAGCCCCTGCAAATTGAAAGAAAAGTTGAGCAACAAGCAACTGGAGATTGAAATTATGATCTTCAAGCATCTTCCTCACTGCACAGTTCCTTATAGATGAAACATCCAGCGTGATAAAGATCCAAGTAAATTCAGCTTAGGGGGATTTAAATTTTTTCTTCTCTTTATTAACATGTTGTATTATCCAAATCTATCAAACGACTTGAAAAGGGCATAGTAATATTACTTCAGCTGTCATCATTTAATCAATATCACATTGTAAATTTGTAATATTATTTTCTTCATATCAAAAACGATACATTTACCTCTTTGTTATCTATTGCAGTTAGCATTTCTGCCAGGACATCCATGATACCCCGTGCATTCTGAATTTCTGTCAAGCTAACCAAACAAAAAAAAATCAATTAAAATATGAGATATATACACACACACACACACACACACATACATACTGCATTATTTCGGTGGCTGCACACTATAAAGAAATAACAGTTTCCTTCTAATTTGAAATTTCTCACTGCTAAATTTCTTAGGATAAACCATTCAGAGCATTAAAATGGGAAACAACCAGTCTGCAAGGTTGAAACTTGATACATCCCACCCATCAAAGATGCAAGTAGAAGCAAAACCAAGCTTTGTCATCCAAAACCAAATTCCTGACTTGCATTCATGTCTCATCAAGGATGAAACATCAGTTGCATTGAACCACACAGGACAGCAAGACCAAAACAAAAAAGAAAATCCCCTTTCACCATAAAGACCTAGTGCATTCATACTTCCACCAGTACATTCATACTTCCACAAAAAAGAAAATCCCCTTTCACCATAAAGACCTAGTACATTCATACTTCCACCATACCATTGTATATTCATACTTCCATCGTAGCTTTTACTCTTAAATGCAACTGTCTAAAGATGCCAATAAAGCCTGCCATATGTAGCGAAATTCCTATGTGATTGGATCACTAACATGCGTAGAAAAAGAATCTCATAGAAGTTTTGACATCATTCAATCAGAACAAGGAGTTACATGTGCACCTCAAGGTTGGGAACTCAGCCTCTGCAGAAGGCTCAGCTACATCTCTCGGACGATCTGGATTTTGCAAATTCTGAGGAAATGCTGACAATGGTTGTGTCTGGGGTGGTGTGAATACAGGCGCAGATGATTCAGATCTTTGAGGGAATACTGCTCCAGAACGCTGAAGAAATATTTTGACTCAGACAATGTTGAAGATTCAAGCACTAAAACAGAATATAAGCAATGAAATAACAATTTGACACTGATTATGTAATATGAATGCTTCTCATATTAAGCTTTAATAATAAAGTTGTTTTATTAATTGAGAATTGTTCTTAATGAACATACCAACAAATCCTGGTATGCAGCATAGTATTGTGGATATCTTGCTCTCGGTCCCCCAAAAGCTTCTTGCCAGGTATCTATCAGGATCAATATCTTCTCTTTGACATGATAGTCCGGCTACAATTTGCATCATAAATACTATGAGAAAACTTAAATAGAAATGAAAGTGATATTGTATAGCACTAACAAACGATCAGACTGCTGGAGCGGTATATGCTACCTTCTTTTTTGCTATTCTAACCATATCATGGAGGAGGTCTTTCTCTGCTACATGCATATGAACAATGTCTCCACAATTCTTTATTATTGTTTCCAACAGCTAGAATGTAGTGAACAGACGAAAATAAAACCAATTTAGACCACTGTAATAAAATTTCGTTAACAATGACAAACAATGTGAATATATAAATGGCATCTACAGCAGAAAGGAATTGAACATAAAATTCAGTGAAATTTCCAGTAGACCATCAACTAGTTTTTTTGTGTGCATATAAACTCTAAATCTGCCAACTCTCTAGACTGCTGGATCTAAGCCATTCATCTCTTTTCACTTCTATGAACCGAGTATAAAGTATAAACACACAAGAGTAATCCGCACGGGAACATGTCCATCTTACTAAAATAAATTTTCTGTTTTCACACCGTACAAAAATTTAACCATGATTTGTTCCATATGAGAGTAGCACTGGTATTAAAAATCCACTAGGCATACAACAAGAAATGTAAGTAAAGATCTATCATAATACATCAAAACTCAATGATTACTTGACCCAAATAGGGAAGAACATAAAGCACTGACAAACATACAATGACAATACAGAAATAAGATACACCATGCTAAAAGCAAAGGCATTGCTCATAAATAAAAAAACATACACACACACGCACACATCCATTAACAAGTTTACCGTAAGCTGAAGGAAACAATAACACAACTCAACCCGTAAATATATGGCTAATTAAAAGACAAGTAAACTAATCAATAAGAGTCCTGGGACTAAATTTTTTTAGGTAAATAAAGTATAAAATTTAAAGAAATGAAAAAGAATGCACTGAAAACAACAAGGATTGATAGCCAAATTGGCCACTTCACTTAATTAAAATGAAACAGTTCCATGGAGCTTACTGTAAGGGCAAGAAGTTGAACTTTTGAATTCTTACTTCCAAGGCGCTTCTTTATACCTTTAACAACATCCTTCGCTTGCCTGATTTATGAAAACCAAACAGATGGTTTGAACTAGGTAATCTTCAACTAAAAGATCCAATCTAGAGAAGCATACATCCAGTTAGCTCGTGACAATAACTAAAATCAGAAGCACAACACTTGATACGAACACAACAGGGTGAAAAAGGCATTCTCATGTCTATCACGTCTAACATGCTTTGTGTACATCCTAAATAACGAAAAAGAATTAGCATTTAAGTGCATCATTTGCAGCTTTGGCATTCCGAACAATCAAAGCAATGTCTATGGCTTGTTTATGTTGCCCCCAAACCTATGGTATATGCTTATTACTACAAATATACAACGAGCATTACAAATCACTCCTACAATTGTAAAATATTGAGCTCCATTGTACACACTGACCAGTAATCAGTCAAAAAACCATTAAAATGCATCAAATTAATTAACATTTCAGCTGACCACATTCAGAAAGATCCAATTTATGACATCATACGAACCCGCGCTCACAATCGAACCCACTAAATCGCAACCATATCCAATTTTACAAACAAAATTGTAATAAATCGCCAGAATTTGTTCTTTACTATCCTTTCCTATCATTTTTTTTGCACTTCTATCCTTGAATTCTATCAGCAACCAAACACAAAGTTAACTGTTCGATCAAATTCAACCAACATCTTCACTCCCTCTTTGATTCAAAGTATACATATATATCATCACAAACACATCAAAAACATAGTTACCCCAAAAATGATGCAAGGATCAAGCTAAACAAAAGAGAGAGTTATAATCGAGTGCGACGCATACACAGGGTCGTGGTTGCATATGTCACAGATTTCGAGGTTCATGGCCCAATCAGGACCGATTAGCATGTCGCTCGTGGCGCGTTCCACCATATAATTCACCATCCCTCCTGCTCTTCCTCCGCCCGAAAGTCGCCGCCGCGATCCGAATACCACACCCACCCGCCTCCGATTGCCACCAAATCGCAGAAGACTCTAAAAATACGACGGAATCTTTCTTCCGGCGTCTCTCTCTCTCTAGAACTGCTTCTCTCTTTCTCTCTCTCTCTCTCTCTCTCTAGAACTGTTCCTCTGTGTGAGAGATCGCTGGCTTCCTCTTTCTTTTCTGTTGTTGAGGCACCGAATTGTTTTCCTTTTTCCTTGAATTGTTTATCGGGGATGGAAGTAGATTTGACAGGCCAATGAGGTGAGGACACGTATTGGAAGTTCGGAGATTCGCGTGCCGCGGTGTGGTGCGTGGTGTACTTGTTGTACACCGTTTGCTTGGCCTGCCTTTTTTCATCAACGGTTGACTCTTTAATTCTGTTATCTTTGTGTCACCGACTTTCCATTTGGTTCTTTTTTCTGTTTTTTCACCCATGACAACATCTTTTGTTGCAATTTTGACAAATGACTTCAAAATTATCGCGGCTCAAAAATTCAAAGCATGGTGTAGTTGTTACCTAAGCCAGGGCTCAACAAACGGATGCCATTGACCAAAAGCCAAATGACATGCCCACGTTATTTTTTAAATATTTCTAGAGATAAAGAGATTGGCCTATTGGACGACAAAAAATCTGGGCTCTCAACTCTCGAGTTTGAATTCCCACGAATATATTCTTTTATGTCACGCTATGCTATAAGGAGGGATATTAGTTTATCATCACTTTATGATAGGATACCTTTATTTAAAATAAAAATAACATTTTTTTTAATAATATCGACCCATTAATTTAACGACATAGTGATAATCCATTATTTAATTAAAAATGGACATTGGTTTTATCCATAGTACCAAACATTTTCACCCAATAATGTTTATTCAAAGGATAATGCAAGATTAATCAGTATTTAAATAATAATTCAATCATCAACAACCACGTTGATTTACAAAATATGATTTTAGTAGATGATATTCCCCTAATAAGGTTTTCCTATGGAATTCCGCATTTTGAAAACCCTAATTTTGTACCATGGCTCGACAAAGCTCAACAGGTCAATCTGCCCGCGCTTGCAGCTCCTCGCAATCCTAACCAACATGAAGCTGTGAGCTCCGATGCCTCCAGTGATCACAACTCCAAGCTTGTCCAGGATGGTACATCGCTTGCGTTGAAGTACTTAGAGATCCAACAACGTTGGCTTGGAAGCGCTGTGATTCCTCGACCACCTTTCGTGCTTTCTTTCTCAGATAGAGGTTCTCAAGCTCGCTGGCGCCCTGTTGTACCGGGCATATATATGAGTACTTCCTACATTACCAAACCTCAGGCATTATTGATAGAGAGACTGCTGTTAACCTGGAGAAAATTGTTGTAAATCCCGAAGATAAATGGCGTTATTTGTTCATCGACTACAATTGGAATGAGCACAGGCTGTTGGAGAAGTAGAACTGGCAAGAGACCATGCTATGAAGGTGCTCAAATCTGCAGTAATCTTTATACATTAAACGCTGAAAAATATATTGACATTCCATATAATAATACATCACAGCAGTTTTGGCTTGTTAACAGTAAAATAAAAACTCTGACTGGCTTTTACGACAGCACCGAAATAAATTTTATCATAACTAAATCGCCCTCCTTGAACGGTTGATCCTTCGTGGTCGAGAAAAGGATCCGGACAGAGCTCCGTGTACAGGACACAAATGTGGCAGTTGGGTAATGATAGACTTCTGACACTTGAAACTTCAACAGAATTGAAATGTCAGCTGGTGCCGGCTTAGTAAGGAATAGGTGCTCGGACAGAAGGCGGGCCGGATTTCATGTCCTCAATAATAAGATTCAGGAGAATCTGAGTCAACGAGCCTTCTTTACCTGTGTAATAAGCTCCAAAAGTTTCATTAGGCAACATTTGAAAATAGTAGTTAAAAGAAAGAAACACATCAAAAGAAAGCACAGGGCGGACATTTGGTCGGTCATTCATTCGGTTAATTTATGTTCAAAGTTACACAGGATGGAGATAAGTTCTTACCATCCCCAATGATCTGTTCGTCCCACTGCACTACAGGGCGGACGAGAATTCCACTGCCAATAAGCATCATCTCATCTGCCTTCTTCCCTTCCTCAACAGTCACATTGTCCTACTCTTACTCCCTGAAGCTTGCCCTCCCCCACCAGCCCTTCTGCAAGAGCCAAAACTCTCCTCGCTGTGCACCCACTTAGGATTTTGTCAAACTGAGGCATCACAAGTTCCTTCTCTTTTGTAACAAAAGCCACATTCATGTTAGGCCCTTCAGCGATGAATCCATCTCCGTCCAGCCAAATGGCTGCGAATGCACCCTTTTCTTCAGGCCTCCATCTTCGAAAGCACATTTGGAAGATAATTCACACTCTTCATGGTTGCAAATTGGGGGGTTTTATTGGGATTGAAGAAGTTACTACTTTAATTCCCTTCGAACTAAAGGGCGATTGATCTTGGATCACAATAGCATAAAGCGATGGCTGATGGCAGCCAGATGGGGATAACTGAAAATCACCCGGTCCTGCTGAGAGCCAGTATCTCAGAGATCCTGTTTTGCACTTGGAAACACTCACAGTTTGTAAAAGTATCCTTCTTATGGTTTCCCTATCAAATGGCAGGTCAATTTTCGCCATGGATGCTGACCTTAAAATACGGTCAAGGTGCTGGTCCAACTCATAGAGATATCTTCGATGGAGAGAAGAGAGAACAATAAACAAACTTGAACTTACTGACTAATTCACATCTTAAAAATCACAGCACTGAAAATCTGTGTGCATGCGTGTGTGTGTGTGTTAAGATCATACAAATTTTCAAAATCCATGTTCGATGTTCAACAAAAATTATCCAGACATAAAAGGCCAAACTCACTAACCCATCCTTTATAGCAGCAGTGTCGAAAACACCATGCCCTCTGTGGACCATGTGGTCATCAATGGGAATCACCATAGCAGCTGGATCCGTCGTAATTCCTCCGAAAACGCTAGAGTACATGGCGAGAAATTGTTGCTTACCATTCTGATTTTCGCGGTGTGCTTTTAGCCTTTCAATTGCCTTTCTACATAGAAAAGTTCAAATATCATAAAACAGAAGTAAAAAAAAAAAGTCTTGAACATGGATATTTAGTAATTAGTACTAATCTATGAAGTCTGAACTAATCTTTTCCAGATTCAAACAAGTCTCAAACTTTACCACACTTCATCGCAGAAAATATTAACTCAAGACACCAATTAATATTTTTTCACTTATTTTGCTGCACTTTTCTAACTTTTACTGCAAGCAAAGAACTTTAAGAACAGTACCGAAGCATAGAGTACTATATGCACACCCTATTTAATTATGTCCGTTGATTTTTCTTTCGTTTATTGAATCCAAGAACCATAAACGAATACGGGTGTGCAGAAGAGAAAAGTTCATGATTCAAAGGCGAGAAGGTGACCTCTGTGGAAGTCAACTGTGGAACCTCAGAGACTTGGATCCCATAATCTGGCACAACCAATATCGTCGTTGTTAGTGTTCTAATCATGAACTTATATGTGAGTACTTGAGCTTTTTCGAAAAAATTCGACACGTTTATAAAAGCGACTATGAACAGAAGTGCTTCTACGAACTTACCGTACACAGCTTTGGTTCGGTTCGACCTTCTGATGGGCCTCATCTCTCCGTCTCCGAACGACCCATGTTGAAAATTAAGCAACCCATGTCCGGAAAATAGATGATTTCGTGAAACTACGATCAAACCCCTTGAATGGCGACCTGGGTTTATGGGAAAATGCTGGGTTTGCGAGATGGGTTTTGGGAGAGACGGGAGGGAAGCCATGGAAGCGATCTGAGTGAGCTCTGCGAAAACGAAGACGTCAATCGGTGACTGAGCTTAAGAATTGCCTGGGTTCGATTAATACTGGATCGAAGGTGGATCCTGCCTTTACATTTTTTATTCCTCGTGTATTACCACCACGGCTTAAGGTGGCGCGTGGAGTGCACACTCCGGGGTTTTAAAGATAGGTTTTGAGCTTGGAAAAGATGTGTATAAGAAAAAAAAAAAAAAGTTTTAACGAAAAACGCAAAGTACTGTTAATTTTAATGAAAAATCACATTTTAATACTAAAAAGTCAATCCTGGTATTATTCACTTTATTGTTTATTTTGTCCTTATCATTAAAACTTAAAATTTTCAAATCATTGTTATTAGTTTTTTATTTTTTTAAATATTATTACATTTCATTAGAATCATATTTTAGATCGTTTGATGTTTTCTATCTATATTCAACTTTTTTATGCGATCAATTATTTTAATATCATGTTTGATTGCATTTCATTCAAATCAGTTGAAATGACGTGATAATTATATTTCTTCTCTGCAACAATTTTTTGACAATCACAAAATGACAACAATTCTTTTGAGTTTTTAATGAGCCATTTCAAAGTATTGTATTAAAAAATCAAAAGATATCAAGGAAAAATGAAGGCTTCTTGTTTCTTCTAGTGGATTTATGCCAATTTTTTAATGGATTGACGTCATTGAGCAAATTAGCTTTTGGCTTTTTGTTTGATAGAATCTATGAAGCTTTAGAGTAACTTCACCGTTGCAAAGGCTCTTTCGGACTATTCACTATTTAATCAATCTGGTGAACAGTAATTGTCTTTTGCATTTCTATCCCTACACTGAATAGTCATAGCAATAGGCAATAAATCTTAGTAATTTTTTTATTTATAATTAATATTATATTATTTACTTTGTATAAATTAATATTATATTATTAATTTATCTCTGGATCCTCCTCCTTCTTCCTTCTTCTCTACAGATTTGGTTATGCTTCTTCTTCAATTATGCATCTTCTTCTTCACTTCCTTTTTCCTTCTTTATTTGTTATCGAAAAACTTCTTCTTCAATTATGCATCTTCTGCATCTTCTCTGACAATCATCTCCAAGGAAGTCACGACGCCGACTCCGGGAAAGCCCATGATGCCCACTTGGCCTTTAAAGAAGACGGATCCGGAGGCTCTGGTGGGTTTGGGACCAGAGAGGATCCTTTCCACAACTTCCAAGGATGACGGAGGTCAAGTAGCACTAAGGTTGAGGCCCAGAAATGCAGAGGAGATCATGGATGATGTCGTCCAGACGTCAGCCTTGCATCACGTGACCTTCGGGCTCTTGGGATGGCAACTTCTGCCAGGCCTCTCCCTCGGGCCTGCTCGGGCTCACTCGCCAGCACACGCTAGGCTTCATCACCCGGGCTATTTGGCCCTGTTCTTGTGCCTGTGCCTTAGGCTGGAGCACACAATAGAAGTACTCTTAACGAAAAGCTTTGATACTGTTTACTTTAACGAAAAATCATATTTTTATACTAAAAATTCAATCTTGATACTATTCACTTTACCTTTTATTTTGTCCTTATCGTTAAAACTTAAAGTTTTCAAGCCATTTTCATTAGTTTTTCTTAGAATGTAACTTTTGTTTTATTTTCTTAAATAATATATATATATATCAAAAAATAGGATAATAAATTGGCTTTAAATTCTTAATTTATGAAATTTGTTTTAGATATTTATTATTTATGCGCAAAAAAAATATTATTAACTGTAATATTCAATGACAAAAATTAAATTTTATTTTCGAAGTGTGGTTAGTGGACTCACCATTTGCAATAGGATGTTCCTTGTACCTAATTAGACAAATTATTATAATATTTTTATAATTAGGCCAATCATAACCTAACGGCCACGGCCTACCAAGTTATCAAATTTTCAGCTAACCAAAGCGGTTGTGAAGTGTACGCGCCACCACACCGCAACACCCGCCAAATCCCGATTGCGTAAAAATGGTGCTGACTTGCTGATCATATCTGAAAGCAACAACACCGACTTCTCTCATACGTTTCACACTTGCAAATTAGGGTTTTTGAAAATTCAAATTTTCAACCCACGAACTTGGATCAAGAGCCCCAACATTTGGGGCAATTGAAGAACCTAGGGTTTGCTCGACCAAACTTCAATCAATCATCACTACAAAGAAGCAGAACCTAGTTCGTTTCTGTATCCGATTGAGCTAGGGTTTCTTGACCTTGGTTCAAAAATGGAGATAATCGGCGACGCGCTTCGCCAGGCGTTCATGCCGAAGCACGAGTACGAGAGCCTTCGGGCGGAAGACAGAGCGTGGGTGAAACTTCAGAAACCACTGCTAATGGCGTCCATGGGGTTGGTCTGCCTCGTAGTTGTTGTGTGCACGGTTATCAGCTTGAACATTGTGTTTCCGGCCGACCCGGCTAAGCGGCCGTTCTGCGGCGACCGGAGGCTTAATTCGTTGCCGATGAATGTGAGAGGCGGCGATTCCGATCCGTTTCCGGGAGCGTTTTATCTTACGGATCAGGAAATTGCGGATTACTACTGGATGGTTGTGTTCATTCCCACCTTGATCATTTTCTTGGCTACTTTCATGTATCTCGTTGCGGGTAAGGAGGCTTTCAAGCTCTACTTTGATTTTTATTTTTTTTTTACAATTTGAAGTTCTTGCTTGGATGCTAATAAATCCAAGAGGTAGGAAATGAAATTTTTGATTTTGTGTTTGTTGTAGAGAGGTGGAGACTTGGTTCATTACGAGTGCTTTAGGATCCAAATATCTAGTAAAAAATGATTGTGATTAGTGATAACAAAAGGGAAGACTTGGGAATGTATAGGTTACATATTGGACAGTTGTGAGATCTTGGTCTATTTGGTTAGAAAAATCATCAGAAGTACTATAAGGAAATGGCATTTATAATCCAGGGTTTGCTGTCTCGGATAAGCCATTGTCTAAGTACTCTGAATTGTAAGTTATGGTGTTCACTTGGTGGAATAGATTTATGCTTATAATACTTCAAGTTGATAGCTTTGTAGCTGGTGAATGAGTAGTAGAAGCCAAGTACTCACCCGGAGCACAAAAGTGAATCTCTTTATTACATAGGTAGTTTTTTTTTTTTTTTTTGGGTATTCTGTAGTAGAAGTAGGACTTCTGTTAAAGCCAATGAGAAGAAAGAATCTGCTTGCGAAGTGTAGAAATGAGTATTAATTGGTTGTGCATGGATCATGGTATACAATTTTGTTGTAGAAGGGACATTGTGTTGTTGGATATTGCCTCATTATTCTACAGGGATTTTTTTTTTTTTGTGAAAATATTCTACAGGGATTAGATCTAACAATTTTCATGGCAATAATTTGATTTGGATATGCTAAATGGTTTTCAACTTCTCATAGTTTCGATCTGGGTGCAGGAATCACCGTTGCTTATTCTGCTCCAACAAGACATGGATGCTTAAAAGTTGTTGAAAATAACTACTGTGCTTCAAAAAGAGGTATGCTCCCTTTGTCTTTCTCTCTCTCTCACACTCCTGGCACACTTGTTTTCTTTTTCCTTTATTGATATTTAGCTGTTATAACTCGTTTTCGCCCCTTCACTCTGAGATTTTGCTTCACTTGTTCATGGTTTAGTTATTGGAATATGTCAAATGAACTACTGTATCCTACATATTTCAGTCATCGCTATCTATTACTAATTACATGTGACTGGACTTGTCATAGATCATCTGGTTGCTGCATACTATCTCAACTTGCTTGGCTGTTTTGAGTTTTTACCCTGGCGCTAGTTATATGGTTGCTAGTTACTCCTAAATAGCAAATTTGGTATAGAAGTGTAGTGTGCCAGAATTTGTTCACACTTTTTTTAGTTGCAAATGAGTCAGGGTAAAGGCTTTCTTTTGTTGGTTAAAGATGGATCTAAGAGATTGCTTGCATCATGAAGATTTTTCGTACTTCTTATTAGGGCCTTGCCAGAATGGGCATACAGAAGTTTGGTTACGAGTATCTTTTCCCATGTGGTACTGATGGTTCATCCGTTTTATCATGCCAGTTTTCTTTAACGATACAAATTGTAGCATTTCTTTTATATCCTGGCATCTTTGGCCAGAAGCTTGGCGTTGCATGACAACCTCTAATAATTGATGTTTGACCTCTTTTATAATCTGCAGGTGGAGTTCGATGTCTATCGATTCTGAATGCCGTCTTTGCTATCATATTTGGTCTACTTGCATTGTTTCTTGGCTCTAGCCTCCTAACACAAGGAAGCTCCTGCTCTTTGCCCTTGTTCTGGTGCTATGAGTTTGGATCTTGGGGGATGGTTGTTCTATATGGAGGAACTGCCTTCTTTCTAAGAAGGAGAGCAGCTGCAATCCTTGATGAGGGTGAGTTTGGCGGTCGAAACCTAGGTCTTGAAATGTTGGAGAACCCCGTAGAAGTGTCACCAGAGGTGGAAAGGCGGGTTAACGAAGGGTTTAAAGCATGGATGGGGTCTTCACTCCTATCTTCTGATGAAGAAGATGAACCTAACAGTTATTAGGAACTTCCCACATATCTCCAACTCTAACATGTGAATGGTTTGGCATTTACGTGAAGCCTTTCAGAACTAAACAAGTTTCGGCGGACTTTTTGACAACTTCAGAAGAGGATAGAATAGTTTGAAATTCAACTTTGGCTCATCAAAGATGCCAGCTTTGAAATGGTTCTAGTAATGATGTAACACAAAGTGAATGCTGATTGCCCGACTTTAGGATCATGTCGATTTTGTAACCTTTGTTGCGCGTGCCCTCTTTGATAGCCTGTGAATATCTAACCAGATCTCTTCTCTCTCTCTCTCTCTCTCTCTCTCCCCCACCCCCCCGGTAACCAGATGTTCTGCCACGATTTTTATATCAAAGATCTATTGAACAATGCTGAGAAACTCATGGCATGTTTACATGCTACTATGTTGCAAGTTATGGGTTATGTTTCCTTGATAAATCATACCTTTGGGGGTATTATTTATCATTGTCATTCACGACTTCTCTTGTTTCAAGGAAACATGTTCTCAGCCTTATTATCAATTCATCCTTTGAACTTGTGTGTATTTCGATGTGATTCGCCCATATAATGTACCAAGTGATGCGTTTAAGTTTAGGTTAGGTTACACAATAGGTCAACCACTAATCAAGTATCGAACTTAACACAAGTATAATACCACATTGTCATCTATATGAGTCGAACCTAAAAGCTTTTACTCACAAGTAAAAAGAAATATCTCTAGATTGCAGGACGATTTTTGGTATATCATTTTGATTTTATTAACAATAATGGTGTCCATCAATGACTTACAGGTCCGTTTTTTTCCATCTTTAGACCCCAAGTATGGCGTAATCAAATGCCCGAATAAGAAACCCTTATAAGCCCAAACAAAACCCAATCCATCTTTTAGCAAAAATGATCTCTGAGATTTATATAATTCTTCATTTTGATATCTGAAATTTGAAATCAATCATTTTGATCTCTGACATTGTCCACCATCAATCATTTTGGTCATTGGGTGAAAAATTATGTTAAATAAGGATCAAAATGACAAAATCATTCTCAATTTAATATGATAAAAAATGAATGTATTTTTGTTATTTTATTCTTATTTTTCGAAGATTTTTCACGAATTGATTAAAATAATTAACCATAAACACATAAATCAAAATAAAAATTTATGCAAACAGCAGAAATTATGCAAATCGGGATAGCATTTTGACTATAAACCCCCCAATGAAATTCATTGGTTAGTGCTGCTGTAACGTGTAAAACCCTAATCTCTCTCCCCCTCTCATCGTTTCTCTGCAGTGGCTGGGCTGAACGGAACAACCCTTCTCGACTCTCTCGACTCTCTCGACACTCGAATTCCCAACCAGCAGCAACCACAATGGCAGCATACGACTACGACGACGCAGGCAATTACGACGAGACATCGGCGACGCAGCGCCAAACTTCGTCCGGAGCCCCGCCGTCTTCAGACCTCGGATACGACCCCAACTTCGTCCCCGACTCTGTAAAAGCCTTCGTCGTCCACCTCTACCGCCACATCCGCGAGAAGAATGTCTATGAGATCCACCAGATGTACGAGTCCTCGTTCCAGACCATCTCCGATCGGCTCTTCAAGGACACCCCCTGGCCCTCCGTCGACGCCGTTGCCCACTACGTCGACAATGACCACGTCTTCTGCCTCCTCTACCGCGAGATGTGGTTCCGCCACCTCTACGCCCGCCTGTCCCCGACGCTGAAGCAGCGAATCGACTCCTGGGACAATTACTGCAGCCTCTTCCAGGTTGTCCTCCATGGCGTCGTTAATATGCAGCTGCCGAACCAGTGGCTTTGGGACATGGTCGACGAGTTCGTCTACCAGTTCCAGAGCTTCTGCCAGTACAGAGCTAAGATGAAGAACAAAACCGAGCAGGAGATTGCTCTGCTCAGGCAATTTGATCAGGTAATTATCACATTCAGTTCCTCAATGTCAGAAACCCTAAACCCGAAATTGGATTCTCATTGTTGTTTGAGATGACCATAATTGGGGTTTTTTTTGGCAGGCTTGGAATGTGTACGGTGTCCTTAACTTCTTGCAAGCTCTGGTTGAGAAGTCGATGATCATTCAGATTCTTGAGCAAGAGAAGGAAGGGCTCGAGCAGTTTACCGCCACTGATGGGTATGATTATAATGGTGGCAGTAATGTGTTGAAGGTGTTGGGGTATTTCAGCATGGTGGGTTTGCTTCGAGTTCATTGTCTTTTGGGCGATTATCATACCGGTCTGAAGTGCTTGCAGCCCATTGACATTACCCAACAAGGTGTTTTTACCACTGTTATTGGAAGCCACATTGCCACCATTTATCATTATGGTTTCGCCAATCTTATGCTGCGGAGGTACATTGTTCATTTTGTATGTTCTTTGTGATTTGACTTTGTTTTGCGTTAGATGTGTGCGCATATATAACTTTGTTTAGGTAGCCTTACAAGTATTACTGGTTTTTTGCCTGCAGGTATGTGGAAGCAATTCGGGAATTTAATAAGATTCTGTTATACATCTACAAGACCAAGCAGTTCCATCAGAAATCTCCACAGTATGAGCAGATTCTGAAGAAGAATGAGCAGATGTATGCACTGTTGGCAATTGCTCTTTCACTATGCCCCCAGGTGACGCTTGTTGAGGAAACTGTGAACTCTCAGTTGCGCGAGAAGTATGGTGAGAAAATGAACAGAATGCAGAGATATGACGATGAAGCCTTTGCTATTTATGATGAGCTCTTCTCCTACGCATGCCCTAAGTTCATTACCCCTTCCCCTCCAAGTTTTGAGGAGCCCCTTGTTAACTACAACCAGGTATGTGAAACGTTACAGTGTTGATATGATGATTTTTCTTGGAGAATAGTGCATACGATTCTAATTATTGGTTGTGGTTATAATGCGTTTACATGATTTGGTGGTAGACTTGATGCATAGCATCAGCAAACACTTGAGCAATAACAAAAATTCCATAGACTGAAATTTGATGGTGTCATACCAGAGAGAAAAGTGGTCTTTAGGCTCTTGGGGTTTAAGGTTGGAAACAGAAATCAAATAGAAGTCTTACTATTAGATATACGGATATTTGAGGCAAACTGTTGGTGGAGATCCTCTCTGTCTTTCTCTCTGAATGGGTTTGCGTGCGGGCATGTGTGCACAATTAATATATTCGATTTACCAATTGCAGGACGCTTATAGACTTCAATTGAAACTGTTCCTTTATGAAGTGAAGCAGCAACAGTTATTATCAGGCGTCAGGACCTTCTTACAAGTCTATTCATCCATCTCCGTAGGAAAGCTCGCAAGCTACATGGAAGTGGATGAATCCAAGTTGAGGTACTTAATGAGGATTCTGTTACTTATGTTTGTCTAATTCTTGTTTTGATTATATAATATTTGCTTGTTTTGTCACTCTGTCTTGTAGGACAATCTTGTTGACATACAAGCACAAGACACATGCTGTTGATACTGAGGGAAAAGTTATCTCCAATGCTGACGTGGATTTCTATATTGACGATGTATGTTTTCTTCTATTACCTTTTATCTTGTTAATGGAAACATGAACTCCTTATGCACTTGGTTTATGGGACGTTTGTCGAGGTGATTATAAAGTTGCCTCAGAAGATCTAAAACAGTGTTACCTTAAGTCGTCAGCTGGCCTTATGTAGCATCGCCCCCTTTTTATATTTCAAATACAATTCTTTTCTGTTTTTTGATTCTTAAATTATGTTAGGTCGACTCATAGTTTTCTTAAGTGAACATGTGATTTCGGTCTGTAGTTTGACTTAACTATGCAATTCAATGCCTAAAAGGAAAAACAAAAAGTGTGAATGCAGAATGCTTGTCTTTGGAAATGGGTTCAGTTACTCTGATATGCCCTTCTTTTACACTTGGAGGATCTGCGTCTATCGATGTTTTCTTCACATCAATGATGATTTATTTACTGGGAAATTGTTAGCCTTATCTAGTGTAAATTAGAATAGTAAATGATGACGCCTATGTTTTCTGCGTGTAATATTTCTATTCTACTGCAGGACTTGATTTCTGTCGTCGAATCAAAACCAGCAAAACGATATGGGGATTACTTCTTGCGACAAATCGTTAAGGTATGCACAATTCCTTGTTTTCCCTTATTTAAAGAAATCTTAATTAGCAGCGTTAGGCAAGTAAAAAGTTAATCGCCCTGTTTAATATCTTTGAACTTTGTTGTTACAGCTTGAAGGGGTGATCAATGATATGGACAGGGTAAAGCTTGATTGAGTCATCCGTCGCTTTCTAAATTACCTGCCTCATGTACCTCTCGGCTGCAATTTTTGCTCATTTAGATTCGTGTAATGACGTTTTGAGATTTTTTTCACTTGCTAATTACCTGCCTCATGTACCTGCTCGGCTGCTCTTTTGAATTGGCGGATGTCGTTTAACTCTTAGAATTATCGAAATGTAACTTTCCAAGTATTTTTTAACCCCTGAATCCAAGTCATAATCGGGTGGATCGGATATTTCTCAAAACACATGTCACGTGATGAGAGAGATATTTATATGTAAGTATATAGTTGGGTTTTAGTTAGGTTTGAATTATGGCATGGATTATTACTTGTGATACTTATTTTATGAAACTCGTTAAAAGAACTTATCTTTCGTTCAAATGCCTCGTACTCCATCCATATATGAACAGATTTATAATTGATGAGTAAAATAATTATCCAATGTCACGTGATGAGAGAGAAACCAAATTTTAGTGCACAAAATGCAATTAAGCCGATGTGGAATAAGGATCCTTTTTAGATTCTTTCAGAGATATTTTAATTCCATCCGTTTATCGTATATCATGTGATAAAAAATTATTATAAATTTTTTATTTGAAATTAAATATAAACAATATCTAACGAAAATTGATCACATAATGTACGATGAACGGATGTAATTGGAGGATCTTCGAAATCCTCACAATCGTATATCGTGCGATTTTAAATTATTATAAAATTTTTAATTTAAAATTAAATATAAATAGCATCTGACGAAAATCGATCATATAATATATAATGAACGGATATGATTAAAGGATATTTGAAATCCTTACAAAGAGGATCCAGAGGAGGATCCTTATTCCTAGGTGCGGTCACTCATGCTAATTGACTTTCGGGAAAGGCAACATTTGACGACAGCGATTACGTTAATTTCCCTGTCGTTTTTTCAATCCGCTAACTTTGTGAGCGGGAGAATTAGACTCGCAAGTCGCAATGGTTGTCAATTCTCGCTTGTCCTTTTCCAGGTACTATTTTCATTCTACAATAATAAAACTTATTTATAGATTGTCCCCCTAGTTGATTTTTATATTTTTTTTAACAGCAAAGGACTTATAGCTCCGGTAAGAATATTAATATTCGCACTCGCTTTTTTTTGTGCAAATTCATTCTTTTCCTATATCATTTGTTTCACAAAAAAAAAAAAAAAAATGTACACAGCAATAGTTTTTTACTTTATAAAGTGCATGCTTGTATATTCGTAGTGTCGATAACAGCTATAAAAAAAGTATATTAATTTCATTTTCAGCATACTATTTTTAGTCATCAAGATAGAAAATTTACGGCTGAATAAAAATATAAAACAGTTTAGTCACCTTTTGAAATTTTTTAGTCCAAAATGGATCAAATTAATATTGAATGTTCAACTTCAACCTGTCAAGAATTAGTCAAATATTATTTGGGTAATAAATACATGTACCAAGACAAATTTGGATGACATTTTATGAACATGAAGCCTCTGTCTTTGGTTTCTACTCCTACTTTTTTGAATGTTAGTTGTGTGGTTTTAACCTGGATTTGCATAGTGCGCACACATGTACACTTAACCTCCATCAAACATTCAACGTTATCATTGCATCTCTTAAGATTTCACTTGACGGATCAATCATTCTGTTCAGGACTTACATACAAGCGGAATTTTAACGCGGTGGTATTCCAACCAATTATACACTGTCATGTTTTGTTGAGATAAACTTCAATGCACTGTGAATTCTGTTGTTATGGTTGTATTACAAACCAATCATACACTATCATGTCAGAACGTTAACTGACTAATTTATATATCGCCACAGTTGCATCTCGTTATGGGCACATAAGTCATTTGGGTATGTTGCCAGATTATCACCAAACCCCCATCTCCAGCAATTCCTTTCCTCCAACCCACATGGGTTTTTGTCAAGAAGGAAAGGTAGAATATTATTATTGTTTATTATTCTCAGTTATATAGGTAGCTAGGAATAGGCTAATAGGTGCGGGCTATAGCAACACAGACAGAGTAGTGCTGACTGGTGTGAGAGAAATGGTGATCAGTGCAAGGTGTTGCTTGAACAACTCCATGAGAGCTTTGAATTTATTTGTTAATGTTTGTGGAGTTGCAGTCATCATCTACTCCCTTTGGCTCACCAAGAAATGGCAAGTTGGAGTCTCCGAGCTCCCTCCTGTCTCAATTGTCCCTAAGCCCTGGTAAATACATATACACGCACAAATTTTACTTTTGTTGAATTGTGAATTCATATTTTCATGCTTTGGGTGATTCCGAGGTTCTGTATTCAAATCTTCCGCTCTCCAATATCGCTTGTATCAAAGAAAACGAGAAGGGTTTTTGCCGTTTTTTGTGATAGACCTATAGTGCAGAGGCTTCCTGCAGTTGTTCTTTAATCTTGTTATATTTTGCATTTGTTCGAAAGTCATCAGTTGCAATTTTGTTTGACAGGTTTATATATACATGTTTAGGTATGGGAATTGCTGTCTGCCTGAGCACCCTTTGCGGTCATATTGTTGCCAATTCCGTCAGCAGTTTTACTCTCTTCATTGTATCCTTTCTGGTGTATACAGCTTTTGTATTGACATTCGACTTCAAATTTTTGTTTACTATGTTCGAAAAAAAAACTTGGGAGGTGATTTTCACACTCGTTTTATTTTCCTGCGCTCCTCCATTTGAGTGCAGAACACTTGAAGGTGAGTGTCAAAATCGCCATCCAAACGTTTCTTCCTTTTTTCCCTTCAACTTTTTACCACTTTTTAGCAATTTGAATTTAGTTTTATGAATATTTACATAAATATCATCAATCTGGTTTGTCCTTGACCAATTTTAATAGTACATAATCTTCGTCTTCTGTCTTCTTTGCCTTGAAGTTGGAGTGATTGTCTCAATTTTCTATAGGATGGACTGGGAAAAGGTATGCCTTCATGGACTGCATTCAGTCTTTTAAGCTTGGTAGCCATTAACTAGTAATCACTTTTTCAATAAGCTGCTTTTTTGGCCTGCTTTTTTCACAGCAATTTGCCAAGTACATTGATGAGGATCACACCCTGTTCAAAAACTTCTTGAGGTTTCATCTAAACATGTGCCGCATCATTGTAATTCTCATTTTGATACCGCAGGTACAAAAAACCCTGTTTTTTTACTCAACTTCGGACATTGTCTGAACTGTTAGATCATCATAATTTTGGTGACTTAACGGTTCAGACAATGTTGAATTTCCTGCGACTTTGAGCTAAACACAATTTCATTTTGCAGATTAAGGCTACCGTGCTGGCAATCATTCTTTGGGCCATTGGTTCTGAGCCGAGGACGGAACATTTCAACTCTTCTGATGTCACAAACTTCAGATACTCATTTCTAGCAGCACCTACACAATCGTTACAAGATATATCAAGACATGGATTCAGAAACTACGAAGTTTCATCACCAGAATTTGAATCTCCACCACGCCCAAGCCTTTTTTCAAATGTACAAAGATTTTTCAGAATGCGTTTTCAAAGAAGAGCCACCCTTAGTTAGGGCAGAAGTATATAAGTTTTGCTTTTAGGGTCCCCTGCATTTTTGTATTTAGTTGAAGGGGTTTAGAAGTATATAATCTTCGCAGTGCCATTAGTTCACTGTCGCTGAAATAGTGAAATGGTAAATGCTTTTACCGTTGAAAACCAACAACTGCTTGTCCGAAACTCTAAATCTCAGCTCACCAACCCCGCCATCCAGGTCCAAAACTCTACGGACGATTGCCTGCACTGCCACCCTCTCAGCGGAGATCATGGCGTCTGAACATGGCGGTTCTGCATTTGCACACATTCCTCAGGTTCCTGAAGCAACAATTCCCGTGGTAAGGAAATTAGATTTTCCCACACTTTCTTAAAACTTGGATTTCTTTGTGAATAGTTCAAAGACTCATGGTTCACGGGATACTGCAATTCACACCAGTATTGCATTTGCTTAAAACTTTGGATATTTGTGTGTCTAGTTGTCTTGGTTGATCCACAAGAGATAAACTCGCGCTCCTATGCCTTAGAGTAGTTTAGCATCATCATACAGTGTACATGTCCCAGACACCTTATCAAAACCACCCGAATTTTTTCAATGCAGCAGGTCTAGCTATGAAGACATATCGTTACTATGATCCGCGAACACACATACTAGACTTTGAAGGTAAGTTTTTGTATATAATGCTACTTGTATTTTCCTTCTTTTGTATGCCATTACCTTGCATCCCTCTCTTCTATTGTTGATTGTATTTTCAGTGGACTTATCGTTTATTTCTGTCAGAAGATCGATAAGATTATGTAGGCTATAATTTGTTTGTACCTATTGTTCTACCCATCGTTTTCCATCCGCGACAATGCTTGAACGTTCTTTTGTTCACATCTTCTAGTTCCAGTCTCAGTGAATGACAGGAATGCTGGAAGATCTTCGTTCTGGCCCAACAGGAGCTATCGTGCTTCTCCAAGCATGTGCGCATAACCCCACCGGTGTGTTGATCCAACTATGCCACAGTGGGAGCAGATAATTTCCTTGATATTGCTTAGCAGGTATGGTATAGTTTCGTTTAAGCTCGATTTCAGCTTCAACCTTGCAGTTTTATAAGATCCCTCAACTGGTAAAACCTGCAGGATCTTGTACCTGAGAAATTGGATAAGTCTGCTGTGTAATGTAGGGTCAGTGTCTTGCGGTCTGCGTTGAGTCCATCGGCAGTGTTATAGATCGAACGTCGTCATCTTACATTAGGGCATAGTTTACTCACCCTTATTATTACTGTGCAGTAGGACTACCTTGACAGGTCTTGGTCCCAAGGCAGTTCCTCATCTTGTAGATGCAATACATGCAGCTGTGACCACTCATCTCTAAGCCAATTTTGAAGTGCATAAAGTGGCCATATTGTAACTCTCTTGTAATCCAAGAGTTACCAGTGCTGGTTTGTAGCCTATTTGTATTAAAAATAGAAAATTGCGAGCAACATGCTTGTATCTTCGTTAGTAGCATATAATATTTACACATGAGATCATAAGTTTAATTTTCCTCACTGCCTAATCTTATGATCTCAATTTGTAACTCAATTGGTTAAGAACATAGTTAATAAAATAAGAGACTGGATTGGTTAAGAACATAGTTAATAAAATAAGAGACTGGAGTAGTACTTTAAAAATACATACATACTACTCAAGAACTTTGCCTAAAGCTTTATTTATTTATTTTTTAACGTTTAATATAATTTTATTGTTTATTTTAATTTACATACGCCTAGAATATGTGATTTTTTCTGTGTTCTACTCAAGAGCTTTGCTTAAAGGTATTTGATTACTTACGTGTATAATGCGTTGGGCTTTTAAAAGATGTGTTTTAACGAATCATTGAGAGAACAACTTCAAATAATACATTTGCACATACAATACACAAATTGAAAAAGAAAAGCTAAATGCATTTACGCTTACACTCGAAGTCGTAAGTTTAATTTCCCCCAGATTCATGAGTTTAATTTCTCCCAACCCCAGTATCGTAGGTATAACTGGACGGGCTTAAAGCCCATGGGCTTTTATAATGGGAAGAGATGCATGTACGCTTCAAACAAGAGGCAGAGATTCAGCCCATACCCACAGCCTCGATGCACGTGCCTACCAAAATTTTATCGGATGTCCCCGAAGGGACTGCCTCCCCAAATTAGATAACATCGATAAGGCCGAAGCCACGTGCCCTCGATGCACGTGCCCACCGAAACGGTTTTTCACGTCACGGATAACAACATCAATTCGTAGCAGATAAAAAATAAAAATAAAAATGAAGACAACAAATTTTAAATCCAACGGCCAAGAATCCCGTACCACACAAAACCAACGGCGGATCGTGCAGAATTGGAAACAGAGATTTTCTTCGAGAAAGAAAAGGTGTAAATAGAATAAAAATTGTCAAATAGAGGCAGTTAAGGAAGAGCGGGGCCCACTTAATCAGAAGGATATGATATTTATACACCACATCTTACTTCTTACATACCTTTTTAATTTTCGGTAGTCATATCGGATGAATTAAAAAAGATCAAAGAATAAAGAATTATTAAAAGATGTATAAAAAATAAAATAAAGTGTATGAATAACACATCTCAATCAGAAACGTCAGGGAAGAAGAGAGAGCCCTCCACGACGCGCCACGTCGTCAGCCACGTATGCAATTAAGGAAAGCAAATCGTTTTCTTTCCTTTTATAATGCCCATACAGCGAAGAAACTTTACACAGCGAGCGCACCAAAACTCGAAAAAGGCGTAATTTAAGCCCAGGAACGAATAAAACTGCCTAACATGCGCCCACAGTTAACATCACCCCACGCCCACAGTTCTTCAGTTTCTACGAGTAGTGATCGGAGGCTAAGCGCTCTGGTACGACACCTCGCTGCCGAAGATCAATCGTCCTCCGCCATGGATGCTCACAACAACTCCATCTCTGCCTCGCCAGCTTCCGCCCACGCCAATTCCGTCTTCGCTCACGTTGTTCGCGCTCCCGAGGATCCAATCCTTGGGGTACTCTCTCTCTCAAAGTGTTTGATCTTTGCTTGAATCAGTTTATGAGATTTCAGATTTTCGCGTAATTTGTAGTGATGGAGTTTTGATTTCGGTTGCGATTAAGCTGAACCGTTTTCAAATTTTGGTAATGGATGATGTTTAAACTGTAATTTGATCGTTCGGGCCCAAAATCCTTTTCGGTTTTCGATTTCAGAGTATTTTAATGTTAGCTTTGATGTTGATCGTGATTCATATACTAGTTTGATCGCGCTTGTTTATCTTTATCCCAACACCTATCGTATTAATCTCCGTCAATTGATTGATTGATATCCGATTTTTTATTATATGAACAGGTTACTGTTGCGTATAACAAAGATCCAAGCCCTCTGAAGTTGAATTTGGGTGTTGGCGCTTATCGAACCGACGTGAGTCCCTTTATGTACTGAATTTAACATGATTCATCAAGTTGTAGTATGTATTGTTAGCGAAATCGATCTTCTCTAATGTATGGAAATCGAATGGTTTCCGCTCACAGGCAGAGCTGATGTTCGTTTCATTGTCAAAATTATGCGTATTTTTGTATGTTAAAAAGGGAATGACATGTCATCGTCGTTTGTTATCGTCGTTGTGTATGCGTTAATTTCTTAACTTGTTTTGTTGTCATGGAATGGCAGGAGGGAAAACCACTTGTTCTTAATGTGGTGAGAAAAGCAGAACAGCTGCTCGTTAATGACATGTAAGCTGTGTCATTGTCCAACATTATTCACGTTAGCCTGATTTGTGCTGTTAATTATTGGCTTACGATTTGATTCCTCATTACACCCAGGTCTCGCGTTAAGGAATACCTTCCAATCGTTGGACTGGCAGATTTCAATAAGCTGAGCGCTAAGCTGATTCTTGGTGCTGACAGGTATAGAAGACGGATTGATATCTCGTCGAATCCTTTTTTCTTTATCACGTTTTGTTTGGAGGTGTATTGATCATGTTCTTTGATGCAGCCCTGCTATTCAAGAGAACCGGATTACTACCGTCCAATGTCTCTCGGGAACTGGCTCATTGAGAGTTGGAGGTGAATTTTTGGCAAGGCATTATCATGAAGTAAGTGCTTACATGTTGCATCTTCTCTTGTTTCTACTGTTGTGTAGATTATAGTTCAGCGAACTTAACCGTATCTATTTTACTGCAGCGCACAATATACATACCCCTGCCGACATGGGGAAACCACACCAAAGTTTTCACTCTGGCAGGGTTAACTGTGAAAAGTTACCGGTATTATGATCCAGCAACTCGTGGCCTCAACTTCCAAGGTTTAGAACTAGACGTGTTCATAGTTTCTTATTGTGTCTATCACAGTTGAATTTCTTTGCCCCAACTTTTTCATCTTCTGCCATATAGTTTTTTCTTAATTTACTAATAGTTCTTCCCTCGTGGGGTAATTGGCTGCAGGCCTTATAACGTGTCAATTCTTCGTCCTGTTTTAATGCTCTTTTCGTTTCGTTTAACAGGCCTCTTGGAAGACCTCAGCTCTGCCCCAGCCGGAGCAATTGTACTTCTCCATGCATGTGCTCATAACCCCACTGGTGTTGATCCAACCCTTGAGCAGTGGGAGCAGATCAGACAGCTTGTGAGATCAAGAGGATTATTACCGTTCTTCGACAGTGCTTATCAGGTAGATCGCGTATAAAGTTCCAACTCCTCTACACACTAGTTTCTTCTTTCTGTTTAATGTCATGCTATTCCAACTTCTCATGGTGAATTGTTTTCTTTTCTTCATAGGGTTTTGCTAGCGGAAGTTTGGATGGCGATGCACAGTCTGTTCGTAGGTTTGCTGCTGATGGTGGAGAGTGCCTTATTGCTCAAAGTTATGCAAAAAACATGGGTCTGTACGGCGAACGTGTTGGAGCCTTAAGCATTGTAAGACTCATTCCATAACTTTCAGTTGCGATTTCCCTTATTTTGATGCATCCCACAAGAATTTAATACGAAAAAGAACTCCATAATTGGCATACATCTTAAATTGTCTCTTGATTGTATTCGTTGTCGAAATTTCTAATTGAACATAGGTCTGCAAGAATGCTGATGTTGCAAGCAAGGTTGAGAGCCAACTGAAGCTTGTGATCAGGCCCATGTACTCGAACCCACCCATTCACGGTGCATCCATTGTAGCCACCATTCTCAAGGATAGGTACTCTTTGAATCTTGTTCAAATACCTGTTAAATGGCAATGACTTGATGTGTCTTCATCTAATTTCTGAATTCCAAACTGAGTTTGTTTTTTCTTCACTATTTTGAGTTCTAGTTGCCTTATCGATTTTTTATTCCGTGGTCAGGGACTTGTTTAGCGAATGGACAGTTGAGCTGAAGGCCATGGCTGATCGTATCATCAGCATGCGGCATCAGCTTTTTGAATCCTTGCGTGCTAAGGGTGAGTATTTCCCTATAGGGTATATAGAAATTTTTTGTTAATCAACATCGAATGGAAAAGGAAAGGCGAAGAAAGACAACATAATTTATATGCATTTCCGTAGCAGTTTGCATAGTTACATCACCTCGCTGAGTTATATATTCTGCAGGCACACCAGGTGACTGGAGCCACATCATCAAGCAAATCGGAATGTTTACCTTCACCGGATTGAACTCCGAGCAAGTTGCCTTCATGACTAAAGAGTACCATATTTACATGACATCCGACGGGTAATCAATCAGCTTTAATCATGACTTCTTTTATTAAACGAAGCCTAATCTTCTGAACGTCGAGGGTAGAAATTTGGTTGCATATCGAAACGCGTCTTGACGCAGATAGAGCGAGGATTTGCAGAACGAGGTGATTCGACTTAATTTTCTTTCTTCGTTTTTGCAGGAGGATTAGCATGGCGGGTCTGAGCTCAAGGACCGTCCCTCATCTTACCGAGGCAATACATGCCGCTGTTACTCGCGCTGCATAGTCGTATGTTTGGAAGGCAGCATTTTCTTGTTGTGAGCCAACTCCAATATTGGACTCTTCCCTTTCTGCAGTTTTCTTGTAATAATTATTTTACCTCATTGGATGAGGTTAAAGCTTTGGCCGAGTATCATAAAATGAAGAAAATCTGGAGGATTTGTGTGATGTTTTCTACCTTCCCCATCTTTAACTTTATATGCATTCAAAAGAAATTTTCATGTCAAACTATAAGTTTTTTGGAGGATCCATTGTTTCATAATTTTTGTATGTTTTTGATTTCAATAGTCTGGGACGACATAGTAATTTGAAAAATAAACGGTTAAGATTTGAACAATGAAGATTGTGTATAAAGCCAGATTCTTAGTAACCTACCCAAAAACGAACTCGATGTTTAGAAAAATTAGAATTGTTTTTGGAAGGCTAAAGCGCTTTCCGACGAACAAAAACACTTCTAACTTCTTCTGGCTCAGAGAAAAGTTTTCTCAAGAACACATCCCAAATGTTTCATAAAAAAGTACTTGAATGTCGTGAAAGTTACGACGTGCTTATAATAAAAGCACTCCTACTAGATACACCATAAGATATTTTGTCTAGATAAACGCTATCCTAAAAAGAAATTTTTTATTATAATCTGAACACAAGTAATACATTAAATATTTTTATACAAGTGATGAAGAATTTTATTTATTAAATTATTAATTTTAACATACATATCTCACCATTTATATAGTGACGTGATGTATCACTTTGTGTGTCTAATCATCTAGAAAAATCTCTCCTTCCCAAACGGTCTTCAAACTTCACCAAGGAAGATTATTTTTTTTTTTTTTGGGTAAGAAGAATGTAATCCGAACAGGAACAGTTAAATCTCAAGTAGGGTAACAAAAAACACGAATATAAAAGAACGGAACTGAAACCTCTTCGGACCAAAGGATCAAATGATCCAAGCCATTAAAATTTGATTCAATGACTACAAATAAAAAGTCCTTTAAAAGTTATAATAATTGTAACCGTTTGATCAAATTTTAATAGTCCGAATCATTTGATCATTCGACTCAATTCCTTTGTATCCGGATAGGATCCGGTTCTAAAAGAACATGGAATAGCTCATGAACAAATTTCTTTTTCAATTAATCGATTAACTGGATCCAGACGCTGCAGCAAAAAATTGAAAAACACAAGAAAAAAGGAATTTAAAAAAAATAAAAAAAAAGGAGAAAGAACTACATACATCGATATATATATAGTATATGGATAACAAAATCTAAGGACAACTCCGACAGAAGGAATAACCCAAGCAAGAAGTAAGGCAACCTTCTTACAGGAAGCTATTTATCTGCAACCCTTCAACAAATAAGAAGTCGGACTCGAGAAGCTCTTGCCATTTGAGGAAGACTTCACGTTTTCTGTTCCCTTCTTCCCGGGCGTCCCGCATTCGCTAAAGTCGAGGGTGCGACACTCCACCTACGAAAAAAATTACCTAGATGATTAGCTGATTTCGTTACAATGACAAGAACACAAACCCTTTCATGACATAACTGAAAACGCTAGACGAAGAAAAAAGGATCATACCAAAACATTGGAAGCCGAAAGAGAACTACTCCCTGGCTGATTAGGCGACCCCTGCTTGTTCTCAGGGCCCGCAATATCTCGGTCTTTCTGTCTTTCCCGGAATAAACTTTCAGGAGTTTCATTTCCCAACACCTCCTGGGCATTGGCATAGGCAGCAGCAGTCTGCTCACTTATCTGTTTCATCAGCCCAATGGCATCGTAGCTTCTATCCCCTGGGCTCATGAAAAACCCTATATCCTGGAGAGAGGAAATCGCGTTGGATTTAGTTAATATCAGACCCACGACCATGTAATTTGAGAAGATAATCATCTGCCAGGAACTGTGGTTACCTCAATTGTAATTTCAGTATCAACTCTAGGGCCGGGGACAAATGAGTTGATGAACCAAGGAGATTTCCATGCCGAAGGAGAATCGATACTTCTCTTAAAAGGAGTACCACCAAACCTAGAAAAACAAACACCGTCACCAAACAAACTCATCAGGATCATAAATTGAGAGTACTCTAGAACTACAAGAAATCATAAGGCAATACTGAATATGCCGGAAACAATGACATTGACAACAGACTAAATCATACACGCTTTCAATATTGACATCATTGCTGGCACTATCAGTCTCTGGTGGAGCTGACGTAGAATCAGACTGTACACATTTATCTGCGAGAATTCCATGCTTCTTTACACATATAGTGGGGGTTTTAACAGATGAGCATTGTCTTGCAGAAAACGATTTAGAAGGAACTCCTGGGTTGGTGGCTTCAAAGCTTTTACGTAACTGATCTTTAGGAGTTCTAGCAGTTGAGCTGAAGGGTTTTTCAGCTTTACATCCAACTACATCAGGAGAATTTAGTAGCAGATCATTTGTGTTACGTTCAACAAGTACTCCAGAAGGTTGTGCCTGAAAAGTGCAATAAGAGAATTTATACTACAAACAAATGCAATATAAAATCCACCAACATTAAGTGATTGGCCAGTAAGCCAGCAAAATAAATGCAAGGGAAACTCACACTTTGTGTAGTTGGGACGACATCAACCTTACTCTTAGCATCAACATCAGCAGTTTGTTGGAACTGCTTTCCCTTTTCCCTGGATTGACCGTCATCAAAATCTCTCTGTACAGTTCCATCATCTGACATTGCAGTGCCGTCAATCCCTTTTTCTACTTTGTTTTCACAGGTACCCTTATTCTCTTTATTTTCACCAGAGGCATCAGAATTTCTTTTCTGATCAGAAGATGGAGAAGGGAATCTTCTTTCTTCTCAGTGTCTTCAAACATAACATCAAGACGTGAAAAATCTCTGGCCAAGCAGGAGGTCACGTCAGTCCCAAGCCTTTTATCAATTCTTCTATCTGATAATGGCGACAATGGAGACAACAAATCTCGGTGTCGTTTCTTCAAAATAGATGGTGTGCCTGTAAAAGTTTTAGCAGCACTTTTTAGCAAGGCATCAGGGCTACCCTCACGAGAGGGTGAATCCCATAACCTATAGGGAGTGAGGCAATTCATAGAAGACATCATCAGCTGACGAATGCCAAGGGGACTATATTCTTGCTGCATGTCATTACAAGATTGTATAAGATCACAACTAAAAAATGGAATATCCAAGCTTGGAAAGCGAGGAGGCTCATAACATAGAGCTCCAGCATCCTGCGGTTCTTTTCCAGCATCCTGCTGTTCTGTCTGCTCATTTGAACTCACATCCACAGGACAAGTTTGCGCATCCAATCCCGAAGCAAATGTATTTACAGGGACTAATTTTAAAGAATCATTAACCAGATCTGATTTGCAGGGAGAACTGGCAGACTCGTTATTATAGATAAATCCATCATTTAAACTTGTCACAAACTCTTGGTCTTGAACTCTGAATAAATGAGTAGGTTCTCCAGCATATATCAGTGGATTTTCATGAGCAGAAACTACTTGAGAGCAAGAAGTTCCAATTACACCAGAATCCAGGGGATGATATGATTGTGAAGCTGAAGTTCTGCCAGTTTCAGATATTTGGAGGTTTGTGGGTTGGAGAAGTACTGAATCTGTGCAAGCACCCAAACCAACTATGTTTGAGCAATTTGTAAAATCTCTAGAGGGAAAACACCCACCATTCATTGAAAATAATGCCCTACAGCATTCATCGTCAGATATCAACATGTGCTCTGATTTAACTGAACCGAAGGCCATGTTACCCATGGAAGTTGAAGTTTGAAATGGAGCCTCCACCCCTTCATGGCTCTCATTAGACCTCATACAATGAGTGTACATCCTTGATGATTCCTGGTCGCATTCTAGTGAAGAAATGTTAGGTAACTCATGCAAATTTAACTGGAAATCCCCACTCATTGAAGCTCCAGCATCATGTGAGAAATTTTGTTCCAGGAATTTGGAGCAAACCAATTCAGGAGGTATTTCTGGAATGGAAAAATTGGCATCTCCTATAGTCATAGATGGGTAGTATGGTTCTGAACAAGATGCTGGACTGCAGCTTGGGTCATTCGCTAAACGGGAAACATCATTATTCCCAAACTCCTCTCTAGTATGTGGTACCACATTGGCCATTTCAGGTGCTGAGAGATAGCAACCAGCAACAGTTGAATCTTGACTGCATTCTGAAATTTCTTCTACTTCTGCACCTTTAGCACCACTATCATCTCCACTGCTCTGCATTCTTGAAGAAGATGACATCATGTGTTGGTTTTGATTTCCAACATGAGGCATCCCTTGAAGCTGTGTAAGTAAACCCTGATTTCAAGTAAGAATCCAACTTCTTCTTCACAGAACTGTTCCAGTGATTTTTTATGGAATTGTCTGTCCTGTTGACCATGCAAGTATAGATATATCACAATTGTTGCCAGTGCACCAGAGTAAAAGGACATACAGTAGTAGCAATGGAAAACATTCAATTTTTGTTAAATGTACGTTGAAACAACAGAGACTCTTTGCCTCTAAATAATGTATGGGCATACCTTCCAGGCAAGAACTTCGTTAGCTCTGCCCATTTGTTCCCATACATTTGATGAGCACGTATCAGAGCCAACTCCTCTTCCTGTGTCCATGCCTCTTTGTTTATGCCAGGATTAAGATGATTATGCCACCTAAAAGTAGTTCCAACATGGTAAGAAAAAGAAACAAATACTAGATCAGGATTGAAGAGTAACAGGATTGTATCAATGAAATCATCCACAAGAAATTCTGTTATCATACCTTTCCCGACACTGCTTACCAATACGTCCGGGTAAATGCTGTGCAATAGTGGACCACTTTTTTGGACCATATTTTTTCACCAACTCAATAATAACTTCGTCCTCCTAATCAATTTTGCAGAAACAACTAGTAAGGAAACATTGCATGTAAAAAAGAGAAATATGAGTTGATCCGACAAAAAATCTTAACAAACAAATGAGGTGACAGAACAAACACAAGAATAAGATGCAAGTAGTGCGATACCTCTTTAGACCATGGACCTTTGACCAGTTCGGGATTCAAGACTTTCTGCCATCTATGTAGGCATTGCACATCAGTCCGATCCTTGAAACACTCCGCTACAAATAGCCAAGATTCCAATTAAAAAATGAACAGAACATAGATAAATAATAAGTAGCATCAACTGAGATAAAAATCTTTGGTCAATTCAAATAATGAGGAGAGAGAGAGAGAGAACAGGGCTAAACTTTAGTGAAAACAATCTTTAGTGTCATGGCATACTAACAGAGATGGACACATTAGTAACACAATAATACCTATTTTTTTCCAATTCTTTCCTTTAAAACGCTGAACAGCCCTCCGCAAGATCTCATCCTGAATGGACAGAGAATATATTATTGTGCGCCGCATATTCCATAAAGAAAGAGGGATAATGAATGAATGACAAATATGCATGTAGCTAGGAGAATGTATTAAACAAAAACACAGTAATTTGAGATTTAAATATCAATGATGTATCAAATAAAGCAGCTAAAGCAATTTAAAAATTCACACTGTAAAATTCCGACTGCCAAGGTGTTAATACGCACCAAGCCATAAACTTATGCATCTTTTTTACAGCATGTTATTTTAAAAGAAAATTTACCTCTTCAGGTGTCCATTGTCCTTTCGTAGAACGCCTTGTAGGCCCACTAGTCCTCCTACAAAAGAGTTGCTTAAATATCAGAAAAAAACTGAGTCGTATAACTAATTCCCTGTCGAGGAGAACTTTACCATACTAAACCAAAAAAAAAAAAAAAAAAAGACCAAGAGATAGAGAGTCCTATAACACAGAAGATCGACAATTTAACAATGCACACATGCACTCACACACGACACTCTTGTAATTGCTGAGACAATGTCTTAATGACCAATGAACATATGCACTTTAGTTTAACAGTTTTTACAAAACACGGATCACATCCTTGTAGTGCATTATCCTTCTTTAATTTCACTGAAAACGATCGAGTAGGTTGACAGGAATAATCATGAAGTAAATCAATTTTAATGAAGCAAATTGTCAAAGGACCATGGGCAACTGGAAATGACATCAACAAAACAATGAATAGTCTTCAAACAGAATTACCCATGGAGAGCTCGAACTTTCTGAATGCTGTCACCGAGCCCTTCTGCAGGAGTAGAATTTGTTCTTTCACCTTCCATAGTTAAACAACACACAAGTCAAGCTGCATACCCCGATTCCTACTCGACGATTTTCTCTAGTATTTGGACTCCAAATCATGATAATTAGTATCACCCTAAGCAATGGTGGGGCCGAACTTGTTGCACAGAAGACCCACAAACTGCAAAAAAAGACAAGAAAGTTAAAAGGACATTAAGCTCAAAAATCGATGGTAGAAACTCATCAAGAAATGAAACCTCATATGGAGAACTAACAAACTACAAATTAAGACTTGATGATCTGAGCTCAATTGTGATTTGATTCAGCCAAAGCTTAGTAATTCAAAAATAAAATCAAAGTTGGCACACAAAAAAACAAAATTCAACAAATTGTATCCGCTACAACTTCAACAGTCAGTCCTCGGTTTCAAACTGAAGAATGGGATTGAGTAAATTTTTAACTGATTGTATCAAACTCAAGTTTAACTGAAAATCAATGAGAACTGGATCAAAAACCAGCAGATTAAGCCCTCAGACACGAATAAATTATCCAAGAATTCAAATTCAAATAAACCCAACTCGCAGAGAACTTAAAATCCGAGCCAGAAAAAGCTTCAATTAAATCGATTCAATAAAAACAATTGGGATCAATACAAAAAAGAAAATTCAAATTCAATCAAGTGAAAACCCTAAATCACTGACCGAACTGAGCTTGGAAGAACGAAGAGGAGAGATTCCACGGAGAGAGAAAGTCGACGATGCGATCGCAAAAGAGCACATTTGAAGATCGAAAGCGAAGAAATGGAAAATTTGAAAAGAGATCTGGTCACACACAGTGCGGAGTAGAGAGAGAGAGAGAGGACTGAGAGACTGAAACGGTCCGGAGCTCTATTCAAAAATAAAGGGCGGATTGTGGGAGTTTCAAACCTGGAGTTAAAGGTCGAGCAGGTTTGAAATAACCAACGGTGGATATTTTGCCACGTATGAATTGATGCCGGCCCCATCAAGACCTGCCTTACCACCTAATTCTTTTTAAATTTCAACGGGACAAATAAATTTTCTCCTCCTTTTTACTTTTCTTTTTCCTTATTCTTTTATAAAAACTAATAAAAAGGATTTGAAAACTTTGAGTTTTAAGTGATAAGAACAAAATAAAGGGTAAAATGAATAGTATCATAATTGATTTTTTAAGTGTAAAAATATAATTTTTCATTAACATGAACAGTTCCATGAATTTTTCGTTAAACTTCCATTTTCTTTTTGGGCAATATTACGATTTTGAGATTTTAATTTCAGTACAAACGAAACGATTTCGTAATGAATCTAATGATGGTGCCGTTTTCAAAAAAGTAACAGCATTATCTCAATCCACTAGCTATTGTCCATCCGTTGACCAATCCTGGCACTTTTGAGTTTTTTTATTTATTTTATATTTTATAAATAAATAAAATAAGAGTTTTAATCAAATCATTCTGGTCCTGTTAATTTTAACGAAAAATTACATTTTTTAATCTAAAAAATCAATCATGATACTATTCAGTTACAACCCATTTTTGTCATTTTTGTCAAAACTCAGTTTTCAAACCATTTCCATCAGTCTTTCTAAATAAAAATAATACCAAATGTTAAATTTGAATAAATAATAATAAACTTAATACTTTTGTGAGCTGAAAACACAAAAGTAGATATAAAAGGAGTGATGAGAGAAACATTTTTGAAATTTAGAGTACACAATATTATTAATAGAGGGGTGGTTATGGAGAAAACATAATACTTATGACCTTAAAAAAGGTTAATTAGGAAGAGAAAATAGGGAGACTTTAAACCAGGAGTGATTAGTTTGGTCAAATATCTTTATTAGGATCAAATGGATATTGCCGATGTCCGTTTCATTAATTCAAATACTCAAAGACTCCTGTTACATTATTAAATGATCATTTTCAAAAGCCATCACCTACCAAACTAGATTACAAAAAATGAAAATTTCAATAATTTCAATAATTCGTTTCAAAATACTTTTAAAATGGTTGAAAGTGTTTGCTGTGAAAATATTTTTAAAATCAATCTATAATGAAAATGCAAGTGAACCTAAAAAAGCGTTTGAAGTGCCAACTTTCATGATGTTCTGAGAATTTAAACGCTTCAATAAAACTAGCAAAATCTTCAAACAAAGGTAAAGAGAAATAAGAAAAAAAATTAGGAAAACAACCTTTGAATTATATAATTCGAGTTAGACGGACAAGTACCAGAACTATATTAATGTTCGAAACGATGCAAAAAATACCTTGCTTTTTATAGCTAATAGAGACCGGGCTATATCGAAAAGCAATTGTGCTAATATTAATCTCTATGAGGTATTGCACAAAATTTATCCGAAATAGGATCGAGGGGATGGCTCTCGTGTCGATCAAAATCTGCGGACTTTATTCGGGCGACCCCCGGAATTATCATTGTCTCTTGAGCGGCCTTTCCACCCACCCCTATGGTGCTTGCCTCCCCTGGTAAACATAAATCGAAAAATAAGATATGGGAATTGCAGATCAAATCCAGTGAAAACCACAACAGCGATTGGGCGATGGGCATGCAAAGAACTACACTAACCTTCCTCCGCGATGGTTCTTACTATCGCGGAACTTTTCTTGGTTGCCACGGAAGAGGTTCCAGTACTCCTTTTCAGCCTCACCTGAAAGAATAGCATATAAAACAGCATTCAATACAAGAGAAGAGAAATCTAGTATTCGTGACACATCAGGCTCCGGTATGAAAAACTGCAAACGAAATAAAGATGACAGTTGCTGCCTACCGGTGACTGGTTCCAAAGTAGCAATGAAATTCTTCACAGCCAGACCTCCTTGCTCGGTAAAGACTGCAGCCGCACGTGCTTTCTGAGCTGCTTCAGGTTCTTCAAACCGAATGTATCCTGATTCTTCTCCAATCTTGAAATCAATGTACTTTACATGACAGAAACGAGTGTGAAAATGTCAAAACAAATTAACCACAATACACTCAACCATGACGAATGCAAAGAATCTACCTACAAATTCTTAGAGAGTACCGAATTAATGACGCACGGCAAAGAGAAATTCAAGCAAAAAAGCAAGAGAATAATAGATCAACCTTTACGGTGCCAAACTTTTCAAAGACAGCCTTCAAATCCTCACGCAAAACAACATTCATGTTGTCTTTGTATGCAGCAGCATTCAATCTTTCTTCCTTCTCTCCACCCTTTGGAACGGAACCTTCAGAAGGCTTTTCCCCATCTCCAGCTTCCTTCACTTCATCCAAACTATTCTTCTCATCAGAATTTGCCTTATCCTTAACATCCTCTCCAGAAACTTCTACATCTTCATTAGCCCCGTTAACATCTTCTGACACTTTCTTTTCTGTTTCTTCGGTACTACCATTTGTACTATCATTGGCATTGTCAGGTGTACTACTAACCACTGCAGGACCTTTACCAGACAAGCTCTTTAACGTGAATGCAACAATTAAACCCTTGGGGTAGCTGTAACATCATAAGAGAAGTTAATCAGGTTAAACACCAAAAAGAGAAAGAAGCTGGAAACCAAATAGTGTATCCACTTACTCAGCCTCTGCTTTCGTGTTATTCTTTCCCTTTGTACTTGTAACAGGTCGAGCCTCATATTCCTTTACCTCTCTTTCTCTATCAGTATCAAAATCCTTCCTAAATCACACAATCTCTATTAGAACCTGCAGATATACAAACAAGGACTTGCAAGAACAAAAATTACAGAATCAAAACAAAAAACGATTTATTTGTTAAGCTGCATTTAATATCAAACAAAAACAAGTTGACAGGGGAGAAATTTACGTCATAAATGAACCAGATTTTTTTATTTCAATTACAGGTTAATGCCTTTTAGTATTGTCATAAACTCATTAAATAAAATCACAAAAAACAAATTCACTGTATGACAGCGGTATGCAACAAGTGAAACTTACTTCGGCTTCAATTCTAACTTAACACCTGCGGATTCCAAAGCTTGCTCCAAAATCTTATTGGCTTCTTCCTCAGTAGAAAACTCAACCAAAGCAGTGCCACATAGTAGCTTTTTGTCAGCAACATGACGAGGCAGCCTCACACTGTTAACCTGAAACAATTGAGAACAAATTCATACACTTGCAACATTAAATTGAAGGCACAAATATTTTTACAAAATACTGAAATTTCACTCCACAATGGACTTTTTTGCGGCAGACTAATACTTACATGGTTTAAAATTTATAACCACAGCTTAGCTATACAACCTATGTAGGGTAAGTCCAAACATGTATCAAATACGAAAAAGATAGAATGCGACAGCGAATCAAATGCCACTTAATGATGGTGCAGCAACCAATACCTTGGCAAATTGCCTAAAAAAAGTTTCGACATCTTCAAGCTTCACATCAAACGCAAATGGCGAAGCAGCTATTGTTCTGTTGTCTACCTGCTCTATCACCTCCTCCGGCTTCAGCATTTCATTAGCCCTACCAACCTTTGTCCCTAAAACACATAAATACGATCTATTAGGCATCGAACAGAAACAAATTTTGTTAATTAAAAGCAGCATTTTAGTAATAAAAAAAGTCCTTCTACTTGCATTCTAGAGATTAAGAACAGTGAGCTCACCGTCTTCCGAAAGCTTTAGGGTGGCAGATTGTCGAAGCGTTTCGGCAACGGCCTTTACGCTAGCGTCGGGGACAGTATCAGGCTTCACATCCCCCAAATTGAGATGATTTCTCATCCGTGTAAACGAGCATATCAGAGCCAAGCTTACCACTAACGGTCAAAGTCAAGGCCAACTCAAAACCCAGAAATCCAAACCCTAACAAAATTAATTACAAAAAAATAAAATAATAATAATTTAATTAGAGTTAAAAAACTCAGAAATTTGATAAAGTAAGGATACGTCCATCTTCGCTTTCGCTAATCGTTTTACTGAGAAAATCGTCCCTCGGAAGATTGCTGTCGCTGAAGTAAAACTCGACCTGCAAAAGAATAAATAAAATCGAGCTTTTTAGGGGGGAAATTAATTTTAATCAGAAATTTGATACATTCGAATAAAATGATCAAAAGTTGGGAGCGTTTGAATATCGAACCTGGCGCAGCACTTTCTTCGAGGTTTCTTCGTCCAAAGAAGGCGTCGCCATAGTTGTGAAGAGAGAGAGAGAGAGAGAGAGAGAGAGAGTGAGACTGTGCCTACGAACAGCGAGAGCGATGAGAGGACAGGTAGAGCGAGAGAGAGGAGAGTGAGGAGAGTGAGGGAGGGGAGAGAGAGGTTCTAGGGTTTTGGAGGGGGATATTTCTAACGTTGTTCGGGCTTTTTCAGTTCGCTTTTCGGTTTTGGTAGTTTTTAGTAGTGGGCCGGGTTCAGTTATGGCTTGTTTGTCGTACAGATTTCTGCTCCGAGATGCTCCATTTTTATCCCACGTAAGTAGTGGCTGACGAATGTTGGGACCCACGGGTTTTAGTCAAAACTTGGAAATAGTAATGCATGGGAGGGAAAGATTTTAGATTATTTTTTCATAAATTACATTACGTGATGATTAATGATTAGAATTTTTTTTTTATAATTTAAAGAAATAGTCTACCTATCAACTATTACATTATTTAGTTTACAAAAAATAGTTTAAATTTGATATCTTTAATATTACTCTAATTTTTTTTATTTTATCTATAAAATTTACTTTTACATTTTAATTTTGTCATCTTCTTCTCCATAAAGTATTGCACTATAAAAAAGAAAAAAATGTGGGATCCAATTTGCCTACGGATAGCCAATGTTGCCTACGTTGGGGAGGCAAAGTTTGCCTACTCAGTTGAGTAGTCAATTAGAGCTTGATTTTATGTACGTAGATCATCAAAATAAATTTGGCTGATCATTTGCCTACTCCATTGGATGCTCTAATCGCCTGTTGCACTGCAACTGAACTTAGAGTTTGCTCCGATTCAATGCTTCATGATCACGCGTGAGGTGAAAATGGTCATGGTATATGTTGGCGTATCCTCGCATTTAACTTTCCAATTTTAAAATATTTTTTGAATCTAAGAAACAAGCGGCGGTGGACAAAGCGAAAGCGAGAATGTTGATTTGAGTAAAGCAAAAATTGGTGGGAGTTTCTATTTATTAGTTAGAGGTTTTTCCAATAAAAAATGGTGAACACAGTTTACATTTGCGTATTTTATTTTTTGCTCGAAAGTTTGTAGTTAGTTATCTGAATGATGCATCGCCAGCACGATAGTTTAGATTGTCACACATGGTGCTTACTAAGCAAGTAATTATCCATCTCCGGGAGAAGAACATGAAATTCTTTTTCCTTTTCGCATGGACCAAGAGAAAGAGCAGCCTATCCATTTCCCATAGCCTACATTTGTATATACAGTAGAACCTCAATAATTTAATACCCAATAAATTAATAACCTCGATTACATAATATTAGTTTCCAATACTACGTCCATGACTCCAGTCCCCTCTTTTCTTTTCGCCCTTTTCAAAATGTACACCTACATCGCATAATCTCCATATACATACACACATATATGATTTTAGTAAATAATTCAGAAATAGGCAAATATAAATTAAGGGTTTTAAAATGTTGCAAATACTTTTGCAAATAAATCATTCATCATCATCCTCAATGAAGTTTGATTTTTGTGCATCACAATGACAAGAAAGAGTATCCACGAACCAACCCTCACCCATTTTCTTTCCTCCATCCATTTTTGTGTTTTCTCTTTTTCTTATCGACATCAACAAAATAAAAGGTTTAGGACTAACTCACAAACTGAATGATAAACTCTATTCCTCATGGGCAGCGGGCAGCAGCGTCTCACCCAACCCATAGAGAGTGATATCCTTACATGAAGTCCTCTTCCAGTTCCTGCAATGACTTGTTTGCCGATGCAATTTGTTTGTTCGATGTCATATTTTCAGAATTCATCAAACCTTTGTAGCTCCTTAGTTCCAATTGTCTCTCCTTCTCAAGCCTTTCCATCTCCTCACGTCGTTTCTGCAGAATAGTTTCGCTTAAAGTTAAATTGTTTTTTTCAACACAAGAACATCACATTTTACATTATAATAATGCAAGATGCAGCCTAGCCTAATGCAGTATCATTTGATCAAAAACAAGTTGTAGTACTATTACTAAATTAAGATTCAGCACATTAACCATTGCAAAATTCAAAACCCGGAGATGTAGTGAAGTCAACAAGTTATAAGGTACAGCCTCGCGTATAAGTGCAAAAATACTTGAAGCAAATTAGAAGTTAATAAGGTGAAGAATACGCTCAGATAATCACACACGCTACAAGCCAAGACAGGAGGTGGAACTTACCTTGTCCCTCAGGAACTGCTTTCTCTCAGCTCTTTCAGCTGCATTAACAGCTTCTCGCTCAGCTGCAGTTACATTTTATTAGCACATTAGTTATCGCACCATTACGCCATAAAAAGACAAGGGTAACATTGGAAAACCAATATCACTTACAATATCCATAACTACGAATAATACATAAGACATACTAGGCCAGAGATATCAAAAGGAAACTGAAGTGTCAACTTTCCTCCATAAAGAGCAAACTGAGTACTGTTTTTCAAGATTGGATTTTTAGAGCCACGTTTGTAAACAAACTAAAATAAGGCTGAGACTAAAACTTTACCTTTCAAATCAGGCTTCCTTTCTACTTTTGTCCTGTTCAATCTATTAACTACCTCATTGATCCGCTTCTCCACCCTCACAGTCCGAACCTAAATAAAGTGTCATTGTTGGACAATGATCAGTATCTCCATGCATCTTAAACCCAATGAAAATACAAACTACATAGCATGTTACTATTCCACATAATAATGTACATAGGCTACAATATAAAGAAGCTCACATTCTTCGAATTGTAGAAACCAACTTGACCAACATCCATGGAGGCACTTTTCTTCAAATTGGACCAGGGAGTGTAAACAACATCAACATTGTTTACCTTGTTGCCTGCAAAATGACACATCATTAGAACACAACAACAATGCAGTATCCTTATTGGAATGAGAAAAAAGAAAAAGGATTGGATGAAATTACAAAACGGAACCAATTACTCTAAAATATAAGAATCTGTTTAGATAATGCCTTGGATGGAATTTGCTTTGACAAGCTGAGCACAATCCTCCAGTAAACCTTCACTTATATCATCGATGGTCTGTCCTTTGTGCAGCCTAACATACACATGGGCGGAAGACATTTTGTCCACATGGAACCTGTAACGCCAAAATCCCATTACATAAAACTTCAAGCTTACATAGTACAATTTTCCTACTAATAACGAAGTTCTTTTGTCCTCTTGAGTTACCAACTACAAGTTCAAACAATCAAACACAGGATTAACGCATAAACACGGTCTGAACTAAACAAACAATTACTAGAAAACCTAGCGAAACATGCATTCCTTAAACATTCAACATCTACAATAAGTCATAACATGGCAGTGTCACAAAATTTCCGATTCATTCTTTCATACAAATGCTCACAATCCCAATTCTGAAACAATATGAACTGATCCCGATACGGTCAGAACTAAACAAACCACATAATCCCTTCGTGTTAATTGTGGGAAAATCGAAATTCTCCTTAATCTAATCCCCATCATTGACCTAATTCTTGATTCTTGACCAGAAATTTCAAAACTTGACAAAAAAGGCAATTACAAATTTTCAATCTTTCTAATGAAAATTGGGATAAACTGCGAATTGGATTGAAAATTCGAAAAGTTGGAGACAGAGAATTGGGTGAAGGAGTTACCAAATGTCTTCGGGGAAGCCATATTTGATGAGCTCCTCGTTCTCGAACTTGTCGAGGCCCATGAAAATGGTGAAATCGCCCACGTCCGATCGCGCTTTGAAGTAGAACACCATGTTTCGCCCTTTGGAATTCGATCGCCGCAGAAGAAAGCGACAAACTTTGAGGAGGAGCTAGGGCTTCCGAGGTCCACCTTCCAGCTTTCCAATTGGAATTTTGGTCACTGGAAAATCCTTTTATTTTTTATTTTTTATTTTTTATTTTTTTTCACGTTATTGGGCTTGGGTTAAGAGGGAATAGAACCAATCCTTTTTAACTTTTTCAATAAAGGAAAGGGGAAAAAATTCTTTTTGACTTCAACGTACAATCGAATATCGAGCGAGGGATTGAATTTAGGATTTCGAGTGTGTATGAAACCATATTTTACATTAAGCAGCTCATAAATTAGACTATGTCACACAATGTATCAACATAATATTTGGTATTGTAGTCGTCATGGACAGAAGTCGAACTTAAGATATTTTGATTATAATTGATTAGCGAAGTTGAAAGAAGATGAGTTTCTACTATATAATTAATTGACAATATAGGAAGTATCTCAACCACTTATAACTACATGCAAGTCCCTTCTTTTTTCAACGTCGGATTAATACTCTCAACATGGAACATACGAAAATATGGGTTACAAGCTGCTTGAGCTACAAGGCGACAAGTTGTATCAAGCCAAATCTAGGATGATCTCCACACTACACGTCATAGGTTTGATTTCTGACGTTCGTGAACCACACAATGATGGTCATAAGAAGGCTGAAATGCCTATATAAGTTTTTATGGTCCCTAAAAAGATGAACTATCATGTCAATCCACTCGTTGATCCCGTGTTTAAGAAGAAGAAAATTCTAAGATGATAGAAGATCGCCTTACTCTACATCTCTCTATCATGCTACCCGTAAATTAACATAACTTTCTATACTCTCTATATGTTGGTCATGTAATGGAAGATATAAAGAGATGGGATATATTCCAGGTTGATTCAAGAATCCCTCACAGGTCAATGAGGTCATACATCCCAACTTGCAGAATGTGACTTAACAACTTGTACACCGCCAGTTGGCTACCTGCAAGGCATCTGCATTAAGAAACTGAATGAAGCAGACTTGGAGTGCAAAATTGGATTCAACCATTAATACATTAAGATAATCATGTTTGAAATTAAACTAATTTAGTTTCTTAATTAATTTGGTGGCTCAAAAGTCTGAAAATTAATTAGGCATTTTTCTTGCAGTGAAATAAAGTTGCAAAATTTAAGTGGCTTGACTTTGCAATGTGAAAAAAGTCTAAAATATATTAAAACATAACAAACTTATTGAATTTAACGGCTAGATATGCAATAAAAAAAGAGAACTTGAACGAAAAACTCTAGGTACTGTTCACTTTAACGAAAAACCACATTTTTACACAAACAAGTCAATATTGATACTATTCACTTTACCCTTTATTTTATCTTTATCATTAAAACTCAAAGTTTTTAAGTCACTTTTATTAGTTTTCGTATAAAAAAAAGGCAAAGAAATTTAGCTGATGGACCTAAGTCACTTTAAACACAATCCTATCCTTAGAGTAGAATCTTGGTTCTTATCACTCTGATTGGTTGCTGACAAGGATCGAGTGTTATGGTCTTGGATTTGAATCTCATCCGGATTCAAATTGTAGAGATCTTAAGAATCCTCATATCTTAACCATTTATCGTACATTATGCGGTCAAAAGTCATTTGACTTTTTTTATTTAAAATTAAACACAAATAGTACCTGACGAAAACTGACCACACGATGTACGATGAACGGCTAAGATGTGGGGATAGGATCCCCACAAATGGATCCGGAGAGGATCCTCTTCCTATGGTCTTACCTCAGGCTGTCCAAAAATGTTGTGTATTTTTTAATATAACTTGTTGGCTTAAGTACACAAAAAAAATTCTCGCCCGAAGTAAAAATTTTGTGGTTCGAGTAATTAAGAGCGGTTAGGAGAGAGAAACTAGCTTCCACATTACTGACCCACAATTTTTGGGGCAAAACACGAATTTGACCAAATAAGTACAAACACTTTGACGCAAGAATCTAGCAGTAGCCGAACACGGTACAGAGTTTTTTCCCCTTGAACCCTAGCAAATTTTTTCCCCTTGAAGATAACGTTCTATACATCATACTTGCAAAGGTTTTCGAAACCCATGTATTCGTGCTGGTTAATCTTGCCGATCATGTTCGATATCCCAACTCCACCTGAAAAAACAAAAACAAAAGATAAACAAATGCCTCTCAGAATTCAGGGTATTAGCGCAACTTGAAGTTCGTTGACGGAAAAAACACTTGCCTAGTGAGACTGCACTGACAAATATGGTAAAGGCTAGAATGAATATGATTAGAGACGCCCTTCCGAAGAGTATAATCAGCCTTCGAACAATGTGCTGTCCTACTAATGCTGCAACAGTGGCAACCGCGGTCAAGTAGACAGCTGCGGAGATTGCAATGTGTGTGTTAATATACAAATTTAGACAAATTTGTGGAGTACTAGCTCCATCTGTCTACAACTGGATAAAGAATGACGACTTTGTAGCGAACTATCCTTGGCGTTGCAGGGATAAAACTTACCATAAGGAACTGGAAAACGTTTTAGAAGGTAGTATTCTACAACAGACATGGATGACGAGAATGTCATTGCAAATGTGGCCGTGGCACTGGAGACCTGCAGCGAAATCATCAAGAAGTTTTAGAACAAACTAAACCATTTTTGTGGCTTTTGGTTTTGTTTAGTAACGCTTCATGTCAAGGAAAATCAAAATAGCACCTGAGGGGGGATTCCGAGCTCCAAAAACAGTGGACCCATGATAAATCCTCCGCCTAATCCAAGCAACCCACCTACGATTCCTGCAATTACACCAAAGAGACAGTAGATAACCAGCTGGTGCACTTTCCAATCTGTCCCTTCCTCTCCCTTAGATGCTATTACCCTTCGTCCCTGGTACAGGCTCACTGCCTCGTACATAGATACACCAAGGGAAACTGGGATCTGCGGAACATGGAAACATTAGCTCATTCCTGATCGTCCATGTATTGAATTTGTACATGTACATGCAGAGAAACAAATATATTCACACCGTACTACCTGTAACAAATTCACTACCCAATATGCTGGAGAGCAAGTAGTTGTGTGTTGCTGTGGAAAAGACAGATGGTTATTACTCGTTAGCTCCACAATGTCATATAATCAAGGGAATTTGCAATAAAAATTTCTGATAGACTAGGTAAAGAGATGGAAACCTTGGCAATTTGCAGTGCAAGAAATGCAACCCAGACGAAAACCAGAAGTCCAAGCTCCTTCCAGCAAACATTCTCAATAATCGAGACCTGAAATGGTCATCTAGATTTAGCTTCGAAACTCCATCAAAATTATACCAGTGTCTGAGTAACTACTGTGCATGCACTCACCTCCGGTTCCATGGTTTCCTTTTCCTGCTCATTGGCTGGGCCACTTGGAAGAGGCTTGTATGCCACATTTTCAGCAGCTGACCAAACAAGAACATATATGACGTGAATGTAGAAATCAACTACAAGCAAGAAATTCGAATGTTTTATACAACATTTGAGCTACAGTATATCAAACTCACCAGCTGACTCCAAACACCTAGCAGCCTCCTAAAATCCAGAAGGAAAAAAAAAAAAAAAACAATGGTTAGAGTAGTGCAAAATATGCATTTCAAGAGAACTTAAACCTAAATTTAAATTAGAGCCTTGCTTATTGCATATAAAACTATGGAGGTAGAGATTCCATCCCTAAGTGAAATGAAATTAGAATTTGGACATCACCAAGTATGAGTACTAAAGTGAAATCATATGTCGTGATCCTTGAATTATCTTAATCACAGTCAGAAATTCATAGCATTACCTTCTTCATAATGGTTTCCTTTTTCCATGTTTCGACACCCTTGAAGAACGCCTTTGTTGACGTACCTGAAAACACCAAGAATAAGCGGTTGAAGTATACAGTAACACCAAGAAATTCGAACCCAAAAGGACGATTGGTCCATTACCTATAAAGAGAACAATAAGCAAAACTGTGACCATCCAATCAGCAAAGATCACGTTGAAAGCCACTCCAATACTAATGCCCAGCATGAGCATCGGTTGTATGAGTACAGCCAAATCATAGTCAATAATGGGCATATCTATCGTCGGATGCTTTAGCTTAAGATTGTAGTACACAGTTGAGGCAGCTGCACCCATGATCATACCTGAAACAAAGCAAAATGAATCCACGACGATGTAACTTCCAGCCAGTAATTCAATATAACAGTGAATCATTATGTAAAAATCAATGTACTTTGAGAAAACATTTTTATAGGACTGAACCATGAAAAGGACTTAAAAAGCCTGTTCACTAAAATTACCACGACAAATTAACACAGCAGAAGAAACTTAGGTGTCACACTGAGTAACTAAAATCAGGCAACAGTGATCTGTGATCAAGAGCTTATTCAATTCAAACAGCCTGCACAGTTTGGACAATACTACCGCTAGCTTCAAAAGCAGTTCAACATATACCGTGTTATATACCTACCAATTCAACGGCACATCTTTTCATTCCTATTAAATTACCATAAAATCTCTTCTTACATTTTGATATAGCTGTTGCTGATTTTGGATCAAACCCAATGATTAGGCTAAGCATTGGAACGAAAATGCCACCACCACCTACACCACCTACACTCCCGAACGCAGCTCCACAGAATCCAACAATAGAACCCACAACAATTTGCCACCCAAATTTCATTTCCTGTACACCAAAATTCACAAAATCGTTTGTTTACAAACCCCTTAGAGTTAATTTTTACAGTGAAATGACAAGCATATAATAGCACAGCAATTAGCAATAAGTATCCAATTTTACACAGTTTTGCCTTAAAACCCCAACTAACACATATTTCTGATTTTATCCACATGATGTATACTTCTTGATACAAATGTAATGCAAGCAGTACATTCAGGTTTACACCAATCTACTACAATTATTTACAAGGAACAGGGAAGATCCCATTTGGGACTGCTTTACTAGAAAGCACTTTTGCTCATAAGTGTTTTTATTAGAAGTGCTTTCTTGTCGTTCCTATCTCCAAAAAGTGCTTCATGACCAAAAAATGTTTTTAAGTTTTTCAGCCAAATTTATACAGATGTGCGCTATCTCTTTTGATTGTCAGACAGTGATTTAGCTGGAAATTAAAAGTACACTTGAAGATTAACCAAAACCTTCAACCGAAAATAAAATTTAACAGGTTTTGTGGGATTTACCGGCCAAACATGATGATATCCCGATTTCTCGGATTGCCATAAGAAATTCACAGCTTTGAAAAAGTAATTAGATTCGGATCCCTCTGTCCCGTTGAACCTCGAACCTTCAAGCCTCAGGCCTCTCTCCGCCGAAACAAACACAAAAGCCACCCCAAAGTGCAGCATAACCATTGCCACGGATCTCAAACCGTGCCATTTCGCTCCAAACGCCACCATATCAATAAAGCCACCACCTTTTCTTCTGCTTGGTTGCCGAGAAAGCGAAAGGAAAATGTGGGTTTTTCGTAGGATAGATTCAGAGAGGTGGGTTTTATTGCAGTGAAAGTGGGTGGTGAAGGATGAAGGCTTAATATAGGAGAGATAACGAAATGGGGTTTGGTGCGTGAATGTTGTTGCTTCTTTGTTTGGATTCAGCAATGGCGTCGTAGACGGGAGATTTCCATTGATTTGAGGGGGAGAAATGCAATTTGCTGACGTGGATTTTCTTCTTGTTTTATGCACATGCATCTCTAATTTCTACACGTGGGATAATTATCTGGCATGTTGTTGGATAATAACTGCATCTCCAGTAAAAAAAGAATTTAAATTTTGACGTTGTAGTCTATTTACTATACAAATTTCAAAAATTAAATTCATTCAACTGTGATACATATGGTGATGGGGATCATTATTGCTAAACCTATCTCATTATCACACAAAAAGAAATCAACAACTTTTTCATTAGTTATTTGCACACAACGCAATAGTGGCTGAAAATAATCATACTTATACACTTGGTGCAAATTCGTTCTTCATCGATTTCTCTTCTCTCTGACAATGAACAATTAAACCCACTTACACCATCATTTATCATGCATAACACATACCTTTTCATATTAACCAACTTACAATCATACAATCACATTTCTAAAATTAAATGGACAAACATCTCATAAACTATAGTTGCCATATGGCCCATACAATCACATTATTAAATAAATAAATAAAAGTGAAAAAAAAAAAAAAAAAAAAAGGACATGTGAGTTGGACTCCACTTATCATTTATGAATAGCGTGACACGCTAGTTAATAGTTGACTGGACAAACACCCGACCTTTTTAGCAGCAGATCGGAAATAGGCAATCAAAGGTGGCTTGTGACAATATGTAAACATGTCATGTCGTTTTAAGGATTGCATGCCTATTACTTTGGAGTAATAGTTCATGTACAGAGGGACTTTAAGGTTGTAAATTGTTAGAGCTTCTTTAAAGGATATGTCAAATAAGCATGAAGTTTTTGTATTTGGTTGATCCTGATAATTAAACATTTTATCCCTTATGCAAAAAATAAATAAAGAAAAAAAAAGATGTCAAACGGTCTGCATCATGAAACATGTCCACAACAATCGTAAAATTTCTTCAAAAGAAACGTCAATTCTGATATGGCATGATGTAAAAAAGCATACATTGCAACTACTGAAAAAATTTACAGCACTGGTTAAAGGATTCAAATCATTATTTTATTGTTTATTAAATATTAAGCTATACTGATTATTTTACTAGTTAGATCCAATATTTTCACTCAACATATACCCTTTGGAGTTAAAGATTATACAAAATGTCAAATTGCTACATAAATCATTAAATATAGTATGATATTTTATATTAAACATTTCATTTTGGATATAATATAATAATATATGGAGGCAAATTCATGAAACCACTTTTTTTTACACAAGATTTGACACATATTTTTGTGGAGTCCACTCCGTAAGTATTTTAACGATCCGAACCTTCTGTCTTTTAGAACATCCTTACAAAAAATTAGACAAATCCAAACCATTAAGACACTCATTTGTAGTGAAGAAAATGAACGAGTACAATTCTACAAAGAAACTCTAAACCTTAATCCAACAGTCATATAGTTTCAGATTTGAGTAATTTTTTGGAGGCGTGATATTTGAGAAAACACCTAAAAGCTAGACAGTTTAGATCATTAAAATACATTACAAAATGAGCCCCACAAAAATATGTGTCAAAAATTGTATAAAGAAATTGGTGCAATACATCCTAGAGGTGGGCATGGGCCAGGCCGGCCCGAAATTTGGAGGGACCGGACCAGACTCGCTTAAAAAGGAAATGGGCTGGGCTGGAGCAGGTATTAAAAATCCAACCACTGAAATCGCACCTACTCTTACTTTGTTTTTTTTCTCGGTTCTGATCGCCTCTCAGACTTGCTCATCCTTTAGATCTTCGATTTGGTCTCTGACATCAAGATCTTCATCCGTTGCTGCGTCGTTTCCAAGCAAAAAATTGGACCAGTAGTGCAATCTGTTTGATCGGAGGCAAAGGCATCCAGAGAGAGTTAATCAATAAAATCTAAAATTTTAAATAGTGTTAGAGAAATTACCTGAAATTATCGGCAACTCAAGCGCGGAACTGGAGGACAGAGAGAAAGGCGTGGACGACAATTTGTGGCGCAGCTGGTGATGCTTTGTGAAGTGTGAGCTAGGTTTATAGCAGGTGAGCTGGGTATATGCCTGGTTATGCTTTGTGAAGGTTAGAGAAGACGAGAGGAAGAAAGGGGTTATGTTGGTTTTAGGGCGTATGTGATGGGGAGAGAGAGAGAGAGGGTGGAAGCGAGATCAAGATGGAGGATATTGAGAAAGATCGAAAGGGATGGAGAGGGAAGGGAGATCGAGGAGTCGGGATAGAGAGAGAGGGTAAGGGGTGAGTTCATTGAATTAGGTCTGAGAATAAAAGAGAGTGGGTAATAGAGCGTAGAGATTCAATCAATTGGCAATGAATGGTTCGGGTCGGGGGCCCGTTTTCTCCAATTTTTAGAACTGGCTCGCCCCGTTTTGTACAAGGAATCGCCCTGCCCTGCCCCATTTGGTATTTATAATTTTTTGACCCGCCCCGTATCCGTCTCTAACCGCAAGAATTTGCCTCGACGCGTAGGTCTATGGCTCGTTTACCCACCCCTAATACATCCGTCCCATATATTTACATATATGTGTATAAATTGTTTATAAGGTAATGTTAATCTAGGCGTCATTGTCGACAAAAAAGGTAAATCTTAGGTAAAAAAAAAAAAAGTTGTGTTGAAAATTTGACTGATGAAAAGTTTTTTTTGTAATCTTTTTCATTAAAGTCACCAAATCAAGTAATCTGAATCTTTGAAATTTGATTTAACGGCTAAAAATAGAGGTCATTTTTAAAAATTATAATAACTTTAACAGTTAGATAAAATTTTAAGAGTCTAGATCATTTGATTTGATAACTTTGGTGGACCCAAACAAGACAAATGAAAAATTAATAATGTAAGAATTCGTAACTTTATCAATTAACAAACTATCTAGTAACACGTGTATGCTCAATAACACGTGTACAAAGTGTATTTTACCTATCACTAATAACATGTGTACGGAGTCTATCATTTTTTTTTAAATTTAAAAAATGGATCCCGACTTGTGTTCGCCATCATCAAATCTTCTTTAGTTCAAATTTTGAGTCAAAATATTTAAAAGTTTTCCTCAAAGCCAGTTCATACTTGATCTCGATCCAACTTTTAGCCTTTTATGGTGCTTTATATTTCACTTGCAACCGAACTCGCGAATATATTATCATAAAAAAAATGTGCTATTTTCAGGGTGTATTTAACTGTATTTTTTTAGAAGAACAACTAAGCATTCTTAAAAAACGTAAGTCGAAACCCGATAATTTATATGAATCTCACATTTGAATTCTACGGTATTGAGCAACCATTTACCGTCGTCCACAAATACATAAGAACTATATTTATCAAAGCTTATATAATTCCCGACATGTTCTACAGTTCTAGAGTTTCCTTCCTATCCAGAATAACTTTTTTGATCGTGAATATACTAATTTGACGCAGGTGCGAACTGTGGGAATAATCCAATTTGCATTTGACTACTCCATGGCGCCCCTTCTGCTATGCTACATGTGCTTTCAGACGCTCATCCATTTGGCATGCTATCGTCTCAACCTTTTTCTCATGGCTCCATCTCCATCTTAAAACCCTATATATATATACATATATATATATATACACACGTATATATGGACCAATATGCAAACGATCATGCGTATATTCTGTATCTGTTTTTTCATTGATGTAGATTAGCGTTAGATAAGTGTTAAGATTAGTCGTCCAGAACGGAAGAATTCTAATTCTGAATGATAGATGGTGTGTAAAGTGTATCGTGCTAAAGTAGTCATCCATAATAACAAGTGATCATTTCCTCACCATTGATGCATTGTAAACGTGACTAATATCGTTAATGCATCATAAAAGAAGTATGTAAAGCATAAAGTTCTTTATAATGTCAAAACAGTGTCAAAGTGAGTTTTTTATAAAAGAAGAGACGAATCATCTCATTAGAGATTAGTTGTATATTTAAATTAAAGCAGTGATAAAGTTAGTATCGAGATTGGGATTCAGATCTACTTTGATTTGTTTTGCTATTTCTCCGTTGGATTTTGATCAAATCCCAACTTGATGGCTTTGCAAGTCTTACAGGGACAGAGAGACAGGCTCATATCCGGCATGGACTTTGGTCAGCTAAAAAACGACAACAGGTTGAAGTCTTTTTCACACAGGTTATTGTCGTAGGGTTAGGGAATCATTCATAGTGTTAGACAGACAGACGCCCAGCGCCACGTTCAAAACGAGTTTATCAAGCGTTTATCGGCGGATCCGGCTTCTCTACCTTCTCAGTTCTCATACATTCACATCCCTTCCTATTTTGTATAGTCACGATTAAATCATGTCAATATTATAGAAATAATAAGACAAAAAACAATAATAATATAAAATATTAACATGATTTAACCTTAATCGTACAAATAAAAGGAGATGTGAGTGTATGAGAACTGAGGGCAGAGAAGCCAGGTCCCTTATCGACTGATCCAGAAGGAGAAAGTTGATCTGCTCTTCGAGTTTTACGTGATATGAGAGACCTGACAAAGACAAGTTGAACGTAAAAATATAAATATAAATATAAGAAATAAGATAGAGAGACACAAGATCATCAACCACAAAATTAGATTCTTTGCATCTGTATGTATCATCATGCATAAGAAATCCATGTATGTGAATCATATAATGCATGCATGCATGCAAATACAAATTTGTTAAGGAGGGCCCCCATAATAATCTCTTTTCTTCGCTGCTATTATTTAGAAAAATTCTCATTAAACATCTCTTTACAACCAACTTAAATTTTAAAGAAAAACTAACGAAAAGTTTAAAAAATTTTTTAGTTTTAATGAAAAATAACAAATAAAGATGTAGTAAATAGTACCATACAAGGTAAAAATACGGTTTTTCGTTAAAAACGAACAGTACCGGAAGTGTTTTGTTAAAACTCTCAAATTTTAATTATGAAATGTCTTTGTTATCCTGTTGCATAATTACCATTAAGTACAAGATGAAATCAACAATAAAAATTAAAATTGATCAATAAATCCACATTCAATAATAAAACCCTAACAATCACGTGATCTTTCTGTTACGTTCTATCCTGTTAAATATCGTAAAACGCTCTCATAGAAAAAAAAAAAACAAATTCTTTTTTACAGATAAATGATGAATTGAAATTTTGAATCTTCCAACCTTTATCGTCGGCATCATTATCACCACCACCACCATGCAGTAATCCGACCACCACCATCATCATGTCCATCACTAGTCATCACCTGCAGGAAACCTGCTTCTACTTCTGCTACAACTGCTGCCAAAACAAGAAGCAGCAGCTGATCAGAATCAACAAGAGGAGGAGGAGAAGGAGAGGAGGGGAGAGAGAGCTAGCATAGGCCTTCACTAGTACATTTGTACACTGAATTGGATTTGTGAGGTGGGTTTGAAGAGATATTAATAGTTTTATTAAAAATAATATGAGTGTAAAGAGTAAGTTAAGTGTAGAGAAATGTTATATGAGTTTAAATAAAACCTCCTTATTATTATTGTTATTAAATAATAAAAAGTCAGATTTCCACCTAAATCAATCTAATAAAAAAATAATAATCTATCAAAATAAAAAATAAAAAATTCTATAAACACTAGGCGAGCTCGTTTTTTCTTTTTTCCTTTTCCTTTTTCCTTTTTGAGACAGAGTAGTTGTGGTGTTTGTGCAGGACAATATTGTTTCGATAAATAAAATGATAAGTGCAGCAGGATAAGATTGCTGAGTTGCCTTCTCGGACAACCAAGTTGATGTTGATGCTGATGTTGATGCCGATGGAATGCCACGTTTTGTTGATTACTCATGGTAGCTATATGCATACGGAAGTTACGAAAATTCCATTATATTTCGGTGAATTTGTATATCAAAATTTTTTACTCTTAGATCTTAATTGTTAGACCCTTGACGATCAAAAATTTCAGCGCAAAAGATCCCTAGAAGCATATTAGAAAATTCCGGCCAATGACCATCCAATGGCACAGTCCGGCTTCGGAACGGATAATGTGTTGCCAACAAAACATATTGACATGCTTTCCATGCATTTCCAACAATACCATGAACATGGAATCCAGTAGCCAGATAAAGAATAATAATAATAATAATAAAATTAAATTAAAATCAATCTCAGCTTCCCCCATTGAAGCATAAGAGAAACTGTGTCAACCAGATAGAAATCAAACTGCACGCGACAACTGAAATGCTATAGATGCCGAAAATTAGAGTCAACCACTGATTTGTACACCAACGACTTTTGACTGTCATTACTAATTAGTACTCAATATTGTTATTTATACCACATTTACTGACTACTTGACCGGCTAAAAAACCGGTAAACGCAATACAAGTAGCGTTAGCGCGGGGTTCTTTTGGGTTTAGGGCCAGAGACCTTCTTCCATGGACTTCTTCCTGTAATACGTAATTCGATCCCATTTACATGAAGGGTTGGGTAAATCCATCAGCAGTTACTGTAAGTTAGATGACTTGAAATAGACAGAAAAGAAATTTGGCAAAAGTTTCTGTATTAACCTAACATTGTTGTAACTGAAATATTATTTCGTCCTCAATCCAAAAAAGCTGTTACAGGCTTACAGCTGTGCGCAGTTGCATAATTAGCTAAGATAAGAGGCTTTAAAGGCATTCCGGTGCCTCGGAGAGAAAAACGGTGTTTCTTTTTTTTCGAGTTGGGAAAGTTTTGGTGTCCGTGTCTTCTCTGTATTTCAACTTACTCCACCTTCTTGGTAATTTTGGCATCACTTTCTTCTTCAGATGTCGCCGCGGTCTTCGACTCATCAAATGCCAAAAGCTGCATCACGACAGAATCAGAACCTCGCTCAGCAAAACGATTTCAAAGATTACAAACATATTTACAAATATATACGCGGAAGTAACACACACGACTACTTTTCGTTTCCAATATTTTCCTTCACCCCAAAACTTAAAAGTCCCTTTAATCAATATCTATTATCTGACAAAAGGATTGCTAAGTCATTGGCATAACACTTATGAACCCCAACCAGAACCAAAACCACTGCAATTGGATTGAATTGAATAAAATTATTTTCATTATTTTTTATGGATTTATATCAATATTTGTACTGTGAATACTATATATTTGAATGTAATGCCATAATATTCACTATCTACTTTATGTAACTGCATAATCTATAACATCTTGGAAACAAGAAAGCATGGGCACGTGAACATACCGGTTTGACATCACCATTCCAAATGCAGTGACCAGCCAAAAATCCGATAACAGATGGTACAATATACAACAGTGCTGGCTGTCAACAGAAAACATACAAGATGGATCAGGTAATAAATTAGTTATGATGTACAGGGGAGACCAATGATGACGTAAAGTAAATGAAGTGGTCTCTATAATATAACGGGAACTTCATTTAACACTTAACATCAACGGGTATTTATAAGGTGGGGTGCAAGAACTAGTTGAAAAATAATCCATCAAACATAATTATGCCATACCTGTGCTGCCTGAAACCAGTTCATTACAACAATTGTGAGGACCAAACCAACCGTGTATCCCAAAAATGCACTCTTAAAGTACTGGCCCCTTTTTCCCCTAGATACATCAAACCGCAAAGCCAACGCCACGAAAATGCCTGAAGGAAGATATAACAGACAGTTTTAAAGTTAAATGTATAACATACAGTTTTAAAGTTTGAACTAATGAACTGGCTGCTAGATCACCCAAAATATGAAGCATTTTTATGCTAAAAGCCTAAGTCCATTTGCCAAATAATTACCACTTCTTATATTTGCTTTCAAAAGAAATATTATATAGGCTAGTCATATTCTCTATCCAGTAAAATCCTTTTAAGTAATTGATCCCTGTTATCCACAGTACTAGATTATTATACTTTTGTGATAGACAAAGTGAAAAGCAACATTCCTCGAATACACAAAAGCGGGAAATATAGATGCTTAATTAGGGAAGACAAAATCAGGTGGCTTGTAGGTCCGAAAGGATTCAAAACAAATGTCCTTCCAAATTCCATGATGCTTAGGTAGTATATGAAATGCAAGGGCGAGACTAATTAGAACTTAGCGGGTAGAATATTTTACTTAAATAGTATACTTCGTTTAAACGACAGATGCATCTACTTCCAACATAATATTATACTCAAACTCCATAGAACGAATTTATAACAAAATGACAAAAAATAAACCTTATAAACAGATCATGCAGTAGATACTAGATAATAGGATATGAAAATTTTAACCTTACCAGGGATTACAATATCACCAAGTCCAAGCATAGAAAATGGACGTGCAGCATCTGCTGTGGGGAACAACAGCTGCAGACCAATTAAATCATGGTTGCAGTAAGAGTATTAGAAGTTTAGCCACATTCAGAAATTGATTATTTGCTGGTACAAAAGGTCTTTGATTAATATGGAGTACAAACCTTTATAGGCGCATCAAAAGATTTTGCAACACTGACCATAACTGGAGTGAAGAAAACCCAGAAAATATCATACACAAAAAGTCCAGCCTGCAATGCACAAGGACCAAAGATTAAAAAAATACATGTATGTATATAATATATACACATGCATATGTAATTATACATAGGGTATTGATAATTTAGTATCCAATATTCAATGATCAGCAAGAGGAAACAAGGGCATATCATAGCGACCCGGAAACACTAGATCAAGAGTTCAAGCAGTCAAGACAGAGATAGAAAGGAAGCTTCAGCAGCACAAGTGACGACAAAGACAATCAGAAGCAGATTAAAATACTTCAAAAAATAATCACACAAATCCAAGAGTCCCTCTTCTTACCAAAAGGATGGCACCAGTTTTAAAAGACCCAAGAGAAAGCATTTCAATTCCCTGAAAAGAAAAATAACGAAATTCTTCAAAACTCAGTTCTTGAGTATAAAGTTACAGATTAAATAAACATTTCCAAACATATGCCAGCACCGGATTAAAATTTAAAATTAAAAAAAACTATAAAAGATATAGATTAAAAGAAAAGATGTTTATCAGAGAGGATGCTAAACATACACAAAAATCTATATAACTGGATGCTGACATACCTGAATACAGAAGGCAAGCCCCAATATATTGTTAGCCAGCCAATGCTTCTTTGAAGCATACCATGCACAGAAAAAGGTTCCAGGAATTGCAGCAACAATCTGAGATTTTGTGAACTCAATCTCCACAGCTGTGTAAGAAACGGTGCAAGGAAAATTATCATTCTGCATGATGCAAGCAAGATAATGTCAACTAGATCAAAAAAACACTCAAGACTATACAACTAACAAAATTTCTTTCATACAATGGCACCATAACTAAAATGATTTCCTACCTGCCTAATAATTCCTAGAATTTCTAGAAGATCCACTAACTATATACACAACACTTCAAACAATCATTTTAATTTCTCAACTGAGTAGAATTATAGCATAAAAGAATCGAACTCGTACAGAGTAAATCCAGAGTTTCAAAAGAAAATAAATAAAACTAGTGATGAAGTAAAATATGTCATAACAATAGTATCCACAATAAAACTTCATAAGGACATCATACACCGGAAATATGGAAAATGCCAGACGATGGGATCCTTGTTCCAACTCTCTGGCAAATAGCGTGCAATAGCAGGTAACAGTGTTGCTCTGTACACAGACCGGAGGTCAATTTTTTAACAATAATATAGCAGTTGAAAATAAACTATAAATAAAGGACTTACGAGAGAGCAATGATCCCAAGAACAAAGAAATAGCACGTCAAGACAGCATTAACCAAGTCTTTGGATAAGAACTTAAAAAGTAAAAATAGTGATAACAGCATTGCACTCCCAACAAATGGGAAACGCATGGCATGTTCATTGGACATCGTCTCCTGCATGATTGAAATAGCACATTTATAAAATTCAAGGCAAGGCAGTGAAGACTCGAACAGATGCATCAGAAACAAATAGACAGCCGAACTTACTGAAGGTGGAGTTGGCTTCACGGACCGGTAGCAACCCACGAAAACTGTGAGACATGCAGTCAAAACTACATTTAGGTTTGGATCTACCTTTACAACAAGTGGTGCTAACGTTAAACCTGCAAACAAAAGTAACTTAGTCATTTAATTTCCGAGTGATGACCATTCCACCACACCTCAACAATGGCATCTAAAAATTAAAGAATACATATTGCAAATTTTACCAGATAACTAAATGCAATGCACTAATAACACTGGGAATGGGCATAAAACAGACAGGCACGCAATCTCTCATACTTTACCCAAATTGGCTAGTCAAACAACAGCGAGAGTGTACCAAGAAATTTCTCATCACCATTTCATTTCAAATACTTATAGCAACAAAAAACATACAGAACGAAATCTGGCATTGTATGTTAACTTTGTTAGCCCACTTATCTCAACCACCAAGCATATCCTAAAACACATCGATCTTAAATGAAATCTACACATGGTTTTGTCATTCCCTAATTCATGTCCATCCTATCAACAAGGCTATAAATAGCCAATTATACTCTAGTTCTTCAAGATCACTAAATGCTTCTCAAATTTGATTCTTTTTAATCTAAATAAATAAATAAAAAATAATTTGATGATTTTCAAAACTACAGTGCCATTTCCCCCACTGAAAGACTCATCAAGATTAGAAATTTATGTAATTGTACTCCCCCACCAGCTCCATAGCCCAATGAACAACTCAATCTCAAACCCATTTTTTTCCTATTTATAAAGCAACATTTTCCATGCCCAAAAAAAAAATCCCAATAAATTACAATTGATAAAACAAATTTAAATTACTGCTTATGGAGAGCAAACCTGCTAAGGCGATATTGGCAATACGCTCAACGTTCTTCATCGTTAATGTAATCACTCGAAAAGAAACGGCTTCGAACAACAATTCCGATCAAATCGAACTGAATTGGGCCTCCTCCTCAAAACCCTAGAAATGAGATCCAATTACAGAATATAAACCAAACGAATTCCCCCAAATCACAATCTCAATTTCAACAAAACTGCGAAATTTATACACAATTTTGAAAACTGACGAAATTACCGCTCTTGTAAGAGAGGGAATTGACTGTACCAGTGGGCCGCGACGCAGAAGATTTTCAAACGGTCTCCTTCCGTACGGATCGGAGAGAGGAGAGTTCGAGATAATTTGCAGAGTTAGGGTTTTACCTGAGGAAGGGAATGCGACGGATTTGGGGGTTAAAGTCAGACTTCAGAACCACAAAGGGACGGGGCTGTTAGGTGGCTTTCGGTGACAGCCAATAAGGAAACAGATTTCGTGGGAACTAAAACGGTCAAGTGGTCAAAGGTGGACTTTTTATTACGTGGCGGGAGGTGATTCGTGGTTGTTTTTTAACGTATCTGCAACGTGGATACGTTTTATCAGTCAAAAATTTGATGACCGATTTCGATACTTTTTAAGTGAGCCACGTAGGTCGGCGTCTAGGGTCCAATCATATTTCGCCATGTCGGATTTCGAACCTCAAAATATCTCCTTTTCTAAGATTTCACCGCTGATGTCAAAACTCTTCCATTTCTCTTTTTGGTGAAAACTATATTATGGTATATTCCAATGTAGCCCTAGAAATTTTATAGATTGGCACTATTGCCCTTCTCCGATATCAGCTCACCCTTTTTTCACACGTCAGTCTTTTTTTTTTTGGCTCAAAATCATTCTCACTTGACTGAACATTAGATGTATTTAATTGAGAATTTGAGAGATTTTATAGAAATTGAATATCCATATAATTTAAGGGAGTTTAATTGATTTGTGGAGATTTTATAAAAAATTTTTATTCAATCCCTTCAAATCTCACAGGAATATGAGAGATTTGTAAATGCTTAAATTACACTACAGAATCTCTCAAATTCTCTCAAATTCCTAATTGAATATACCAAATTTATAAGAATTTTAATACTATCTTAAAATTTTGATTCAATACATGTTGAATTTCAGAGAATCATTTAAAATTATGATTGAGTACTCCTAAATTCATTAAAAGAATTAAAATCCCTCAAATTCTCAATTGAATACACCCTCAGTCAAATAAAAAAATTCATTAGTCGCATTAGTACTACATTCTAATAGCATTCATCTTCACTTGTAAGTGAAAGGTTTTAGGTTTGATTATCTTCAAAGATAAATTTAAAGCACATTATTACTAGCTCATTATGAAACTAAACTCACCCTCTCTAATTTGCTTTCACAACTATTACAATAATAGTGTAGTTCACACCAGGTTAGACTATCATATTACATCCTACTCAATAATATAAATTTTTTGTAAGATATAACCGTATAATTTTTAAAACCACAAAATAGTACTAGTACAAAACCAAAAGGAAAAACTTAAGAAAGGAAGGAAAAAAACACGAGCTGGTAGCTTAGTGGTAAATGATGGATTGCGAAGCTTTCTTTAAACTAAAAATTGGAGGTTTCAGGTTCGAAACCGAAACTTGTCACCAGTTGTCTTTTTTTAAGGAAAAAAAAAAAAAAAAAAAAAAAAAAAGGAAAGAGAGGAAGAAAAAAACAGTGACTCAGAGGGGCAAAATTGTAATTTACTAACAACAGGAGAGAAAAGGGTGGGGTGACACACAAAGGAATATCACTTTCCCGGACTATCTGGAATCCGTTAACGCCCTAAACCCAGCAACCTCCACAGTGGAGGCAGAATGTCCCAGTTTCTGCTCCAGCTCCAGCATCTTCAAACGCTCACTAAACCCAGCAAACTCCAATTCGTACCCAGCACTTGCTTCTCTCACCATCCGAACCTCACTCTCAAGTTTCCCCCCAACCACACCAAACCCAGCAAACTCCACCTCTCTCTCCGCCCCCTTCTTCCCGCCACCGCTCGATCCCCCATAATAGTCTGCAAATCCAACGGCTCAGGTAAATCCTCTTGCTTCAAGTTAATTAGTTGGAGTTTGGTGGATATTTCAGTTTCTGCTTTAGCAACCTTACAGTGTGTTTAATTGCTAGACAGCCTAGACTTAGATGTTCTATCACGGCCAGAAGAGCGAGGGAAGCCGCACCGACGCGCCAACGGAATATTCTGGATTATACTTGCTAACATTGGGATTTACTTAGCTGATCATGTGTTCCAGGTAGTGTTTTTAATGTTTGATTAATCCATATTCAACAACTTTATTAATTTGTATTTTGTTCTGTTTTAATGTTTGATTAGTTCGAATTTAACAACTTTGTAATCAGTCCAGCATCTAATTGGGTTTAGATTTTATGATTTGTTTATGGTTGTGTTAGGTTCGCGCGATTAAAATGCTCTACTTGTACCACAATTGGCCTACATGGTACCAGTTTCTAACAGCAACATTCTGTCATGCTAATTGGTGAGACATATACGATTATGTAATAAATTATGTTGTGTTGCCGGACTGTGAATCTGGATCATTCATCGGGTTGCTTTTTGTTAGAATGCGTGGTTTGGACTTTAGATTCACAGTCTAGCAACATAAGTGTAGCGAGAGAGCATTTTAGTGTTAAATAACTTGCATGTATGTACTGATTACCGAATTCACTATGCATTCTTTCAGGAGCCATCTCTCGAGCAACCTCTTCTTCTTGTATATTTTTGGTGAGGGTCCTTTTCTTTTCTTTTTAGCAGCATGGTCAACTTAATACCGAAACAAATGAAATTTGGACCTAAAATAGAAAATACAAATCAAATTTAGATAATTAGATGGTGTCTTTCTTGCCTGAACAGGTAAGCTAGTTGAAGAAGAGGAAGGGAATTTTGCTCTGTGGCTTTGTTATATTCTTACCGGTGTTGGAGCAAACCTTGTATCGTGGCTTGTTCTACCACGAAATGCAGTTTCAGTTGGAGCCTCTGGTGCTGTTTTCGGATTATTTACCATTAGTGTGCTTGTAAAGGTGAGTTCCGATCTGGAATTTATTGTTTCTCTAGACGAGACAAATCAGTTTATGCTTAACCAGTCAACCCGTCTCTTGATCAATTTAGATGTCTTGGGACTGGAGGAAGATCCTTGAAGTGCTTATATTGGGCCAATTTGTTGTAGAAAAGGTGAGTCGAGGTTTTCAGAAATAGACATTGCTCCCAAAGCATCTCCAAAATTGATTGGAGCATATGAATTCTTTGTTCCAATTTGTATCATGGTTTTACAGCTTTGTTATAATTTTTGTCAGATTATCTGGTTTTAAATGAAATTACACTTCAAATATCTGCAGTTTTATTAGTTTACTTGTCTGCGTGTGTGCACATGCTTATTTTGCGTTTTATGTTCTTATTTTTCCTAAGATCATTTACAATATGTCCTAAGTACATATTTGGGGACAGATTACCAATATGATTCTGTTTTTGGCCACAACTAGGTTATGGAAGCAGCCCAAGCTTCTACTGCATTATCGGGCACCTTTGGCAGAAATTCGTTGATGAATGTCAATCACATTGCCCATCTCTCAGGTGCTCTTGTTGGTGTTTTTCTGGTATGGATTCTCAGCAAGGTTCCTTCTGAACCCCCATCACAAGAAGGATCGAATTTCCAAAGCAAAGCAGGCAGAACTCGGTTATAATTTGCTATCGAAACCACACTATGTGCTTTTGCAGCAGTTAATATCCTGCTCACCATTGTGCTCTATATTTTGTTGACCATGTGTACATTATTCTGATGCTAATTGATTCAATACAAAAAGGATAGAAATTTCCCCAATTGGGTCAATCTTGGTCTGAACCAAATGTGTACAATGTGTAAGGGAAATTCTGAATGGCCCATAAGCGCTTCTCATAAGCACTTTTGTTGGACCTTTTATTATTAGAAGCCCGCTGAAATGAAAAGCACTTGGAAGTATTTTATAACCTGAGAGCGTTTTTAATCTTTCAAATTTTATTATCAAACATGCCCCTTAACATGTTACATTGAGTGTGAGAAAATGAGCTCTCCTTTTTGACAAAGACGATATTCTAAACTACTCTAAGCTACGGAAATAGAGATTCGAATTGGAACTACTCTAAGCTACGGAAATAGAGATTCGAATTGGACTGCAAGAGGGCGGGCACGCTGCTCTATCGACATCTACGAGACTCTTCATGTTCTCAACTGTCAATAATTATATTGATGATTAATGTGGGAAAGTACAATGTGAAGCATTTTATTTACAAGAAGTAATCAGCATGCTCAAAAACAAGCAAATTTCAATGAAAAGAAAAACTCTCTTCACTATCTACAACATTCATATGCTGAATTTTCTACCGGGATAATTCTATATGATTCTGTTTATATCCAAATCGCATCGTTCCCTTAGTTCATAAGCACAACTGTACATTGCTGTGCAATCTGACCGTAAACGCCAAGCTGCCCCTGAGATTGCTGCCTGCATATAATCGGCGATCTCTCCCCAAATTTACAAGTGTGAAACAGATTCATAGGCTTTGCAGCAAGCGATGACACGTCCAACGAAAAATCACTATCTCTTAAAACCGTTCTTCCTTTTCTAGTTGCTGAACCCTTTTGATCACTTGTGACTGCTGATGGTATTTGTAACAAATTGGGATGAAAGGCACTTGCTGATTTCTTTTGATATGTTTTCTGTAAGCTCTCAAATGGCTCCTCTTCTTTTTCAACCTGAGAGGTATTTTCTTCACTTTTCGCAGAATCCAGCATCGTGTTTGCGTCTTTTGTTAGTCCAATCGAGCGCCATGCATCTGCAACAAACGAGATAGTAGATTTCTCCGGTTGAACACCAAACTCTTCCATAATCCGGAGTATTTCTTCAGCTTTCCATAGCTGCTTTGCTTCTCTAAATCCCCATATTAGGGTCTCAAATGTCTTTAAATTGGGAGAAATACCGGACTCATACATCTTATAAAAAACTTTGATCGCGTTCTCCATTCTGCCAGAACTGCACCATCCGCTCATGATGGTTGTGAATATCACAACGTTTGGACGAACTCCTGATTTGATCATGGTTGCCAATAGTTCTTCAGCTTTCTTGACTTCTTGAGCACGCACGTAACCTTTGGCAAGAATGCTGTATGCATGTGCATCGGGTTTTATGCCGGCCTTCACCCTGTCATCGAAGATTTGCCTACACTTCTCCATGAACCCTGCTGTGCTCCATGCATTCATGATGGTGCTAAATGATATCACATCTGGTTTGACCCCAAATTCTTCCATCAATTTCAGCACCTGCAAAATTGCAAATTAATACACATTTTTGTGTCAATAATCGAAACAAACACCATTTCGTGCAAACAAATAGCTACGCAATTCTGTAGGTCATAACTCACCTGATCAACCCCATCTCTATCCATGGTGTCTACGAATCCTTTAACCAGCGAGTTAAAGAGTACAATGTTCGGGCAGAGGCCAAGATCTTTTATCCTGCGCATAAACCTTAAGGCCTCCTTCAACTTACCTTCCTTGCAATACCCGCTCATGATAATGCTACAAGGTCGCGCATTCGGATACAACTTCTTGTTCTGCATCTCTAAGATCAGTCCTTCTGCCTGACTTGTCGCTCCATTTTGCGCATAAGCTGTTAGCTAATGTGTTGTGAGTAACAGCATCAGGCCGCATTCCAGAAGCAACCATCTTATGCACCACGCTCTATGCCTCCGCAATGTTTCTTCTTACACCATGCTCCGACTGGTACATTAAAAGTCCTTATATTCGGCTTCACATTTTCCTCTCCGGACATCATCTCAAGCACTTTCAAAGAATCCGCAGGCTTACCCGAAATAAATTCTTAATTGTATACATCTAGAATGTTATAATCTTATTTAAAATCCTAATTGAATATACTCGGATTTCTAAGGATTTTAATAAACTATATTAAAATTCTGATTGAATACACTTTGAATTTCAGAAAATCACTTAAAATCCTGATTGAACATCCTAAATTCATTAAAAGAACTAAAACCTCTCAAATTCTCAATTGAATACACCCTAATTTTTTATTTTTTTTTTTAATTTTCAAAAATTTTGGGTTTCTGGGTGCTACTCAATCACAATCAGAAGACACCAGAAAATCAAAGCTCGGTTGTACATTAGAGAAGGGGATGAGTAGCTTCTAAGGAATGGCGGAGTATGGAGACCCACCAAAAGAGAAGGGGAACATAATGTATGTAATCATCTCAGAGGGGGAGAGAGACAAAAGTGATGGGGATAAGCCGATAAGGATAAAAAAGTGAGGGTCTCAAAACTTTTCAGGAAAATTGCTTCTCATTTTTTTTTTTTCTTCCTTTTTTTTCTTATTAAAAATAACTCATGAAAGTTTACGTAATCTCTCAACACCCCCGCCTTTCTCATAAATCTTAGTTTCATTTGTAAGGTAATCAAATTTCCATTAAAAGTCCAACCAATTTTCATTATATTTCTTTCGTGACACGTATAAATAATAAAAGAAATATTATGATTAGTCGTGTATGAATGCTTAGGTTAATTTGATCATTTATGCTTGAACTCATAAAGCAAGAACGTACATGTTAAGTTCATATCAAGCACGAATCCAACTGTTATATTTGGCGTGGCTCGAGTCATCTACTTGGATAGTGAGTGGGCGGGGCAGAATACGTAATGAGAATTTTTGTGGGTTCCGATGAACACGTAATGTGGTAGAGACGTTTCTATTGAATTTTTTTTCCTAATGAACAAACCAGTGACTAGAGACGAAATAAGACCCGGCTTCTCTGCCCTTTCAATTTCTATACACTTTCATCATCTCTTATTTTGTGCAGTCACGGTATGTCAACAATTTTATATTGATTTTTTTTTTATGAAGATAATAAGATAAAAAGTAGGGATAACTTGATATAGATCCAATTTTGTGAGAGATTAGTAGAATTAGTCCACTTCATTGAAATAGGTCCAATAATTGAGATTCCATGTATATTTATTTGTGGTTTGTACCATATTTACCTCTTAGGTTTACGAATTGTAATATATACACAAAATTTCTTAATTATGATATAATTTGTGGTTTAACTAATCCCTTAATTGTAGGATTAGTTATAGCCATATAATCACCTCAACCCCCAGTCTGTTTCATCCCTCATTTTTTCCTTATTCCAAACAATTCACTCTATCAATCCTCCTCTTTTTTGTCTCTTCTTTTCATGGGTGATATTTTTGTGTTCTTCCCTCCAAATTCGTTCATTTAATGGAGGTATATTATATCATATTTATATTTTTATGTTCCGCCATGTAGGTTCCTAGCATTTTTCTTCCAATACAATAGGTAGTTTATTTTTGTTTTGCGGGTAGATTATATCTGCTTTGTAAGTATAAAGCATTTTCTTCCTATACAATAGGTAGGTAGTTACTACTAATATCGGTCTTGTTTTCTTCATAAATAGTAGGTAGTTACTAGATAATATTTTAGTTTGAGTATTTAAATATTCAAATATAAAAACTGAATAAATGATAAAAAAAATTAAAGAATTTAAATATTTTTATCTGAAGGGGCAAAATTGATATCAAAATATGTAATTAGATAACTGGACTCAGTCCCAAAAACTATCTAAGTTTTTGGACCTGGATCCAAAAGCCCCTAAAAAGTAATAGTGTTATAAAATGTTGATGTGGTTTAACCGTGACCGTATAAATAGGAGGGGATGAGAGTGTATGAGAACTAGGAGGGCAAAGAAGCCAGGTCCGACGGAATCTTCGGTGTGGCTGACACACTACAATGTGATAAACTCAAATTTCCCATGTTGACATCACTGTCAGCTATATTTGATAATGGATGGTGCTATCCACATCTACACATGCTTTGTTAATTTTATATGTTAATTTTCTTCAAATTATTCTATTTGATGGTCGAAAATTGAGAGGAATGTGGGGAAGGTAAACAAATGGTGTGCGGATGGCACAATTCTTGATAATTAAGATAAAGGTTTGGGCTTTATGTTGGGCTTGACTCAGCCCACTACGGGTTATGGGCCGGGTCACCATACATGGGATCTTAGCCGTAAGCCTATGGCTCTACGCACTCGGCTTATGTAAAAGTACGTTTCGCCGCTGCCGGCAAAATTCTCGTTTCCCATCAGTTTTTCCTAGGAAAATGCCGCAAAGATGAATTCCCGGAAAATCTAAAAAAAGAGAGATCAGAAGCAAGCAACCACCTGTGATTAAACTTCAGAAATACTCTTCTTTCTTCGTAATTTACAATTGTTTTTCATTAATCACAGAATAATCACCGTGATTAGGACCCAGATTAGAGATTCATCTGAATATTCAGCCCAATTTTTTTCAGTAATTATCTTTGAATTTTTGGAATTTTCTTCTGGAGTGGTCAATTTCGGGATTGACATGTTTAGGCTGTGGAAATGGTACCAGAATTCTTTATCTGTTCATCCGATTAAGACGCAGGTCATCAGCTCCGGTTTGATTTGGGGGTTTGGTGACGTAACTGCCCAGACCATCACCCACTACACGGCCCAGGAAAGCGAGCAGATTCAAGCTCAGGTAAAAACAAAAATACCCATCACCCATTACCCAAATGGTTTTTTTTTTTATCCACAATATTCTGGTAATATTCTTGCATTTCTTGCTCTGTTCCAGTATTTGCTCAAATGGGTATCTGTTATTCACTATTTTCCCAGATCGGTCTCTTCTTTTTTCTCCTACATTTGATCATTTAGCTCTTGTTCTTGTGTTTGTGGAATTTCTTTCATGCTTTGGATGGCCTCTGTATTTGTTTATTTATTTGTCAATTTTTATTGAATCGTTGCTATGGAATTTGGAAAGAATTTCATTGTGCTTGTTTTTTTAAACTTAAAGAAGTGTAGGATTTGTTGCTTAATAATGGGGGTTAATGTGGCACCAAGCGGATATAGTTCCTTATAAGCAACTTATATTGAACGGGTTCACTATGGCATGGCATGGTGTTTGGGTTCAACAATACAATTCCATGTGTAAGTGGCGGTGAACCCATTCCATGTCAGTCTTTCATCATGTTTAGGGAAAAGTTTTGGTAGCTGCATTTTCTTTATCTCTTGATTTGGAGGATCACATATTTTGGAGAGGATATTAAACTACTTACTCATTGTGTATAATTTTTCTTAGTTTAGAGAAACATGACGTGTTATGGTAATGTTCTTAAACTGATTCTTCGGTCGTAAATGTACCAAACACTTTCTGAAATCAAGTTACGCTGTTAAGCATAACACCTTGTGCAGAGTTCCCCAATTTAGGCTACATATATGAGAGAAATATTACGTAAAAGTTTTAGAATTTCTCAACATTTTGTTTTATATTAAATGATCAAATGCATGCTCGCAAGACATTGCTATCAAATATATTGTTAATTAGTTTTCCATGTTAATAGACTAACTTATTTGTCTTCGTGCACAGGGTGAAGATGAAAAGTTAAAGATCAACTGGAGAAGAGTGGGTACAACCAGCTTGTTCGGATTTGGGTTTGTTGGGCCTGTTGGCCACCTCTGGTAAGGAAATTTTTTTGGTGGAAAAGATCATTCTGAGTATGTCGACATGTGATTTTGCTGGTGTTTTTGAGATCTTGTTCACACGTCAAATGGCCTTCTAGAATTTTACCAACTAAAGGAACCACTAATCATGGGCATTTGGGCCTCCTTAAAACCTTTCACTGCGTTTCCTCTCTTATTTTTGCTGAGAGAGACAGTTTATGAGTTTGGTTTTATTATACTTTTGCAGGTATGAAGGTTTAGATCGATATATAAGGTCAAGACTTCTGCTGCAACCAAAATCATTTCGGTTTGTTGCTTCTAAAGTGGCGATTGATGGATTCCTTTTTGGGCCATTGGATTTACTTGTGTTTTTCACATACATGGGTTTTTCTGCCGGAAAAAGTTTTCCTCAAGTCAAGGAAGATGTGAAAAGGGATTTTCTACCAGCCTTTGTTCTAGAAGGAGGTGTATGGCCGATTGTGCAAGTAGTAAACTTTCGGTTTATACCTGTGAGGTATCAGCTCCTCTATGTCAACTTCTTTTGCTTGTTGGATAGCTCTTTTTTGTCATGGCTCGAGCAACAACAGGATGCTCCATGGAAGCAATGGTTGAAATCATTAGTGCATGTTAGCAAGCAAAACGGTGAAGAAAGGTGATTCGTGCTTGCCCTTGAACTATACAGTGGATTGTACGTCAGAAAAGTATAACAGTTGAGTGAGAAAACTAAGATACCAACTTAGTTTTTGGAAGTTGGGAATTCGGAAGAGATGGATTTTCTTTCATGGTTATCCAGGTTTTACTTGCGGTACAAGTTTTCATTTATTGTATTCTCAAGGAATGATTTAATAATGTTTCTATCAATTGTCTTTGCTACTGATTGCAAGTTCTTGGTCTTCCATCCAGTTGAGTATTATCAATTTGGTTTTACCGTCTTACCCTCTGTAAATATTTACTCTCGGTAGTAAAATACCGGAAAGGAAATTTTCCGGAATTGAGATTTGATATGTGATCCTTGTTTCATATCCATTCTGTGATTTCTTAACTCTTAAACAGTTAACAGACCTGAACAAGCAGATAACAGCTGCTACTTCAAACCCAGACCAAAAAGTTACTGTAAAATTATTTACCAGAAAGATTAGTGTAATCTGTGATTATTACTTTTCTGCAGGCAATTGAAAAAATTGAATGTACATAATTTTCTTTTCAGTTCTTAACTCCACACCGTTCGTTGGCCCTTGCTGCTGGAGCCGGAAGGGTTAAGACCGTATTCACTGGTAGTTTCACTGTACCTACTGATATCGAGGTATGCATTCTCAAAGCCATTGTGTAATGTGCTGTTTCCTGGTGTGATTCCTTCACGAAGCTCCGTCAAGGAAGTGACTCCTTCTAAAGCATGGACTACCTGCTTAGTTCGGATTAAGTTTAAAGATTTTCGGTTAATTAGATGAACAGTTACGCGCTTTGTTTCAAATACATTACAGTCAGTAAGCTATAATTGTGAAACATGAAAGAGGGAATTACTTGGCTCATTCGCGGTCGAAGCCATGCTGAATGCCGTACGCAAGCAGCGGCGCAAGCAACCATTCGAACCATCTCATTCTTCTTGTAGTTTTTCTCCAATCTTGGATCAGTAAGTGCATCGAAATCGCCATCTTCCAGCGCTTGAGTGAGCAATGGCCTGGCCTGCAATGCCGAACACGGAAATTCAGTTATTTGTACACTCAAAATTTCAGGACCACGGTTGATGTTGTGCATCCATCGGATAATCTGATCAACCAAAAGTAAGGTGAGGCACTGCTAAGAAACGCAGCAGGGTTGCAAGAGAACTAACCCACTGCACTAGGCCCTTGTTCCTTATGGATTCTGAAGTACTGATAGGACGGCGTCCAGTGATCAGTTCTAGAAGTACAACCCCAGTATGAATACACGTCTGATTTGTCTGTTACCTTACCGCTTGATGCGTATTCTGGAGCCAGGTACCTGTACATGTTCGACCAAAGAACAACTGATTAAGAAAATTCTGCCCAACAACGCGAATTTTGCTCCGACAGATAGCAGTCAAAGCAAAACTGACTACATTGCTATGGCGTTGGAGTTGTAGTAAGAAGAATATCATGTTCTTACCCAAATGTTCCCACTACTTGTGTCGAAAAGTGAGTCATGTGAGTGTTGGTATCAGAGAAAGATTTGGCCAGTCCAAAGTCAGAAACCTGAACGTTAAATCTCAAGTTCGTTAATCTTATTATCGCTCGCTATCAACACCGGTTAATCCATTGAATATATAGAGAAGCTCTCAATTTTTGTCAGCAATATGAAAGAAAAAGTTAGTGCAATAGTAATGGCATTGAGAACCTTTGCTTCAAAGTTATGATCCAGAAGAATATTAGACGCTTTGATGTCGCGATGAATGATTTTTGGATTGCCTGCAACCGAGAATGAAGATGTGAAAAACATTCGCAATTTTATTTACCGGATGCGAAAAAAAAAACTTCCGAGAGACCTGTGAAGGGAACTCACAATCTTCATGGAGATATGCGAGTCCTTTTGCTGATCCAGTAGCAATTCTGAGTCTGATTTCCCACTCCAGAACAGGCTGCCCTTCTCCTGCAATGCATTGCGTTTAGTAGTGTTAGCGACGTTCTAGAACACGGATAAAGGAAAGAAAATAAAAAAACCATTGGCTATTTGGCTTATCGAATCATCTATCAAGCCATGAAAAGATTCAGCAATAGACATAAACAAATGCACCATCTGTTTTACTTCAAGCAATACATGGAGTAACTCCAGATATAGCAGTAAAAACAAGACGTGTAGGCAAATCAACTTATCAAATTCTTGCATTGAATCAAAATCAATCACTTGAAATAGGACTTACCGTGTAAGTGGAATTCCAAGGTGTTGTTTGGAACAAACTCATAAACAAGCAACCTATCAACCCCGGTTGTGCAGTATCCAACCAAAGAAACCAGATGCTTGTGATGAACCCGGCTAATGATGTCAACCTCGGCCTGAAATTCTCGCTCCCCTTGCCGGCTTCCTGTCTTCAACTGCTTGACTGCAACTTCTTTTCCACTTGGAAGCACTCCCTTGTGAACATACCCAAAGCCGCCTTGTCCAAGAAGGTTGGCTTCAGAAAAGCCATTGGTTGCCACCACTATTTGATCATATGTGAAAATCCCATTTGAGAAATCGAAAGGCGATCCAGCTGGCCTTCGAGTTTGAGGCGGATGTGGAAACTGATATCTGGATTTGATCGAAGCAGAGCCGGCATTGTGGCTTATTGGAGATTGTGGGATGTTGAAGCTGGATAGCACACTGATAACATGGACTCCTGGTAGAAGAACATCTGACAATGCAACGGAGAAAACACAGTAAATCAGTAAATGAAATTGGTTTTTTTGTTGATAATATTCTACTTTGAACTAATCATCTAAACTGCGGAAAGAAGATTCAAACTCAGGTACATAAGGAAGTACACATTCCCTCTAGCCAATGTAGTAAAGGCAACGTAATCACCTTTTGTGGCGGATGGTGGTGTTTTATGGGGATCCGCCAAAAGGGCACTGTTGTTTTTGCTCCGCCAACGATTGTAACAGAGAAACAGAATGGCAAGGAGGAGAGCGACGGCGACAAGTCCACCAACGGCGCATGATCCGGCTATGAGAGCTGTGCTCTTGTTTGTTCTTAGGTTGTGGACTTGCAAGGTGGTTGGCAGGGATGAGGATAATGGTGGATGTAGCATTGACTGAGGCGGCATTGGCAATGTAGGTTGGAGGTGGGATTATGGAGTTATTGTTGGAGGGAGATGGCTGCAGAGTGCTGGCCAATGGGGGAGGCAATGCAGGTGGTGGAGAGTCGTTGGTTGGACTCGCTAATGGTGGTGTTTGAGTGGTGGGGGGGCTGGTGGAGTAGGAGTTGACAATGCAGGTAGTGGCGGAGCGGTTGATGGGATTATAGGAGGGGAAACATGTGGTGGTGGTGGTAAAGGTGGTGATGGTGGCGGAAGAGGTGTTGATGGCAGTTGAGTTAGCGGTGGCGAAGGTGGTGGAGGGGAAGAGGTCACTACTGATGGTGGTGGTGAATGCGGTGGAGGTGAAGAGGTGACCAGTGTTGGTGGTGGAGGAGAAGTGGCTGAAGGCGGTGGTGGAGGAGTGACCCTAGATGGTGGCGGAGATGTTAGAGGAGGCAGTGGTGGTGAGGAAACAGGAGGGACAGAGTTGTTTATAGGCAGCAGAGTAGGAGGAGTACTAATGGGTGAGGATGGTGCTATTTGTAGGCAATGGCGGCATCAACGGTTGTGGAAATGGTGACGGCAACAATGGCGGCAGAAGTGGAGGAAATGACGGTGTCAATGGAGGTGGAGTGGTAACAGGAGAAGCAGCAGGAGGCAGTGACCGTGGCGGCGAAGACATTGTTGATTGCAGAATAAGTTTCTATTGAGTTTCTCGAGATGTATTGTAATTTGTATTTGTATAACAACATAACACTTTAGCTACTAATAGATAGAGGCTGTATATAATAGAGTCCCGATAACTCACTACTCACTATTAAATTTGATATCAAGGTTTGATTAAAAAAAAAAATTCATATCAAATTTAATGACGGATATATTTTTTGGTCATTTTTCTTTAACAATCCTTTATTATCGAGTTATCTGATAAGTGAACAATGTAAATTGACTTTAAGATGAACTCTAACAATGAGATGGTAAAGATTGTTTAAATTTGGATTACGTAATAGGCTAGACTTACGAAAGCAAATTCAATAATTTAGTACCAAAAGAGTATTATTGAAATATAATATATTAGATGATAGGAAATTCTTGGAAATAGATCATTTTCGGATCCTTTCTTCCTAATCCACCAAATCAGAGAATCCGTGCAGTTGAAAATTAATCAAATGGCTGAAGTTATTATAACTTTTAAAATGGACTGCTGTTTGTAGCTATTGGATTAATTTTCAACAGCTTAAATTCCCTAATTTAATGAATTAGGAGGTAAGGATTTGAAGAGGATCCCCTTCCATTGAGGAGAGCCCGTGAACAAAATCTTAATTATTTTTTAATAAATTTCTTCCAACTAACCTCTCACTTATTTTACTTTTATATGTTGAATGGGGAAGCAGCATGTGATCAGTATAAGACAGTAACTAGTTGCTGTTGTTGTTGGTGTTGTCAGTGGAAATCCAGTTCACCTTCCACTGTCTCGCTAGGGCTATAGCTCACTACGAGTTAATATGGGAAAGAAAGATTGGGGCGGAGGTCGGTCGCGTCATTCATAAGAAAATTCTCACAACAATATAGAACTCAATATGTTTAAAGTTTGATATCGAGAGAATCTTTGATAGGAGTGACACTACCACGTGGTTTGGCATATAGGGCAAGTCAATAAGACATTACCATGTTAACATAAATGGAGCCAAATTAACCGAACATAATGAGAATTTGAGCATGTTTGTGAGACAGAGCAAAAGATGAGACTAACTGTCCCGCTCAGATTTCGTCCCACCAAATCCCTGAAGACTTAATCTACTGTGAGAACTGATCTAGTAAAACAGTCATGCCGAAGTTTCTCTTTTGATATAGATGCCCATAGCAGATAATTGAGTCTATGAACTTCAATCATAAAAGTCATTAGGCACCCATCACTCACCCATTTTGGGTTTCTGCTTTTGCTCTCTTCGACTTCCCATAGTCTCAAATTCAGATTGAACAAATTTGCATACAGGTCTAGTAGTAGGGCCCCACAAAAACTCACATACAGGTTGACTGACTTTTCTTGTTGGCACTGTTCTACCTGGAGATGCTCCAATTAAAAAGTAAGAAAATACGAAGGAAGGTGTAAAATTAGGGTAGATGACAAAAGCTTTGCTTGGTGCCCAATATTTGGGTTACAAGAGTTAAATGCTGTCTTTCTTCTTGGATTACTTCTTGTCTTTGATCCGAGATCAAATCTAATCAAGTCGACAGTGTTACGTTATTGGGATACTTCGAATAAATTAGAGTATGTAAACACTGACGCTAAAATATTTTCTCAAGATATCATGGTGAACGTTGTGTTCAAACTCTCCTTGCCTACATTTCCGCTCGTCTTATAAACTGTGGAAATGGATGCTACCAAAATCCTCCCGCGAATTTCATGTCATTCAATCTATTGGATAACCCTGCTCTTCGATAGCCGATGACCAACAGATCATAAGTTGATTTTATAAGTTCATAAGAACCCTTAATACGTTCCAAAGACATCATCCAATCTGTCCAACATGGCATTCAACCCTATAATTTCACAGTGGACCGGCAATAAAACTTCCAACATGACATTCAACTGTAAGAATTAGAAGCAGCTCCTCCACTTTCTCCACCATCTTAAGTTGAATGAACAATCCTACAACCATCTCTGCCGTCTCTTCGTTAATCTTCAATCTGGCATCTAATACTCTCTTCAAAAAGTCTATAACTGAATTATAGTAGATTTTGCACGGAAAAATATATTTTGAAAAACATGAATATTGATATTTTGTTGTTAACGTGCGAGAAATAAAAGAAAAATTAACAAAAACAAAAAATAAAAAATAAAAAAATTGAAAAGGGAGATCGGTATGATGCTAGCGATTTGTGAAATACAAACGGTAGTGAAGTACCGATTGTATCATTTTCTATCTTTTTCTTCTTATTTTCTTTTTCCATTGATTTTTTTTCTTCTTACCTTACTTTATTTAGATTCAAATACTTTCAGATTTATATTTATATCTTTATTTTTGAGTGTTTTGACATGAATTATTATCCTAGTTTTATTTATTTAATATCCCTTCGGTGTCATTGAGATAAGAGATGTCGTTTCTAGTTTATCTCTTTTTATTTCTATATATGTAGAAAGTTGAAAAATCATCATAAACAAACCAATATTTTATTATTATCTGAAATGAAAAAATAATAATATTAATACAAATTGCCTGAGTCATTTAGTGTAGAGGATTTGGGCAGTTTTTATTTATTAAAAGCAGTTACGGTTATAGGATTGAGTTACCTAGCTAATATACCCTTTGTTTTTTTGTTACTGTTCACATAGAGGGATTGGGCAGTTAATGTTTCCATGGCAGTACCATTATAAATGAGGACCTCGTCGTTTTAGGTCCGATGACTATTTTCATTGACGTATTTTACCTCGAGTTTTAACGTAACATTCTCAATATTGTTCATTTTTAACGAAAATCATATTTTTACCTCTCTTTGATACTATTCACTACACCTTTATTTGTCATTTTTTATTAAAACTAAATATTTTTTGAACTTTCGTTAGTCTTCCTCAATAAACTAGTAAAAATGCAAGGTGGACCGTCTGACATGTGTACGAGGCAAACAGGCGATCAAACCTGTAAGGCGTACAAAAGCTAACCAACGGGATCCTCCGAAGGGGTTTCACTGCAGACCGAAATAATTTTGCAATTCAAAAATGTATCATATACATTATTGGTACTTATTTTCACTTGTAAGTAAGAGATTTTAAGTTATTACTAGCCCATTGTAAAACTTAAATCATCCTCTCCTGGGCTTTCCCTTAGTGTAAATAGTACTGTATGTTAAAAAATAAAAAATGTATCACATACACGAATTTTACACGTCTTGGTACACTCAAAACTTCACCAGAAAATTTTTTTCTGGGGGGTGGAGTTTACACACGACAAACAATCAGTTCCGGTTTTACAACAAAAGAAAAAAAAAAACATTATGAAAAGAAAAACTAACTCAACCCCTATGGAATCTCATGGAGATTGATCTACAGCTACAAAATCATACTTTCGCAGCCTTCCCGTCGTCTCCGGAGGAAACTAATCGAAGGGACTCACTCTATTTTCTGCTGATGTCAACTTAAATGATCATGGCATGCCGAATTTGGACAGGGCAGACTGGAAGACGGATGAAAAGGGCCGAGTTGCACTTTGGTCATCGGCTTTAATCTTTATCTGAGCTTTGGCGGATGATGTGTTGACTACACACTCTACCAAAAATGTTGAAGATTCTTCTGCCTTCTGTGCGAAGAAGAAAAACTTGAAGTTGGGGGATTGGCCGCCGGATGCAATGCAGTGGATGGCTTGGCCTTGCATATGCCGTAGGAGTGCTTGAGGCGTTGTCAATGCTGCAACTCCTTGAGGGTTCATAGAATACTCCTACTCGAAATTAGAAGCAATTTGTAAGAAAGATATACATAAAAAACCGACCAAAATATAAACAGTATAAACATTATGCAGAAAAATATATATTTCAAGGTATACCTGTGATAAAGATATTGGCAATTGGCGCCACTTCTGCTGGAAAGAGGTTGGATCCAAAACAGCTTTCGGATTAAGCTTCAACGGAGGAGGTGAAGGTGCAGGCGCAGGTGCAACAGCTAGTCCCAAGCCAAGCAGATCATCAATTGCAAAGCTAGACTGCGGAGCATTTCCCGACACACTAGGGTTTGAAATTACCAACTCCGACAGTTGAGAAGTGGGAACAGACACAGATGAAGCATCATATGAAGGAGCACTATATGCAGAAGAACTGTTATTGAGACCTCTTGTTTCCTCCTTCTCTGAGGTACTTAAAAGCAGATCCTTATCATTTGCTTCGACTCTGTTTGGAACAACAGTATCCGCAGATTCTGTCCCAATAGATACATTTCCAATTTCATCTGAAAACTCAAATGGGCCTCTGTGTTCCTTATAAGTAAACATGTACGAAGGCTGCAAGCATTTCAAAATATCAGTCTTTGTCAATTGTCAGGCCTCCCTTCAACAAAGTTCTCAGTATATTGTAAACAAGCGAAAATACCGCAATCGATTAAGACAAGTAATGTATGGTTTACACTTATATTCACATATCCATTGTGTGTGCCTTGTATTTGTCTATCCAGACACCCATGAAGGGGATTGGGAGTGTTGTTTTCTTTTAATCTGAAATCATTTAGAAGGGAGGAGAATTATTATTACCTTCTGATATACCACGGATAAACTGTTAAATTCGTCGAAAATCCGATCTTTGATTTCACTGCTCTGGGTATCAGCAAAGACAGAAACAGCTTGCTTTGGAGGGTTCACCACTTGTTCTGCTACACTTATTTTATATTGCAAAAGCCTGTAGTAGAATAAGGCTCTATCATGAACATCCTGCAACCAACTGAAAGTTTACTGAACATTCCAATGAAATATGACAAAATTCTCACCAACAGAAATTAATGCACGAATAGAATATTTTAAAGGTAATCATATATAACAACATCAAACACAACAACATGCACCTGATGAAAATCAGCAAGACCTGCAGCCAGTGCAGCTCCCAGGGATTTCTGAGTCTCAGGTGGCCTCTTAAAAAAACACTTCATTACTGCTGTTAGTAGATGTAAGCGAACCTGTGTAATGGAATTGTCCCATCACTCAATAGTATATAAGTAATTAATAACACAACCGTAGTTTTAATTCATGAATTTGTACCATTAGAGGTTCAAAAGTATATCTGTAGCTGTAAAATGCTAGAATATAATGACCACAAAGATCCTACACAATCCCCACACTAAGTACACACACAAATACTAGACCCCTGGTTTGTTACTAATTTCCGAGCACTAAAATTGAAACCACATTGGCCGATCAAATTGAGACTGCAAGTCTGCAACACAGTACTTTATTCTTTTCACAAATAAAAACTACATTCTCCGAGTTATTTCAAGAGGCCAACCAGAAAATGGATCCTCATCAAAACTAAGTAATATACACTTCACCTAAAAGAAATAATAATTTCATATCTTTCTGTTTACTACATGATGTGAAAACATTGACAAATAAACCAGGGCTCATTAAGATAGAACAGAAAATGCAACTTAATAACTTACCTCAGCGGAATGCTCATCTTCCCAATTTTCAATCAAACCCTCTAAAATATAAGGTGCATCATGCATTTCCTGAGAATACTCCCCCAGCATCCATATAAGAGCTGCCTTGGCCTTGGGTTCTTGAACATTTTTGCTGCTAATGTTCCCAACAACCGCAATACAATCCTGACTCCATTGTGGATATTTCCTCAGCAGATCTTTTACAAGAACCTGCATAAAAAAACTCCAAACTTGAGTCAACCTGACTAGCTATCGAGTATATAAAAGTAACATGATCGTTATTTTGCTTTTATTTTCTGTTTACCCTCATTTGTTTTTAACTGACCTATAGCCATGTAACATATCATTCCCAGGAAGGAACCACAGTAAGCTGGTATGCTTAGAATTACCATTATAAGTATTTAACAGAATCAAACATGATTATTTACCAGAGCTTCAGCAGTTACATAGTCCTTTTCCATCTCCAGAAATTGAAGAAGCCGATCCACAATTGCATTCACATCATACTGTTGTAGAGCTATTTTCCCAACTGCACGGATTGACTCTCTTGCAATGGGAATATCAACATTTGCAGCATATTCACATAATTCCGTCACTGAAATGGAATCAAGCTCATGCATCAGTCATACTTGAAAGCTAACAAGAAAAACAGCACCGGAGACCACTGACCAAAGAAAGGGTCATCTTAAAGAACACAATAATACACACACATGCACATTATTGCTCAAGAATCTGTAATGAATTTCAGGTGGTGTTTTCTTACCAATTTCATAAGTGTTACTCTCATTTGCCACCGCAGTCAACATCTCAAGCTTCAACTTTTTAACATAAGATGGCTCATTGTACTGGCAATAAAAATGTTTATAGTCTGAAGAAAATATGAAAGGTGCACGCATCACCAAAAGATGCAGATGACTTAGAACTGCATAAGATTGCTCTGGACTTCCTGAACTCACTAAGGTCAGGAGAGGAGCTTTAATGCGTTCATATACCTAACAAATAAAAAGAGGCAAAATAAGTTTTAACTAGAGAAGTTATTCGCATAAAATAGCAAGAATAGTACACGATGGTGCAACATGGAACATCGGCATAAAAGTCACAACCATCAGATCCTAAAATGTTATTTCTTTTCCAAACTAGATCACTCTGTATACCATATGGAGTATTTTCCAACCAATTAATATAAAAGGCATGACTAGCAGCCAAAAGTTCTTCTATACTGCTATATATATAGTAGCCCCTATATGATTATGCAACTACAAGAGGTTACCTTTTGTAACATTAAAACAGCTATATTTCTTCCTAATTTTTGAGTTGCAAAAATATAGGTTTAAATGGAATTGAATTTCTTTATGTTTACCTGCTGATGTACATCAGTCATTGACAGAGTCAACTGAAGAAATACTTTAGTGGTTGCTAGGACAACAGCACCATTTGCATGCTGAAGTCTATCCTCGAGCAGATTCATGACATCAAATATCTCATTGGGATCTGCAGGTACATATTTAGCTACCAACTCAAGTACCAGACATTGGGCCCATTCACTAAATTCCCTAATCCTGCAAAAGAGAACATGTGCCAAACTCAACTGCTGTTTTTTCGTCATTGGTTAAATTAAATGGAATTGCTGATATTGAATCATTTTGAACAATTAAAAATTGTTCCCGGGTGAGAAAGTCGTCATATTACTTGGCTCTCTACTTATGTGCTATGTGGACGATTCATCATTGGATATATTATATTCACTATACCAACATGATGCAGAACCCATATGGAAAAGAGGAAAGAGAGGGAGAGAGATAAACTACCGGTTCAAAAGATAGTATATGACTGGCTTGCTAAGCAAAATTTCTCTCTCCCTGGATACTTCTTCAGATGCGCTTCCTCCTAAGCTCCAAATCTCTTGTAGGGCAGACAAACAATTTGCAACCACCTGACAATATAAGAATATGAGAATCTCCTAACTAAAAAAAACGGTCGAAACTTCCTGAATCATCTGTAAAGTTCAATATAACATGGTGGAAAAGTATAAATCAGATAAGTGATTATTTGACTATCATATCTATAGCATTGAACTTTGTTCTTCACCCGATGATTTATCCTTTTAACAATAAAGAGTGAAATACATTTTTAAGAAAATATCAAAATCAGCAAATCTTAATATATAAAAAGCAGAAAACAGGGAGACTGGTGTCAAGTTACTTTATAGTTGACCGAGCAAAGAGTATAACTGGTAAAAGGGACGCCTCAGCATAATAGTTTCAAAATCAATAGTTAAAATTGTCAAAGCATCCTTAAGCAAGGCATTGTGAGATAACTGAAATTGCCTTACCTGAGTATCTCGGTCATTAAGCAACAAATGCTTAAGCGTTGTTGGAAAATCTGCATCAACACAAGTTGAGGCCGATATATGATACAACTTCAGAACCCCCATAACTGCTATCATCCTCACATAACTATTATTGTCCTTCAACCCTGCACCTAAAGGCCCCACCAAATACTCTACAAGGTTTGTCACTCGTAGCGAACACAAGCTCCTCAATGCAAGCCCTCGGATCATTGGGTCCTCATCCTTGCAATCTCTTTGAAGAAAATTGATCGTCAAAAGTGCAAGGTCCGGATTGACCTTTGCATAATTCCCGACATAAAGGTAACACATTTTCTTCAAAACTATATCCGATGTGGCTGAGCACATCACCATCTCCCCAAAAACAGACGAGACATCAATGCCAATTGTCATGTAAGAGATAACCTTCTTGAAAAGCTCCCGCTTTGAATCATCAACTCCCGGAGCTCGGCTGCCGGCAAGATTCCGGAGCTGCGTTTTCACATCGGCAACTTCACCTTTTCTGCTCGGAAAGTAAGTTTTGAGTACCGATTCAAAGTAATTGAATTGTTAATGAGAGAGTAAACCGTGACACAAATGATTCTGAGCAAATGCTGAAACAATTGGGGTAAGATCTACCATCTAGTTCAAATTAAATCTGCCAAATTATGTCGAAAAACAAGAACTTGAATTTAAATTCACCTGGGCTCCGTTTCTTATCCGATTAGAAAACTCTTTCCTCAGTAACTGAATTACTAAAAAGACTGATAATTCACATGCGGAAAATCAATGCATGCAGGAAACGAGATGGAGTGATCTCTGAATCGGAACAACATGCATTGTTCGAATTGCACCCAAAACTAATCGAAATTTCTTATATTGTTTGCCAATTGTCTATCACAAAATTTTCTCAGGAACCAAACAAGTGATCAGCGTTGGAGACTAGGGTTAAGAGAGAGAGGGAGAATCTGGACTTACCCGGCAGGCTGAGACGGCGAGGAAGATCGCTGAGACTGCGCCGGAGGAGCCATGATCAATCGGAAGTGAACTCGGAGATCTAACCGAGGTCGAAAAGTTTGCCACTGAATCTAAGAAATCAAGTTGAAAAACTTTAAAGAGAAGCATCCAAGCCTTCCATTTTGGAGAGAGAAACTAGTCGAAACGATGATGTTGATGTGGCTGAACCGGTTGGTTGTCTCTTGTCTGAAAGAGCAAGTCCACCCCAAAGGGGTAGACCGGCTCAAAGTGTGAAAAATGGACCGTCGCTCCCCAAAAACACTCCACCCCAGCCTAAAGCCCAAGCCAGGTCATAGGCCGGTCTAAAATGTGCTGAGCAATCAATTGGCCTATGTGATGTCATACTTACATCAGCGTGACATCATAGCGCACTTATATTTTTTTCGCATCAGGCGCGTGGGAAACATGCGCGTGTAGGGGCGCATTCTTGACAGACAATAGACGGTTGGGCCCCGTTTTAGCGCACCAATTTGGATCCTTGAGTGGCCACGTGGCTTGTTATGGACCGTTGGATTTCCAACGACTAGTTTTCTGGACAGTTGGATTTCCAACGGTCAAAAAAATTTGAAATTCGAACCCAACGGCTAGATGACGTGGTGCGTTCTGGGCTGTTAGATTTAAATCTTTTGCAAATCCAACGGTCCACATTAATTTACTTAATAAAAATACAAGAAAACTTAAAACAAATATTATTTTTCTTATAAATACCAACCATCATCTTCCACCTTACACCACATTTCAATATTTTCAGATAATAGTACTTTTGGATAATGACACGTGGCGTGACAAGATTGATTAAAAATCCTATCCGAAATTAAAACTAAATTTATTATTTATTATTTTATAAAAAATTGATAATATTTTAAATAGGCTGGATGCCAGCGCATTTTGTAAAGATGAAGAAACATTTGGTCAATTTACTGTTTATGAGGTATATCACTGTTCATTAAGTAGATTAAATAGGCTGAGTACCAAGACATTTTTTAGAGGTGGACTTGTTCTAAATTCTCCCCACTTCGGTGCTCCACAGTAACAATGGGGCTCGACTGTTCGAGGTCCAGAAAGCAATCAACAAACGTACAAAATAATTCGTTTCAATGGGCATTGGCCCGGAAAGCCCAGAAATCACCTAAAACGCACCATTTCTCGTCAGTCCCCCACGCCTCCAAGATTTTTCCCTCATCACTTCCCACCACCAAAAAACCCCACCAGAACACAGCAGAGCTCAGCAGCTGCTCCCATGGCTGCTCCCAAATCATAGACAAAAAATCAATATACAAAAAATCTACAGATATGGTTCTGCTTCACCTTCCAAGAACCCATATATCTCTCTACACCCATTTCTCCCTCTTCGCAAAACCCAAAACCCCAACCTTCGCCACCGCCACAACTCTCCCCCCAGTCCTCACCTCCGCCCTCTTCTCCGCCCCCAAATCCACCCTCTCAGCCTCCGAACCCATACCCATTTCCCAAATCCCGGAACCCCAAATCGAAACCCCTCAGGAATTCGAAACCCACATCGAAATCCCGCTCGAGAAGCTCTTCGTGCCGCCGGAAACTGAGGTCTCGTATACCAACACCGGTGCTCTGAGCACCAGAATCTTGAAAGGGTCCAATATTCTGCTCAGCAAGTACGCCAGGAACGCTCAGGTGGACCAGGCCGAGTTCGTGAAGAGCAGTGTGAGGACTGAGGATTGCCCCTCTGATGGTCTCCCGGAGTTTGCTCTCGTGGGTCGGTCCAATGTCGGCAAGTCCTCGCTGCTCAACTCGCTTGTGCGGCGGAAGCGGCTCGCTTTGACGTCCAAGAAACCTGGTCAGTAATTGGTACTGTAAATTCCATCAGTCAACTTTCATTGCTTGGTATTGTCAGAATTACTTATTGGCTATTTGGGAAGAAACTCAACAAAAGTTAGTATTGATTTGGTGGTTTGATGAAGGTTTTTCCATAAATTCAACATTTTTAAGGATAATTTGTGGCTTTGTTTTAGCATGTAGAGTTTGAGGCACCCTGATGAATGACATTGTGGCATTTTGGTCTGTAGACTGACCATGCATTCTGGCATCTTAATTCGAACTCGTTCATTTTTTTTCCTGCAGGGAAAACACAATGTATCAATCATTTTCGGATCAATGATAGCTGGTTCCTGGTGGATTTGCCCGGCTACGGGTATGGTTGAAAGATATGTATATTTGATTTCTACGGTTTTTTTGTTCATATAGAACGCGTGAAGATACTAATCTGAAATTTTGAATGGTTGCCGTGATGAAAAGTTCAAGTTTCCGAGAGCTTAGAGGGAGCGCATTACTTATTGGCTTTAGTTTCTTTACAGTTTGCATTATGCTAGGATTCGGAGTCCTGCTAAATATGAACAAGAGATTGCTGATTTCTCCCTCGTTATGCAAGTTTTAAACTGATAGTCTTTTATTACCTCTGTGCGTTGCGTAACCTGACAGGTACGCTGCTGCACCACAGGATCTTAGAACCGATTGGGTGAAGTTTACTAAAGACTACTTCCTGAATAGGTCGACATTAGTTTCGGTTTTCCTTCTCATTGATGCCAGCATTCCTGCCAAAAAAATTGATCTGGAATACGCTAGTTGGCTGGGCCAGAATCAGGTAGTACCCTTTCGTTGCATTTATGCCATGAGTATTGGCAGATATGGTGAACAAAATGTCTCAAATCGAATAATGTTAGCTTTCCGGGGGAATTTATGGGTACTAGAGGTTTTGACACACTTTATTAGCGGTTACACTTGTTTATTTTCTCCTCTGAATGATGAACCACCCACGGTTGCTTTCTTTCGAGTTTGTGTTCTAAACATAATTAGCGGAAAACAAAATGGAAACTTTCTTGAACATGCTTCCCTTTGTAACAAATACCAGTTTTGAAAGTGAATGATGCGCAGAGGTAACTAACTATCTGCCCATTCAGATTCCTATGACTCTGATATTCACCAAATGTGACAAGCGGAAAAAGAAGAGGCATGGAGGGAAGAAAGCTGAAGAGAATGTGCAGGATTTTCAGGAGTTAATAAGCGGCTTCTTCAAGACAGTGCCTCCGTGGATTATGACGAGCAGCCTGACCAATCAGGGTCGTGATGAGATGTTACTGCATATGGCTCAGCTGCGGAACTACTGGCTGAAGCACTAGGAAAACCAAAAACCTGATCACGTCTTCCCAATCTCAAGTAGGTATGCTGTCTAAATTGTTCAAGATACATCCAAGTACAAGAAGCTGAGATGAAATCACAACGTCACACGAAGTATTTTATCCCCAAGGGCTCTATAATCTGCATCTGAATATGATGTTAAACTTGGCAGCAATACATTGAGGAAAAGGAGAGCCAATGAGCTTACTGTGGCAAAAAGCTAATAGCTCAATTTTGTCCTTCGTGTTACTGTTTTAATCTAGTGTAAATGTGTTTAAATCTTTATTTAAAGTTCAGGGAATCATAATCTTTACATTTCAACTTTGTGCTCTTTTGTTCTTCCTTCCTGTGCCAAGTTGTTTAGGATTGTAAATTTTCTTTTTTGGTCCGAGTTTTAACCCAAGACCTTGGGTGCAAGAGCTTGAACCCAAAACCTCAGGTGCAGGGGTTGGAACTCAAGAGCTAGGGTGCATGAGTTCGAACTCAAGACATCAGGTGTATGAGTTTCAAGCCAAGCCCTCGGGTGAAAGCATGAACCTAACTTCAGATGCAAAGTGGTCATAATCGCTAACCTACAAGCACATTACCATCCAAGTTATGAGTGCAGTCTAGTAATTCCGATTCATCATCAAAATAGAAGCAACGTCGATCCTAAGAAGATACGCTGAAGCTAAAGACATGCTAGAAAACTCGCTGATCAACCCGACAAGCAAAATAAAGGGCAAACATAATTGTAATTGAGAGTAATTTTCATTTATATCAAAATGCAGCTGCAAATGGAGAGAGTCTAAACCATAACCAACTCCTCTAATAACACAATAAGCAATTAACATCCGTTAAACAATGATCCAAAACTTGTTCAAGTGAAAATTCAAAACTATCAAGACAAACAAAACAAAAACCAAATCGAAAACAAAACAGAGTTTGAGTTCAGTGGGCTTTGAAAACTTATGAGGAAGCAGCAGCGGCACCCTTTCGCCTCGGAGCAGCTTGAGTACCTTCCAGGAAGCCGCTCTTGAACCTCCTCGGCACATTCCTCAGGTACCTCATCCGCCCGGTTCCCGTCGTCTTTCGGCGCAGCGCCTTCTCACTCCAGTTGTCTGAAACCAAACCCACACAGTTCATCAAAATCCGAAAATTACATAATTAATTCAGGAAAAAAAAAAAAAAAAAAAAACAGTACAAGGAAAAGAGAAGTGGTTACATTTCCTGAGGCGGGCAGCAGGGTAGGCGCAGGCGGAGCAGCGGCTCTTCTGAAGGTGAAAACTGCGGCGGCCGCACCGCACACAGAGTGTGTGCGTCTTGTTCCTCCTCTTTCCGAAACTTCCTGTTCCTTTGCCCTAATTCATATTCCCAAATTCAAACCATTTGAATCATATATCTAAGTTAAATTGCTATCGAAGCTAGAAAACCAGAGAATGAGAGATCGAGAGAGAGTACCATTTCGTTGGCTGCAGAGAGAAACCCTAGATTTCAGAGGAGTTGCAGGAAATTTCTCGCGGACGAAGATTCAGTGAGTTATATTATCGTCGTCATCGACTAGATTAGGGTTTCATTTCGAATGTTGGGCCTCAAATGGACTGGAAATGGAGGCCCAATAATAATCACAGGCTTGCCATTCAATGAGCCCGTTAGTCTGTCGACTGTTTATGTTAAGTATACAAAATTGTAAGAACTTAGCGTCTGCGGGGATAGCTCAGTTGGGAGAGCGTCAGACTGAAGATCTGAAGGTCAGGTGTTCGATCCACCTTCACCGCAAATTTATTTTTCATTGTTCAATCTAATAATATAATTTTCTACAAATTTATTTTTTGGTTCATTTGAAAAGAAAATAAAACTTTTATAACCACAGTATGGACTGAGCTTAACAACTCAAAAGTGGTCCAATGTGAAAAAATGTTGTCTATGTTTTCTACAAAAAAATAAAAAATCTACATGATTTGAACTCAATAACAAAAAGAATATTAATTAAGTGTTACTTTTAAGCATGTACATAAGTGATTCAATTTGCTCCGTTCTGAAGTCCTTGTCCATGCCTACATGCTTTGAACTCAATAACAAACGGAGATTAAGTGCCACATGTAAGTATGTACACAAATGACTTAATCCGCTCCGTTCTAAAGTTTTTGTCCATATCTGACTATATATGGCAACAAGCATCGTAATGATAATTAAACTTCTTAATCTCACAACTATATATAACTACAATGATATGGTGTGTATATATATCGTATCAAACACATACATTATACGTGGAAGATATATATTAATTTTCATAATGTTTCCACTAAGAACAAACATGAACAATGTTGATAGGGCAGTAAGTGGGACACACCAAGACATCGAAACATCAACAATTCAAATTCGTTTTTTCAAAGTAAATTATCGAATTTGTTGAACTGGCGCAATCTTTCTCTTGTCTGGGTTTATTTTTTTACTATTTTTGGTGACAGACATTCCCAGAGGAATAATACTACTAATCATGATTAGAGTGAGCCCCAATATCGTCGATTTGGGAGTGTCTGATTGGTGAACATTTCCGTTGACTAATGACTTACTGTCATCTGATCATGCTACCGACTTTGTGCATGCCAGTCCATTTATAAATTTAGGGTTGGAAATGGTCCATCCCATGCATATCAGTACAAATCAAACCGTTAGGGATAATCAATTTCTTGGACCACAAGAAATTAAGGCATTTTTAAGCCCACTAATTGATGGTCCTTAGTGGTGGCCATGTGAATTGAATCATATATGTGTATTTCGTACGTCCTAAATTGCCCTATCATTGAGCTTGTGGATGATATACATAACTTACAAAGGACCACTTTGTGTTTTTAAGCCAAGTGCATTTGCTTAAAGATGCTTTAATTTGTGTTGTTGATTTGCCTAAGTACGTAATTAGCTTTTTAAGATGGTTCTTAAAACCTAATTGCCTTATTTCGTTCTTTACCAAATTTCTAATCGTACCCGTAATGTCATAGTCTTCTTTCTTTGTTTCTTTTTATCTCTTATAAGGTCATTTATGTTCCATCTTTCGTATTCAGTAATTCAAATTTCATTACAATTAAATAAGCAGAACGATGTATTCTTACAAAGAAGAAAGAAACGTATTTTTTTTGTATCAATAAAGGTTAAGGGGATTTAAACTTGGGACTTCTTCTACCATTGAGAAGTGAGGAATAAAGAAGAACACTTTACTAATCTTACAAAGAATAATAAGTTAATAACACTAGTCATGTTACACTATTCACTTCTTAAACTAAAGACGACAATTATACCAATAGCTAGTTGACGAAGTGAAAGTAAGCTGAAAGATTGAGTGAGTGACCAATAATTAGTTAAAAAAGTTTAGTGAGGAATATAGGGAGAAAAAAAAAAAAACCTTGTGTTATTAACTTATATTCATAATTTCATACAGGGTAACTTGATTCGTACGTGTCATCTATTTGGACTTGTTTTATAATAAATCAATACGTTTTCAATGAGTATATATTGCATATTGCAATGTGTCTATTTTAGCCAAAGATTAATAAAAGCAATTTTGATAATTTGGGAGTGTTCTTAACCCTAATTGAAATATTCATACAGCAGTTGTTGTGTCTGAACTTATATAAATTGGCACTAGATTTATTTTTGTTTTATTTGTAATCCATGGATTAATCATATATAGCATTGAGATACAAAAGAAGCTAGCTCATTTTATTAGGTTGGTGGACATGGGCATAGTTTGTGGCCTGAGCTAAAGGATCATCATAGACATAAATGAGATGTGGAGAATGAAGTGTCCTTGTGTGAAGCAGAGCATATATAATTAAGATTCGATTTGTGGTTGCTTCATCAAGGCAATTCGGTCGGAACAAATCCTTCCATGCATATTGATCTTGTAATCATCATGAATTGTCAAACTCAACTCATGCATTCTCCCATAACATCGTACCACCATAGGTTATTCCCAAGCAAATTGCAACACAATAAAACATGCAAACAGGAACAAAAAAAAACCCCATGAATTTGAGTTTGGCTTTTTCAAGGTAGATAATTTGTAAGGCTATACATGTAGGCATAACTTTTGTATTGTTTAGTAGCAATATATGAAACTAGCACACGATTATTTTATGTTAACAGATAATCTAAAACCATATTTACCCTTGAAGTTTATGAATGAGATCCAAATTAAAAATTTATTGGCTACAATACTTATATGCATTTAATACAATAACCATATTGACTGTCTGATGATGATTGTGTAAAATACATATATTCACATGAATTACATCTTAATGTCAGATGATTATTGTATGAAATATATATATATATATATATATATATACAAGTATTTAAGCTAATCCCCAAGAATGTGTTGGCATGGTTGAAATTCACGTATTAAAAAAAATAAAAAATAAAAAAAATCACAACTTTGTTTAACAAAATGGGTACAAGCTACTGGACCAAGTGAACATTATAAACAATAACTAACCAGGTAATGCTAGAGGTACTAAATTTGTTGACAATAGTTTGTAAACTAAATGACATGGAAGTTGATGGTTGAATTATTACTTATTGTTGGTTAACGTGTTTATTTTTTATTTGTGACACATTATTTAATTTGCAAATTTAGTTTATCTAGTATTACTCTAACCACAATCGTGACTTTTTCTCACGTGCTCTTTGTTGACAGACATGCACATTAATTTGGATTTTGAACCACTCCATCCTACAATTTGAGTTAAGTTTTATAGGTAACTTTAAGTAACTGTAATTAGTTGGATGGATAAAACAGATCAAATATGTTGACAATTTAGTTGGGATTCCTTGACATGAGTCAAAATAGATCAAATATATCTTTCTAGATAATGATGAAAGAATTCAGTTACAGTCATGAGAGAATTTAGTCAAGGGCTTATTAACAGTCTGGTTATTGGGATCTCGAGTTTTTTGGATCAGATTTATTAACAATTGTCTGTTATTGACATGTGTTATTCATATACGAGGACGATTGATAATAGCATATTCTCCGTTATATGATGAATATGGCCACATATTTTGGGATATGATTTAGACTCTTCAACTCTAACAGTTATGTTGGTCGATTCTAATTTTACCCAAGTTCACCGGGATTCTAGTGACCTGAGTTTGTAATGCTTAATTACTGTTTGTATTCATCAATCATAGTATAACTAACACCTCCCCTTTTTTCTCTAATTTTTTTTTTAAATGATAGAAAATTTCATTAAATCTGAATGGAAACATTTACATATATAAAGGCTAAAATATTAAACAACCAATCCAACTTAAAACAATCTCATCTATAAAGGTCACATTCCCTTGAAACAGAAGAAGCCACTAAATGCGGAGTATGATGAGATTTTGGTTCGCTTTTGATCATTTGAGAAGATGTGGAGTGATTGATAGTTGTTCTTTGTTTGTCTTTCAAATGTGAGAAAATGACATATGCATGCCTACTAGTATAAAGCAAATTTTAATTACTCTCATAATAGGATAAAGCTTAGTAAGTGAGGATTAGCTAGCTAGCTATATATAGTGCTCCTTTAGGAAAAACATGATCAAAATATTTTAATCACGTTGACTAATAATTGTTAGCACTATATACACACACACACACACACACACTATATTTGATGAAGCAAATATTTCATGATTTCATGTAAATATTTGATCCAAGTGCTATGATTAAAACGTGGGTTCTCGATCACTTTCTGTACTGATGATCATATTTTATGTATCCTGGATTGAAGAAGTGGTGGTCCAATCTTCTACTTGGGAGTGAAATCATTTTGACAGCGAAATTTGCATGCCAGCAGTAATAAAAATCTGCAAAAGGTTTGGTGTATAATCTTTATCCATGTCAAGTTGGAAAATGAAAATAGTAGGGTAAAAGTTTGAAGTCAGTTCATATGATTTTCATTATTCTCAGTAGATCAAGTCAATTTTTCTATTGAAGTTGTCTGAAGACACTACACCCCTCAAAAAAAATCCAGAAAGAAGAAATACAAAAACCCTAGCTCGATAGAGAGAAAGAATAACCGCACACACAACCCTAGCTACGTCAATGTCAATACTAATCTCTCAATTGTCTCTCATCCCAACCCCATTGGAAATAGAGGCAAAAACCACAATCATTTGCATACACTTGATGAAAAATAATACCAAATCCTACCCTTTAATCTCTCCCACTGATCTCTCTGCCTCTATAAAAAAAGTCATACCTAATTAGAGATCAATAATAATGTACAAGTGTACATGCTAGTAGTTGATGAGGTCCACCCTGCAAAACCGATACCACACACAATGCTTCTTTCTCTCTCAAAGTTCCTCTTTCCCAATCCCCTGCAGCTAGCTTCTTGTCAATTTCAAAAGTAAAGGGGATCGTAGACCAAATTCTCTCCCTTTCAACCTTTTCTTTTTCTTAGGGGTTTTCATTTTTCTTTTTCTCAACTGGAAGAGCACACACTTTACTTTTGGGAAATGATTTATGCCCACCATTTTCACTTCATGCACGCCCCTTTCTTTTTTAGCCATTGAATTGAACAAAGCAAATATAACCACGGACGGAAATTAAGAGGGAGTGTGCATCAATCACTACTTTCTTTTTTTGCACATGGTGCCAACCATAAAAAATCCTCCAAGAGGCGATCCTTTGGTAAAAATTTTCCTGGCCAACCCAAATCTCTCTCTCTCTCTCTCTCTCTCTCTCTCTCTCTCCCCAGCTGCCTTCTCATTGTTATTAGCTCATCAAATCAAAATCATCATAATGATGGTGGTGATGATGATGATAGTGGGAAAAGTGAGGCTTTAAAGGGAGTACAATGCTTTGCCTCAGCTTTCCAACACCGTTCAATATCTTCAGCAATTCTTTGGGCATCCATTGAGGCACCAAGTAGTCCACGTTTGGTAAACCCCACTGCGTATAACCCACACTCACCTTTCCAACCATTTGGAAATGGCGTTCTAGGCAACCCATCTTCCTTTGAAAACATATCACTCTCCTGCAATAACATATATATAAATATTAGGGTATATGCTAAACTTTTATTCCCTATACATAATAATTAGGGTAAAATTTTCTTTATAGACTTCCGTTTGTTAGACAAACGCTTTGTACATATATATTGTCAAATTTATATGTGCATGACACATTCATGCAAGAATCAATATAATCAATATTAAAGTAAGAATTGAGTTGGTACCTTTAGCCAAATGGGCACATTGCTTCTGTAACCTGTTGCTAAGACAATGGCATCAAATTTCTCCGTTCGTCCATCAATGAATTCTATAGCGTGAGGTTTTAACCTCTTGATGGCTGGACATACCTACAATATCACATAATATAACAAGTCAGAAAATAAGGAAAGTGAACTATGTGTCGACATTTATATGTATAATAAAAAGCAAAAGAAGCTAGACATATAACATTTTGATAGTAAACAAGATTCTAAGAGCTCTATACATATTTTGTTCCAGTTATGGGGAAAATATTTATTATTAAACACGTTTAAAATGGTTCCATGTAACGTCAAATCACCATAATATGCTAAACTGTCTGATAAGAAAAACTAAATTTAATTGTTCGTGGGACTGCTATTACATCATAAAGCATATCTAGATGTACCATCATTGGAAAAAATACTGTGTAAATAATTAAAAGCAATGGCTGGCAAATGGTAAATTAAAAGAAAAAGAGAAGATTAAAGTGAGATTGAGAAATGACTTGATGAAAAAGCTCGGTACCTCAACGTCTCCACTTTTGATCTTTGCTAGTGTACCAACGTCTAAGACAGGGGTCTTTCCAGACAAGTTCTTGAGCTCCAAGGGACCCAATTTCGGTCGGTCTAATCCGAGTCGAGAGGTATTGCCGAGAAGCAGCCGAGACGCAACCAGCAAGAACCGATCCACAAGTCGCATGGGCAGCCACTTGAGCAACCACATGGACAGCCCAAACGTGGATTTTCCAAGCATCTCTCTTGGTAAGACATGTACCTGATTAATTCAAATATAAAAACACAAAAAGATAAAATTAAAATTACACTCGAAAAAGCTCAAAAGGCACAAAAAAAAAAAAAAAAAAGAAAGGAAAAAAAAGCAATCAAACAATTAACATGGAGGTGATGTGTGAATCCCATTCCATGTTGTTTGCTAGGACTTTGCCTAGCTAACTCTAGCTAGTTAATTGCTTCATATGCCAAGGACGAAAGAATATTAAGGGCACAACTATTTCTTTATTCTGAGAAAAAAAAGGTTTGGAAGCAAGAGAGACATATGAAGCTTCTGACCAATGCTACGCATGCTTTGGTGTTCCAATAAAGTAAAAGATGAAAGGAAATTTTGTTTTGCTAAAAATAGGGTTTTATATTCATGTTTACTCAACTTTGAACAAACCATTGGAACTTGAAATGATAAGTAGTTTGAAATTGTTTGGGGGCTTTTTCTTTTTTTTTTTGGACAAAACAAAAACCAGTTAATGGCTCTAAAATAGAAAATATAGCACAGAGTACAATTTTCTCAAAAATGGTGTTTCCATTATATATAAATACATAATTTGTGTTAAAAAAATCATTCATAGTTTTATTCTTTAAGAAAAGAAATTAGGACAAACAATTGAGTGGTGAAAAAGTGAGTAAAAAACCGAAGAAACACAAATTAAAACTTGTTAAATACAAAATCAAAAACTCAAGGGCACCAAAAATCTTATAGCACTTTAATGGCATTTGTTTAGAGAGAGAGAGAGAGAGAGTTCTTACTGTATCTCTGACCACAAGAGAAGGCCTAGCATTATGATTACATAGATCCAAGCACACCTCCATGCCTGAATTTCCACAACCAACAACCAAAACTTTATTCTCTCTAAACTCTTCACCACTCTTGTACAAACTTGTGTGCCTTATAGGCCCTTTAAATTCTGTCATTCCCTCAAGCTTCGGCACCACCGCCTCTGCATTCTCACCGGTGGCGGCAATCAACCACCGGCACACATACTCCATCTCATCACCACCTTTCACTCCCGTTGTCCGCACACGCCAAAACCCGAGCGTGGGATCAAACTGGGCACTGGCCACGGTCTCATTGAACTGTGGCCTAATGTCATACTTGGTAGCATAATCTTCCAGGTATTGAATGAATTGTTGCTTTGTAGGGTAAGTTGGGAAATCATTGGGGAAAGGCATGAAGGGTAGCTCACAAAATTGCTTCGGCAAGTGAAGGCGAAGGCGGTCGTAGGTCTTGAGCTGCCATAAGGAGGCTATGCAATTGGATCTCTCCAGGATCACACTCGGTACACCTTTTAACTTGAGACATGCGGCGGTTGCAAGCCCTGATGGCCCTGCACCTACGATGACTGGCCCCGGAACACACACTACGAGTCTAGACGACGGTGATGGTGATGGCGATGGCGATGATGCTGACGAGGACGAGGACGAAGACAAGGAAGACTTGTTGCTCATTTTGTCAATGAAATAATAAGGATCATGGGATTGCTTGCCTTGTAATTCTCTTGTGTTGTAGTAGTCCATGGACATCTAAGCGACGATATGTAACAAATTAATTTAATTCAAGAACAGAAATAGTGAATTAAAAATTGAAGAAGCTAGCAGAGGAATTGTTCGTGAAGGAAAGAGCTTGGTTTGAGAGGAAAAAAATAAGTGAGAGGAAAACATTGGGAGAGGAGGTGTAGGTTTTGGGACTGTGTGAGTCTCTTAATCAGTCTAAGTTTAACTGTTTTAAGAGGGGATTAAGCTGATGGTTGGTTATGCAGAGTTAGTGGTGATCAAGGCGTTTTCTCTTTCTCTCTTATCAGGGAAAGATTAGGCTTGTGAGGGCGATTCCTTGATTTATGGAGCGGATTAAGAGGGTCTTATCTATTTGTGAGAATAAGTAATTCGTTTTTTTTTTCCTAATCCTAATTTTCTGTGTGTTGTTCAATGGGAGGGTTTAAGCGGAGGAATGAGCAAACTACGGGACTAAATCAGCATCCAAAACAAAGAGAGAGAGAGAGAGAGATGGATAGATTGATGGTGAAATGTGTATTTATATTCCTTATTGTTCTCATACAGGAATTTATAGCGGTGAAGAGATATAACGCAAGTGGGGACATGATATGAATATTAATAAAACTATTAAGCATACTTTAAAAAAAAAATATTTTCTTATAAAACAGTCACAATTCGAATCGAAATATTAACAATGAAGTTGATTATTGTTTGAACATGTAACAAATACATTTTTTAGTTTATCTGAAATTAGAGGTGTGAATGGATGTCCTTAAAGGGCGCAAATTCTTTTACATAATCCTAAAATAATGATCCATATTAGGATAAGTAGTCACTAATCTAGATGGATTTTCTTTCAGCCACTAATCTAGATGATTAAGGGATGTGAATTATTGGCATTGGAAATTGTGGATCGGACCAACTTGGTTTGGGCCTCGGGGCGGTGGAGTATGAATTGCATCCAAGATACCATTCACATTACATGGGGATACTTTAAGAGCTGTGGTTGATTTGTAATCATGGAAATTTAAAGTAGATGTACTATAAGCAAAACATGTTTTTGAAAGTAATTAAAAATCAAAAGTGTGAAAATTAATAAATTCTTGGGCTGAAGAAAAAGAAATATTTTGAATTTCTATTATAGTGCATTTGAATTACGGAGTTAGCTAGATGTTGTTTTGGTTGAAAATTACAAAGCATGCCGAATTAGAATTCTATAGAATGGATGACTCGTTTAATATATAGACACACACACACACTACATGCATATATGTATATATAAATTAGAGTTTTATTTAATTGTGAAAGTGCGGTGGGCTTGGCATTTGATTTTCAAAGGATTGGTGTCCATGAAGAACAAAACTTGGCTGCTGCTCCTACTGCTAGTCAATCACATATATATAAGTGTTCAGGTAATTGATTTTTACTGTCCATCCATAAAATTAATGTTGTAAACAACAACATGATGGTGGTGACAACAAATGTTTGAATTTTTTTTGAAACGGTCGATATTTTTCTAAAAATATCGAAAAAAATCAAAGAAAGACATGGGTAAAGTCTAAATTTCACCCTATATTAGAGAAACTCTTAATTTCAACTAAAACCGACACATTTCGTTAATATTTCCAACACATTGGTTAAATATCGACAAATTGCCATATGACATTCCCTAAAGTTTCATTTTAAATTTTCATAATTTCCATCAAAGGCAACCGCTATCGATATCGATATATCCATTAATATTTTTACAAATTTGTATATCGATACTTCTACCAATACCGATATTTTAAACACTGATAACAATAACGAGGGTGGTGCTTATGTGTCAAGGTACTGGATTTGGAAAATGGTTTAATAGAATGTAGTTAGTTGCTTTTGCTAATGCAAAATTATAATAAAAAATGTGTACAAAACTACATAAGTAAGGAATATAGACTACACAATACTGACAATTTTGCGTTTGACTTGCAAATTGCAATCTCTTAAAAAAATAGATATGTCTCTGTTTTTGGAGTTAAAGTTTATGAAAGCATTGCCTAGAGAGTACAACCGATAATTCAAAATTAAAATATTTTCAGTTTGGAATTTGATAATGGAATTTTGTACTTACACAATTGACTAGACTTAAATGAATAGAACAATGGAAGGGAGAAGAACAACATATCCGTAGGAGAAAGTACATAGGTTTATATTATGAAACCTAACGGCAAAGACAATTTTGTCGATGCGGGGGCGTTAAAAGATAGCGATAGTGTAATAACACACTATGTGTTCCCAATGAGTCCCAACCAGGTTAAACCCAAATCTCAATTTTAAGTAATCGTTTGCTAACTGTTCCACTTCACTTTTAGAACTACTTAGACATTAAAATAACTTTATATATACAGTATCAAAATCAGGGGAACTCATTCTATGACACATATTTTGACGCTGGCCCATTTTATAGGCCCTAATCCGTAATTTTCTTTCTAATTATCCAAACCGTCTATATATCAATTCATCATTCATAGATCATTCTTACAAAAAATAGATAAATTCAAATCATTAATGCATTTGTTTGTAGTGACGAAAATGGACAAGTATAGTTTTGCATAGAAACACTAACAATGATTGTCATGTAGTTAACGGTCTTATGATTTCGAATTTGGATAATTTTTTATAAACATGATCTATAAAGAAGACCTAAAAGGTAAATCGTTCGAATCGTTGATAAAAATGAAATCACCGTTGTGCTAAAAAAACTGACATATATGTATATATGTGACAGAAAAATCATCCTTATACTAGACCACCATATTTGATGAACCAAAGAAAAGAAATCGTTGACCCTAAAGGTCAACACTCTCAACACAGCACCCAATACTATGCCTCCCCTACTATTTTCCTTATGTTCAACTCTATTTTTGTTTTGTGATTGTTGTCACACTGATAAAAAGATTAATAATCTAATGCAAAACCCGAGGAAACCAATGATTTAAGTAAAATGCAACGACAAGAACCCAAAAATTGTAGCTAGCATCTGCAAGCATACCTAATCATTGGAAAATATCAACAAAATTAAAAGCGTTGGGGAAACAGGGACCATAATATTATCATGAATTGGACGTACGTACGAATTCGAGGGCCACCTCTGGAGATGCTATATGTGGGTTGTTATGATTCTTATGAATTTCTCATCAAAAGAAATCATTTCGACACTCATTAGATGATATGAATTGGTTCAATGGAAGTAGATTATTGGCCCTCAAATCACCGCAGTGTGATCAATTTTCTGTCCCACTAAAAGTCTTCAAAAAAAATTGACGTATTCAGTTGTTTTTAATTGGTCTCACACTCTTCCAAAATAATGTATTTTTAACAACGAATATTTTTTTTTTCAAATAGAGAAAGATTAGACAAAATTAACTTTTCGGCAATAGTCCAATGTGGACACCTACCCTTCTTCGAAGGGGTGAGAACCATTACACCCATAAACCCCTCGTCTGTTCCCCCCCCCCCCCTTTTTCCACCAAATTTATTAATAATAAATGAAAAATAAACAAGCGGCGGGACTATGCCAAGACCCGCAACGACAAAAACGATTATAAGGACAAAAAGAAATGTCACGAACATGACTGAAGACTACAAAATCTGGAATCGTAGACCACCAGTAATAAGAATAACTATTTGCCTCAAATGAAGCTAAAGTATTTGCAACCTAATTTCCTTCTCAAATGTTTTTTTTTTTTCAAAAAAAAAAAAAATCGCATTTGACGAAATCTCCAAAGGCAATTCTTTCAATCCATCATAAGAAACTACGAGACTGCATTATGAGCCTTAAAAGGATAGAGAATAACTAATATGAATCTATTTTAATCCATAAGGGTGTGTTTGTTGCACTGGACTATCTCGGACTGTACTAGCTTCAAGGACTAAGCTAGACTGCCTTAGACTAGATTAAGCTGGACTAACTTAGTGAAGCGTTTGGTGCAATGTCGGACCAAGAGCAAAATAATGACAAAAAAAAAAAAAAACCCCATGATCTGTAACAAAATATTCTCATCTAATGAAAGTGAACCCCAACGTGAAAGTTTCTGTAGAATTATCCTAGAAAAAAGCAGAACTAAATGAAATCATTCAATTTGCTCAGCCACTCTAAATTGCTAAAAAGCTCTAATATCCCAGAAAAATCAAATCCTTTAATTTGGTATTTCACAAACAACTCACAAATCCAACCCAATTCACAAAATCATTTTCTTGATATATAAGAGTTCATCTCCTTCATAAGTCCCCTGTTTATTTTATGCTCAAGTAGTTACTTGAAGATTTGTAGCCGAATAGCTCTTCAATAACAACAACAAATTCCGTCTCGACCTTCCATCAAATACTTTGAAATCCTCCGTAGTTATAAACCTTTGAGACAAAACGCAGAGTGCCCAACCCAGAACCGTTTATCCTATTCAAAATTCAGAAACCTAATTAGGGATTCCACTTGGAAGGAAAACCGAATCCCATAAAAAATGAATCGAAAACCTAGAAAAATCCAATCTCAGAAAAATCGATTTAAAAACCCAGAAAAATCAATTCGAAAACCCAAAAAAAGGGAAAATACTTGCAAATCAGGTCTTGCAGACCTGGACTTTTTAGATTCGTTTGAATCGTTTCTGTCAAACCCAGGTGCAAACTTGGGGATTCTTGCAGACTTGGAGATCTTCTGGACAAGTTCTCAAGCTTGAGGCAAGGCGAAGCGAGGGAAGCAGGGAAACGGGACAAGCAATCCCCTCATTTCCGAGGGCTCTCGCTCAGCCCAGCTAACGAAGAGTTTAGTCAGCACGAGTTTGGCTTAATCCCGTTAATTTCAATCCCGGCTTGCACCAAACACAGAATAATAATCCTACCCAAATAGTCCAGTCCAGTGAAACTTAAGGTAGCCAAACAAACACGCCCTAAATGTTTCTAGTCTCTAACCCAAGCTATATGCATAGCCTCAACGAAAGCAAGAATATTTTTGCAACTACTAAACATCCAAATTTTTTTTTATGCAAAAGCACCAAGCCCATCTTCCGATGAGCGAAAAAGGCTAAATAGCCAAAATGGTCCCTGAGATATGCATAACACATCACTTTGGTCCTTAGATTGTCCACCATCCATCATTTTGGTCATTCCGTTAAAAACTCTTTGGGCAATTTTCAAAACTTCATAACTCAATTGTTTCTTAACCAAATTTGACCCATAATATATCAAAATGAAGATAGGAAAGTGTAAAACAAGATTATACCTATTTTAAAGCCCAATAGTTGCTAGATATGGCTGAAAATAGTCTCAAGGTTGACTGGTCCATGAAAACACTGGAAAACTTACCGGAAACTGGGTAAACTTTAAACGTTCATAACTTCTTTAATACTAAACAAAATTGAGTGATTCAAAAACAAAAATCATACTTCTCGACGACACAAAGAGAATGGTATCTTTCATGATGGCTAATTTATCATAGTTTGGCCGGAAAACAACTCGAAAGTGGC